CTCATTTTAAGTTTTTAAATGCTTAAGTTTACTTCTTATTTTTTCAGCAAAAATGTATTAGTTCGTTCAAATATATGAAATATAAAAATAAAAGAATCCCTCTTTACTTCTTGAGCTCTATGATCTTTATACGAATATGCATTTGCGTCTTTCAAAAACCTGAAAACGCATACTTTTTATGACGATATATTTGACGACGATGTTTTTAAATTGCGGAGTTTTTAAACCGTTTTATTTTCGACCATGATATTTTGTACCACGATGTTTTCTATCCCGATGTTTTGTACCACGACGTTTTCTCCTTGCGTTGTTTTCGTCCTCCATGGTTTCGGCGGACACCGAATGAGAAGGTTAGAAAATATTTGGATGGAAACAAAACTAAAACATCATGTCATATGACTCTTATATAAGGCTAGTGATGTAAACGGAACTAAAACTCAAACAGCTAATAATAATTTTACAGCAATATTATTATCCAATTAAATGCACTGAGAACTGGAACTAACTCACTCTGAATTAAGATATATCCTGAACACAACTTACTTGCTTTCTACACTTTGGCCTAACTGCACTGCTGCAAATATTCTATTTATCAAGAAATAATTCAAAAATTATGATCCGAAAGAAATATCGCATCACAAATTAATTAAATTTGTTAAACTAATAACAAAAATTCCAAATGATTCGCGCCATGTTAAAACAAGACTAAGCTAAAAACTTAACGTAGCTGATATTTTTCTGACACATGAATTCCATACCCAATTTCATCGGCTGTCGTCAAATATGTCTCCGAGGCCTATGTATCCTATCATGCGCAATGATCACGCCTCCGCGCCAGAAATAGAAATATATTTCCCTCTACAAACGAACTAGCTTTTATAAAGCAAAAGCGCGGCAGACTTGTAGTTTACAGCAAAAGCGCGGCAGACTTGTAATTTACAACAAAAGCGCGGCAGACTTGTAATTTACAACAAAAGCGCGGCAGACTAGCAGAGGTACGTGCGGCAGACTAGTAGAGGTAAGTGTTCGGAGCAATGTCTCCTCGCGTAGACGGTGTTCGAGATTTGCAAGAACTACCTGTTCTCCTTTCTCCTAATAAACTTAAAATAAAATAACTTTACATATCAAATTCCAAACCGTCATATTTATTTTCAAAATCCGTAGAACTACAAGAAAACTATAACAAAAATCTGATGGTTGCCACTCTTACCGTGACAAACTATGAAAAGAAAGATAACAACTGAGGCTGGGTTCTAACACTACTCCCACCTTTTGATTGATAACATATACTTAATCAATCAAAACAAAATATAAAAATACTGTCCACACAAATATTAAGGCTAAATAGTAAACAAAAGAAAAAATTAAGTTCTTAAATTTCTACTCTAAAATAACTCAAGTAGTGTTCAGGTTAGAAATCTAAATGGAATTTTGATTTGTCGTCTACTTCTAGTCACAACAGTCAATGTCCTTTGATAAATCTGCAGCTGGATTATTCTTTGGTAATTTTGAGACTAAACTGTCTTCACCCTGCGTCTCAGTTTCATTTGCCTCATCTGACTCCAAAGATAAAGGTATTTCGAGGTTGAATATTCTCTGGATTGGTCGAACTAATTCTCCAGACATGGTTTTGACACGAAATACTCGAATGTTGCCGTCTTTTCCGGGATATAGTTCAATCACTTTTGCTAGAGGCCACACAACACCTTGCGTTTGTCATCACATTTAATAAGAACTATATCCCGACTTTTATCTGTTGAGAAATCGGCACTGTAGATGGACGTTGCTCTAGCAGGCCGACATATTCATTTCTAAATCTCTTTCTCAAGAACTCTCGTAAATTCTGTAAATGCCTCAGTTTCTTATTGAAATCACCTTTATCAAGATGATCCAAGTCAAGAACCGATTGTGTGGCACCCTATGTTTACAGCAGTCTCCTTTAATATGTATGAACGCTGTGATCCTGTGTCGATAAGTGAGTGCCCTTACTGTCTTCTGCTTTTTGTTCGCGTCGATATTAATTAATAGTGTTTGAAGAAACACTTCATCTAGGAAATTTAGTGCTCGCAAGTGATACGTTTTGTGTTTCCTCTTCTTTATTCTTTTCAACATCATTGCTCTTTTGATTTGGTGGGCAAATCCGAATACACGACACCCCAATGTCTTTTCGATCATATCAAACATCGTACATTTGTGTTGCATTTCTTGGCCCTGTGTCCAATTTTGAGGCAGAAGAAGCAACCGTTATTATTCTTAATTTCATCATTCTTTTGACTCAGAGGCATCTTCTGAGCAACAAAGCAATCTCGACTTTCATGAAATTTTTCACAAACTATGGAAGAATTCTTCTCACTATAATTGATTGCTTTATTTTGGCCTGAGAATTGCCATTTGCTGTAGGCACGAAATGTTCACTCTGGTACTTTTTATCTTTTCTACTTTCTTTTTTGGCACCCGAATCAATTAATTTAAATCCAGCTTTTGCCAAAGAAATTCTCTGCTCTCCTTCCACTTCATTTTTTAAAAACAATAATAATTTTTTCAATTTCTCAGAGTGAGAATTTTTCTGCTGTAATTATTGATGCATAATTTCTAATCCAAACTCGTAAAATTTCCTCGGGAATGCAAGATTCCACGAGCGGAAACAGCATTGCAACGTATTTATCGCTCGTCATTCCTATTGACTCCAACGAACGTATATACGACTCTAACTTGTCATACAATTCTGATATACTGCATTTTCTCTTTTGATCAGAGACACTTTTTAATAATCAAACCTAATAATTCCCGAATATAGAATTCTACCAACAGTTCTTCCCTGCAAACCTATTTTTTTAAGCTTTCTATAACTTTTTCATAATTTTCGGCAGTTGCAGGGAAGCTGTTTGCAATATCCTGTGGTCTCGTACCGGGTACGGTCGCTTGAACGAGATAATGCATCTTATCCTCGTTTTGAATTTCTTTATCTTCATGTTATTCGCCAAAATTGTCCCCAAAACGGTAACCAATCTTTACTTTCGCCACCGAATTGTTTTAACTCTATTTTAGGTAATTTCAGTTTCCGTTTGTTCGAATTCGGCGGAATACTACTAGTAGATTGTATCATTTGGCGATTGAAGAATAATTCCGTTTTTACTCGTATTAAATATAATTTTTCTTTGTATTCTTCCATTTTCGCCCATTCATTTTCAAACTGATCATTTGAAGAAAATTCTGAATTTAATAATTGAGTATCAAATGCATTAAGTTCAACAGATAAACGTTCTAAAGTAACAAGTTTCGTTTTATAAATTCTTCATCAGGAATTTCCTTTTCTAATTCCTGCAAAATTGCATTAATTGTTCTCGTAAAAGACGCTCTGACAGGTTTTCGTTTCTCAATTAACGATTCCATTTCAATAAAAATAAATTCAATAAAGTCAAATAGAATTAAATTCGATAAAACCAATAAAATTACCTTAATTTGTTTTACCGATCACTTCCGTCGTCACCAAAATTGTTCGAGATTTGCAAGAACTAACCCGTTCTCCTTTCTCCTAATAAACTTAAAATAAAATAACTTTACATATAAAATTCCAAAGCGTCATATTCATTTTCAAAATGCGAGAACTAGAAAAACTGCAACAAAAAATCAGATGGTTGCCACTTTTACGGTGACAAACTATGAAAGAAAGATAACAAACTGATGGATTCTAAAGAAAGATAACAACTGAGGCTGGATTCTAACAATCGTATCTTTATTTCTAGCCTCAACTAACTAGAGAGCTTTAATTATTAACAAACTAAGAGATTTAAAAGCAATAAACGCAATTTTTCATCTCTATCATTTTTATTAATTACTAGTTGAACTCGTGAAATTACACTACCTGAGCTCATTAAAATGATTATCTTTTATATATATATATATAATAACTATTTTAAACGGCTACTATTTAAACATTTCACCCAAATCACCAGTCATTGAATACATCGAGTATTCGATGAAAACGCGAACCATAACTTGCTTTCATTGTCGAGTGCTTTATAATAACTTATGAATCAGTTAACTTCTTATGACGCAGTATCAATAATATATATCCAAGCAAAAATATACTTAAAAATGAGTTTTCTTTCGAAGAATTATTAGTCCTAAGGAGCAATTTGCCCTGAAGGACTATTTCGTTTTGGCATTTTGCGTTGAAAACTTTAAAAGGCTGTATCACTTTTCAAATCGTTGTCACCATATATTATTAACCTGTCTTATATTTAAAGAAATTAAATACTGAAGAATCTAGATAAATGTATGTATGTTTCCTGCATTGTGATAAAACAACGGCACTTAGAGCCATCAAAATTTGAATAATGCAATCTTCCATAAAATATAGGCATGTGGAAGCCCTAATTTGAATTTGAATTTGAAATTTGCTTTATTATCGATTTCAGATTTTGTAACACTTCAACGAATTTTTAATTCAAAAACTAAACGATTTCAAAGCAAGCAATGGCAACACTGTACGGGAAAAAAAATTATCTCCAGCTCGCGAGACTCTGTATCAGAAATTTTAAAGATATGCTCATTTTAAAACTAATTTGCGATATTGCTGTTGAATTGAATTTTATAATTTGAGTGCGTAGAACACGGTAATTAATAAATAAACGTAACACACAAAACATTAAAAAAGAAGCTCATTTGGACGTAATTTAAACTCTGAAACCTTTCAGATTTTTTTTTTTAAATTTAATTTCTATTTCTTTTAAACTTAACACTATAAAGTATAATATTCATCACGAAACCTTAATAAATATCTTTTCAGGCTATCAAATGATGGCCTAAAATGATAGCCATCAAATAACGGCAAATTAAAAAGAATTATTAGTTATTAAATAGTAGTTGATGGCAACAGTCAAAAGCGCAGACGATGAAACAAAATTTTGAACCCGTGCGTAATAATTTTTTCTTGAATAGCTGACATCTGTCACATTGTTGAAAAAACAAATAAATTTTACAAATATATTTCTTATCAACAGTATTCGAAATTTAATTATAAATTTCACTGAGTTTATTTTGTAAGTATAAATCCGATTATTACTTTCATATTCATTCTAGAACAACATTAAGTTTAACATTATTAATTATTCTTTAAGATCGAAAATAATATATAAATTAACATTTCAGTTTCTAAAGTAATGTACATTAGGAAATAAATCAAGTTACTTTCTAATTAATATTTAATTAAATATTTCTAATTAAGTATTTAATGTTTTTCATATATACATGCCAATATATGTATATGCAATAATTTTGTTCTTTCAGTTATTAAGCATGACGTCTACAGTAATGATGACGCCAAAACAGGCCCATCAAGAAGTAAGCCATTTTGTTTACAAAATTTAATGATAATCATGGTATGTATTATTTAGTTTAATATAAGATTTTAAAAGTTCCAAAATTGTAACCTGAAAATAAAAAAATTAAATGCAAGATATTATAAAAAGTATAAATAACAACATTATGATCTTCGCATTTAGCTTCCACTTTGACACTTCATTCAGATTCCAGTTAAACGCCTGAAACAGTTTTAAATTAAGCAGTTAAACGGTAGGAAAAATTTGCACCAGTTATCTGAAACTACCAGTTGGGAGTCTTGTGCTTTATTTAATTTTTAAAAAAAATCTGAAAGTTTTCAGATTTTATATTACGCCCAAAGGGACTTTTTTTAATGTTTCGTGTGTTATCTTTATTAAATATCTTGTTCTTCGCACTTAATCCATAACAATTCAATTCAACAGGAATATCACAAAGTAATTTAAAAAGAACATATGTTTAGAATTTCCGACACACTGTCTCGCGCGCTGGAGATAAAAAGGTATCCCCTTATCTCGTACAGTGTTGACATCGTTTGCTTTGAAAGTTTGTTATCAAAAATTCGTTACATTTTTACAAAATGTGAAATGGATAATAAAAAAAATTCCAAATTAGGGCTTCCAAATGCTCATATTTGGGTGCAGGATTAGGTTATTCAAAATTTGATGGATCTAGGTATCCTTGTTTTATCACAATGCGAGACACATACAAATTTCTTTAAATATAACACAGAGCGATAATATTTGATGGCAACAATTTGAAAAATGATAGATCGTTTTAAAGTTTTCAACGCAAAATGCCAGAACGAAATTAACAGGTCTTTTGAGCTAAAAAATATTTGACTATTAAAGATAAAACTATACTTTTTTTTTTTTTTTTTTTTTCAACTGGATCATACGTGCACTTGCCAGAATTATTTCCCGTAAGTCAGGCGGCAAACAGTTGCTTTTTGCTAGAATATAAAATTTGTTTAGTGAAAAGACAAAAATTTCCTCCGGTGTGTTAAGGGAGGGAGAGAAAAAATATTTAAATTCTACACCCTTTTATGGCATTAAGAAAATTTAGATAAAGCAACTTTTAGCACAAAAATTTCGCCAGTCTCAAAGCAAGTAAAAAAATAATTTACAAAGCATATTTACTACAAAAGTAACATATAAAATATACTATATATATAAGAATGCGGAATTACTTATAATCTCATCTATGAATAATAAGTATATTTTACCATTCGATTACAATCTAATACTTCTGTTTTAATTTGTGGAATATGAAATCTTATAATAAACTACACTAGAAATAACAGAATATTACATATAAGCAAATATGCATTACTAATATACAGCGCCTCAGGCTTTTTTCAAATATTTGTGTTTTTAAAATTTATTTGAATAAAACACATAGAAATTATAAAAGAAATGACTTTAGATTTTTTTCCTACGTACTGTTGTTTACTTACTTCAAAAGCTAAGTAATGAAATCTATTATTTAATTGCATTGTAAAATATACAAGCCATTGCCTTTTATAATTTATCATGGACGCCCCACGCGTTTATTATTGACGATATAAAACTGTAAATGAATTCCATGAACAGAATTATTTAATCTGTTGTTCTAATTAAATATAATAAATTATTTTCCTCCTTTTTAGTGCATTAATTATGATACAAGTTTTAAATAAACGCTTATTGTATAAAAACCTTTTTTTCAATACATTTTATTTTATATTATTAAGAATCGTTTTCCACATACTTTTTTGCAATAATCAGTTGTAAAATACGTAAATATGTATTAATTAGTTGGAAAAAAATAGGCATTCTTTAATACCCCCAACCTTTTCTTTGCTGTTTGTTTTGGGGGGAAAAAGTGTCTCTCCCAAAAAAGAATGTGAGCCTCTGTGTTTATTTCAAGTACTTCATTAAAATTTTGCACAGAAAAATTACCATAAATGAGTTTATACATAATTACGTACATCAAAATTCTGCACCTACGTATTTTTTTACTTTTATTTATTCATTTTTCAGTGGGGAAAAGTATTTCCCCAGGATTTTACAACTATGGAAGGATCATGTCTATTTATAAAAAAATTAATTGCTGTGTCCTTATCTTCAATAACATATTTAAGAGGAGTTTTCCCAGAACAAGCATACGGAGAAAGAAGTCTGTGCGGTAAGAAACATAAATATATTGAGATATAAATTTAATATTTTATTCAGTCAGAATTTGGTATTATCACTGCATATCGTTCGGAAGAAGATTCTTGTATTCAGGATCGATTCAGAGCTTGAGGCCCAATTCACAGCATTCTATTTTGAGGCTCTACATTCTCAATTTTGCTTGTTTTAATAAACGAAAAGTAGAAGCTGTCTTGCATAAATATTAAATAAGTATGAGACAGAAACGATAGGTAAACTTTTATGTGTATTTTTTAATGCGTGTGCTTTTGCTATAACAAATTGAATTATGCGATGACTATCTCTACCTTTAGTTTATCATTGCGTTAAAAATGAAGATTTATGAGTTAAGCATTAAAAATTTATTACCATATTAGTAGCACATTTTCAACCTTGGATTCAATGCCTTTTTCACTCGTTCGAAGCAAAACGCATAAATTCACCGTCAGTTTAACGATATCTTAAATAGAAGTTAATAGCTTTTAAAACTTACGAACAGTGAATATCATATTATAAATTAAGTTTTGTAAGTCAACATTCGTGAGTTTCAAACTAATGAAGAAATTTATGTTTGTTTCTTTATTTAATCTGTGGCAAGTATATACGCGCTATCTGCCTTAAGGTAAATCAACTTTTATGTTCCGTCCCATCGATTAAGGCAGTACATGTTCAAAACCCTATCCTCTGTATTAGGCAGGAGAGTTAGGAGACAGTAAAAAAAAAAAACCACCTCAAGAGAGGGATAGACAAACTCACTTACTACAGACAGAACATTCAATCCCGGAATGCAGACTTTAAAATAAAACTCTCTCTTAGGCCTGACGCTGAATCGGAACACCGAGCATATGACTCATTCAGTGTAATTTGGCCGTCACACGACCCCTGGGATAACCGAAGTCAATATCAGTCACGCTGCCCTTTCATGTCAGTGAAAATCGGGTTCGTGTTATTTTGTCCTCAGAGCCGCTACTGTTATAGCATATAATATTAAGCGAGTGCATGCAACCCCATGGGTCTGTCTAAGGATGGATGATTTCGTGGAGGAATTTATAAGGGAAACTGAACTCGGACTCAACATTACCTCGATGAAACCCAAGAAAACAAACACGCAGCCAACCCATTCACCAAGATTTCAATGCGAGTCAAACTATTAGTGTTAAGCAGTTTTACCAACTCGTCAATTGGCGAGTTCTGAAGATTACGAGAAAGGAACAGCGAATGTGGAATCATCCGATTCCTAATGCGAAGATGGCGTGAACGTGAATAGTGTATTTCTGATGAAGTAAGTGACGCTCTACAATGAAAAAAAAAAAAAAAAAAAAAAAAAAAAAAAAAAAAAAGTTGGCATTTATCAAGGAAGAGTCTGTTTAACACATTAACACAAAAAAATTTAAATACATAAACAGATTCTTTGCAGTAACATTTCTGTTTTACGTGTTTTTAAAATAAAAACAGCTAGATATAGTAGAAACAAAAATTTCAGCATTTTGTAACATACATCAAATATGAAACTGAATGAAGTGTTGACTATGTAGCGATAGTCTAGATGTAAGAACAATTTCTTTTAGTCTCCCAATAATCGCTACATTAAGATTTGACTAAATTTGTAATCACAAAAAATTAAATTTCGATTTTATTATTTCTCATTTGCAAGAACTGATACGCTAGCTTTATGAAAACATCGTATAAGTCACATATTCATTCTCTACTTCTGTAGTGACATTAGGTTTTTTTCAGAGCATGGACCTTTCAACTGCTAGCTGGACATGCTACCACATACACTTCAAAATGCACGAGCGAATGCCATAATTTTGTATATTTTCTTTCCCTTTACAAGGCAAGTGGGGACAGATACGAGATTCAATCGACTAAACACGGGATATTTCGAATTACTGTCCACTACATTTTTAATTCGGGCGCAACTGTACGGTTTACATTTCTGCTGTAATCGGTATAGTGGTTGGTCTCAGGTTCGAATCGCGGGGGAAGAAATGGATGTTTGTAAGTGTTTGTGCGGCAAAGGAGCACTCAAAATACACGACAAGGCCAAAAGTCCTCTCAAGTGGTTGCTGGTAAGGGAAAAGAAATTGGAGACTCTGGGATCGCCCCCGCCAGGATGCTCTCCATAAAAACTGAGGCAGATTTTAATAGCCAGTGCGGCGGGACTACACTGCCACAACATCAAAGGTGAATAACTGGTGTACTGTCTCACTTACACTTGTACCTGTACTTGGTGTGACTGGTGTCCTGCCCCACTTACACTTGTACCTGTACTGGTGTGGCTTATTTTAACTGATGCCAGTTTACTTCTTATGTTTAAACCAGTCCTGCACTACTTTTCCATGAACTCCACCAGAATATGCAAATGAAGTGAGAATAATGAATAGTGAAAAAAGAGCGAAAATCGAACTTAGGTAGATATCGAAACAGAAATTAGATATAGAAAGATTTGGCTTCATCATCCTGACGAAATGAAACTCATCTGTTACAGTTCGCCTTAAGCGCATTTGCTACCACCTGATAAGTTTCTCTTTAATTTAAAATTAAGGTCTGTTCAGGCGGCAGACAACAAGCCAATCTTTACCTATTTTACACTATTATAATTACTTTCAAATGTCAATTTAGTTAATTGTGTTACTTCTGTAATTTCAGATGGAAGTTTCAATAATTTTTTTTCAATTATTTAACACTGTCGCATTTACATTGTGTTCTGCTTTTAAAAATTAAAGACAGGTCAATAATTCGTTCGGCAATTTTAGAAGGTAAGGCTATTATTTAGTTTAAATCAAATATAAACTTATATTTCCTTGTATTATATTATCATTACATATTTTCTTGGTAAATAAAGGCAAAACAGGAAAACGGTCTGTGGTAATATTCCGAAATTCCAATAACAAAATGAATGTAATGATACGCATTATGACATTGGCCTTTAAATCATTAAAATTTAAATTGCAAGGAAAGCGAAATTTAAATCCCAGTATTTCCAAATTTACGGAAGTTAGCAATAAAATTAAAATTAGTGATTTCGGATTACATAAGTGGGCTCTAGCTCAAAATACACTGAGGTGACAAAAGTCATGGGATACCTCCTAATATCGGGTCGGACCTCCTTTTGCCCGGCGAAAGGCAAAAACTCGATGTGGCGTGGATTAAACAAGTCGTTGAAAGTACCATATTTAGCCATGGTCCATAATTCCGAAAGTGTTGCCGGTGAAGGATTTTGTGCACGAACTGATCTCTCGATTATGTCCCATAAATGTTCAATGGGATTCATGTCGGCAGATCTAAGTGGCTAAATCATTTGCGGAAAATAACCCAGAATGTTCTTGAAACCAATCGCGAACAGATGTGGCCCGATGACATGGCACATTTGTCCTCCATAAAAATTTCATCGTTGTTTCGGTACATGAAGTCCAAGTGGTGCTGCAAGTGGTCTCCAAGTATGTGAACACAACCATTTCCTATCAATGATCTGTTCAGAGGACCCATGCCATGCTATTAAAAAACAGCCCACACCTTCACGGAGGCATCACTTGCTTGCACAGTGCCTTGTTGAGAACTTGGGTCCATGGCTTCGTGGGGTCTATACCACACTCGAACTCTACTCATCAGCTCTTAGCAAATGAAATCCTGACTCATCAGACCAAGCCACGTCTAGGGTCTTTTCCAGCCGTCTAGGGTACAACCGATATTGTCACGAGCTCCCGGTAGTCCATTAAAGCCAAATTTCGCCGCACTATCTTACCAGACATGCCCGTCATATGTCCCACATTGATTTCTACAGTTATTTCATCACGTCTAGGGTACAACCGATGTTGTCACGAGCCCACGGGAGGCGTTACAGACGATGTCGTTCTGTTAACAAAGGCTCTCGACTCGGTTTTCTGCTGCCATAGTCCATTAAAGCCAAATTTCGCCGCACTATCCTACCAGACATGCCCGTCATATGTCCCACATTGATTTCTAGTTATTTCATGCAGTGTTGCTTGTCTGTTAACACTAACAATTCTAGGCACAAGCACCGGTCTCGGTCATCAAATGCAAGCAGTCGGCCACTGCTTTGTCCATGATGGGAGGTTATGTCTGAAATTAGGTATTCTCGGCATTGTGGATCTCGGAATGTTGAATTCCCTAAAGACGTCGGAAATGGAATGTCTCTTGCGTCTAGCTCCAACTACCATTCCGCGTTCAAAGTCTGATAATTCCCGTCGTTCGGCTATATTCAGGCCAGAAACTTTTTCACATGAATAACTTGAATACAAATGAAAGTCCTGCCACAATGCACTGCTCATTTATATATTTTGTACGCGATACTTCTGCCATTTGTATATATTGTTATCCAATGACTTTTGTCACCTCAGTGGAAATCTAACTGCAATCGATAGTATTTTAAGAAACTTCCGTACAACTTACTCTTCAATGAAAGAGAGGAAAAGTACTTTATGTAATTTTATTAGGAAATTGTTTTGCACATTAATCTATCACTTGAAGTAATTATGATATTTTGTATATGGCATAGGATTTTTGGAAAATATATTTTAAGCAACTTTTTCACAGTACAGAGAAGCAATTCCACTAATAATACTTGGAAGATAAATTTAAGTTTCAATTTCCTGTTTCTAATTGCAGAAATGTTGAACTATAATTCTAATTTCTAAATCATGAATTATTATTATGTTCATTATTATAAAAAAATTAGACTTTATATTACCCACACAGATATATAAATTTTAATTTTAGGCATAAAGCTCAAAATTTTAACCGAAGACAGTGGAATCCCTGCAGTATCAAAATTTATTAATACAATACGAAGTTGCTATGATGCCGTGGATAAAAAATATGTAAGTAATTTATCTGCACTTAAAACGAAAGCAAATTAAAAGAATAGATTTATAAAACAATCTAATATCTTACGAGTATAATTACTAATTTTCAAAAGAATATCTAATAATAAAAACCCACCAGTTTTTTATCACAACTTAAATTTCTTAATAACTTTCTAAAAACTTAAATTTCTTAATAATAATTTCAACTTTTCTACACTTGGTGCTGCTCTATTCAAAGTTCAACTTGTTCAATTTTCAGCTGAGAATAGAATTCAACATTTAACTTGGGACTCTCATTCAAAAAATCCTGTAATCAGAAAAATCCTGAAATCAGACAATTAATTCATTGCCACAATTGATTCATTGCACCACCAGAAAAGTGCTTAACAATACCCTCAGCTGAATGTTTAGATATTGTTTACATGAAGTATTGATGAGTACTGAATGGACAGGATAAAAGTGTAAAAGTGATACTGTTAGTGATGCACATTTCTGCACATTATAATGAAGTGCATAAGAATATGTCTGCAGTTAATTAGGGCAAAAACAAATGTGCAAAGTGAACTCTCTTGTAGCCTTGTAATGTAAAAGTAAAAATGCACATCACTTCTTTTAACTAATTTTCATCCTTTTTCAAATTTAAATTTATGATATGCCTTTTCTATCGTTTTCCCTTTTTCTTCAGGTTGTTGCGTTCACTTACACAATTTAAACCATATTACTTATAGATAGAAACGTTTTTATAAATTCTTTTTTTAAGGGGGAAAAGGTGAAGATGAGGTCTAAACATTAAGTACAAGTCCGATTCTATGAACTCCAAAAAGGGCCCCATTGCCTTCATAGAAGACTTCCTGGCTTATACTCATGTTACACATGGGGAATGAAATTCAACTGTGCAGCCAGTCCATCTTTCTGGGTTCAAAACCAAACCAGATCAAACTACCAGTATTCAACAGTCTTAATTATTTGGCCATTAGAAGAGCTCATTAAGCAAGGAAGATAAATTCTAATTAATATGCATCTAAAAGAGAGTGTATTAATTTATGACTAAAAGGGAACAACAATAAAAAATTCCCGACAACTATTTTTTTATTAAAATCACATTATGTTTTGTAGCATAATTATTTAATATTTTAAATATTCTTTAACAATTTTAAATGAAAAAAATATTATTTTGAAAATAAATTTAACTTATTCTTTGAAACTTATAATATTAGTATATTTTCAACTTTTCAAAAAGTTTGAATTAGTAATTGTGTTTCAACAAAAATTACATTAATAAATAATGAAAAATTACATTATATGTGAATATTCAAAGTACATACTAAGATACTGAAATTTTTCAAATTTGGATCTTAAGGTAATGAATGCTTCTTTCATTATATATTACTTAAAGTTAACAGGGTCTTGTTCTTTTTTATAATTACACAATTTTTGAGCGTCAGATACATAATTTTTTCTAACAATGCTTTTCTTTGCAGCTTCAGCAGATGAGTCTTGGGGTAAGATAACAATTTTAATTTTCAAACTTTATCTATCCATATCAAAACTAATTTTAATTAAAACACACACATATATTAATGTTAAAAAATTAGAAATTTTTCATTTTATGATCACAGCACGATTTTGTTCCATTCTTATTCTATAAAAACATTTATTTTTTAAATAAATTGAGAATTTAACTTTTGATATTTCACTACTATTGTTCTTTCAACTTTAATTTCAAATCCTGATTGTATGAAAAAATAAATGATAGTAACAGCTATTGACTTATAATGTTACATACAAATGAATTAAATTGCAGTTATTGACTTATTATGTACAAGTTACAATTAGTTTCTTTTGAAATACTCAGTGGCGTAGCTAGGGTGGGGTAAGGGGGGACATCTGTCCCCGGGCGCAGCATCCAAGGGGCGCCAAATTGATGCTACGAAATTTTTTAATGGAATGTTTTCCATTCTTGACACACAGAAAGGGGCGCAAATTCTTCAGTTGTTCCCGGGCACTGGAAACTCTAGCTATGCCCCTGTAAATACTTAATATCTAATTATTATACTTTTTTTTTTCCCACCTAGATTTGCCCGAATTCCCAAAAGCGAGATGTAAGTTTTATCAAATACAATTTTAGTACACAAAAATGTCATTTTTTATATATGTCTAGTGTTATATAAAAAGTATAAAACATTTTAGGAAGTTATAGAAGCATATAACTTGGTGTTCCGTTACAAAGAGGATGAATATTCTATCACATGGTATGAAATATTGCATAACTTCTTTCATTTTATATATGACTATTTAGAAAAAAGTATTTAAATAAAACTATGTAAACTAGCTATAAAATTTATTTTAAATGCTAGACTAAATAGAAAGTAACACTATGTTTTGTATACTGAGTAATTATTTTTTCTTTTAAAACTTATATGTCCAGCAATGGCCAAATGGATAAAACCACTGAGCACTAATAGTTGGACCTGGGTTCAAATCCTGAAAGACTGACAGACCGAATATGTTTTTCAATATTTTCCCCATGCATAATATGAATACAAACTAATCTTTTATGTAATCATCCATAAAGGCATCTCTTCCCGCTGATGCATAGTCCTTCTAAGCTTTTACAGTATATGACTAAATAATTTTAAAATATTAACACATATATTAAACATTAAGCAACAACACTAATGTCCTTAAAAACAGAAGAGTTGAAAAGTATATAGCTATAACTATTTTTTTCCCTGAATACATAAAGTATGCATTACAGAACTAATGTAATTGAAAGAGAAAGATGTCCACATAAAATCTGAAACTATCACCCCCACAAAAAAGGCAGCCTTAAATTAGTGCAAATTTTGAATGAAACTCTGCAGATTATAAATATTATCAGACACATGCCCTTTTTCTTCAGGAGGAGGAAAGGGGGGAATTTTTGAATAAAATTTCAAATGAGTAGAATATAAAAATAATACACATTTTATATCCCAATACTGTTTAGTTTTCTCAGCATCATCCTTTGGCTTTCTCTAAACAAATGGAACTGAATTAAATAAAATTTTAATGATGTCTTCAAAATCATCATCCAAACTGCATTAAACCATAATCAGAGTTTATCAAGGTTTGCTGCATGTTGTGAAATGAACTAATGTAATGAAGCAATAACTGGCACGAGGCGCTGCTGTTCGTGACATCAGCCTGCGTGCTGAGTGTTTCCAATGGTTTGCTTGTAGAGAGAACGAAAGCTGATCTCGGAAGAGAAAGACTGTTTTGAAGAAAATAAAGAATGGCTTATTAAGAATTTTTTGTCTTTATTCATAATGCACCCAGCCTCGGGTAGAAGCAGCCCGCAACTGAATGAACTGTTTTGAATATATTTGATTTATATATTTTCTGTGTTCTCTTCGCAACACTGCAAGTCTACCATAATACATCAATCTTCATTTTATCATATCAACATTCATTTTATCAAATCAAAATTCATTTTAACAACTAGAAGGTGATGGGAAGAAAGAAGTAACATTAAAGAAGGTTCATGTTTGTTGCTGTAGTATAAGAAGTGGCACTGTCCTACTGAAAAATTATCCTGGGTAAACACTGCAAGTATAGAGATAATATAATGAGTCATAGAGTGTTGCAGATCTACTGAGAACTCGTTATTGTTGCTATGAGAAGTGATCTGCTGACTCCAATCTAATATCACTTCATACAGAGTATGCCTTTTGGCTGCAATACAGTCTTTTTGCCATCTCTCACTCCGTTGTTGGCAGATGCACACGTGACAATCATTTTGGCTTGATAAAATCATTATTCATCAAGTAAGCACAAAGTTCATGCACCATTGCAGTCCACCAGTATGTTGCCGAAGTATGAAAGATAATTTGAGAAGTGATTAAAGCAGCCATAACTTAAAGCATACTAAATGGTGATTGTATTGTAAAAGATGCCATTGGTAAATGTGTTATCTGTTCATTGCTGCTGTAGGACAAATACTGCCAATGAGTTAGAGCAATTTACCAAAAATATTCTAATAAGATCCTCTCTCAATGTTTTCCATATGTAATGTTCAAAATCTTACCTTTCTGTCTTACACCATTTTCCATCTTTGCCTATTCTTTCAATCACAGGACAGGCAGAAGTAGGCAGAATATGATAATTTCTACAGTGGCTGTAGAAGAACAGTCTAATCACACTAATGTACCACATTCACCTGGCAATAACAAGAAAATAAGCACTGTGTCCTTTTCATACACCTAATATGTCCTTAGTCGAAGCCACCAATGTGAATATATGATTGTATTTCATAATGCAGAAGCATCCTCACTCATAGATGAATAAGAACTAAAATTCTTATCTACACTTTTAGTAAAATGAAAGGTAATTTACATATGGGTACTTTTCAGTTCTCATTTCCATGGCATTAAAATTTATGGACCAATAATGCTGAATGCGAATTATTTCTTGAAAAAGTGTTTAAAGAGGAGATGTAGCTACATTCCTTCAAGATATTTTCTCTTTTTTTTTTTAAGGAACAGTCGAGTAATGAGCATTTCAAATCTACATATAAAAAATAAAAGAAATTGATTTTTTATGATATTAGGAATACAAAATTATTACTACTATCAAAAAAAAAATCATGCACCTAGAAAGACTGTTTGATCATAATAAAATCTGATATAAGCAGTGAGGAGACAAAGATGAAAAACTGATTAAAACAGAATAACAATCAATCTATTTAGTAAGTAAACATAAGTACAGAACTGTTAAATATTAATATGACATCCAGCTACTATTCTTTGGAGACATGGGTTTATGTGCAACAGGGAGTTATCTCGCTGAAAGAATTCCAGATACATGAAACATTTTTCACACCACAACAGCTTATAGCATATAATGGACCATTATTAAATTTGGATTAAAATAATACTGCAGATTAAAATGCTGTGAAATTCCCTAATGATCACATAACATACTTAATAAATTCCCAATTGAGAACAGCAGGTGTGATTGATGTACATTGCTCCACTATGATGTAGGCAAAGTAGCAATGACAAGGCAACATTCACATATAAATTCTTTGATCACCTGAGCCAAGTAAAACCAGGATTAATTGCTGAAACCAACATGGCTTCAACTCTATATATTTCAGGCTTCTTGATACAATAGCAGATAACTATCGCTATAAATGCTCATGAGTTAGTGGTAGTAGAAGATACAGAGATGCCAATAGTGAAGATCAGCCTTCTTGCAGTGATGCTTCATGACACTAGACATTCAGAAGATGAGAGAGATATAGTTCTAAATAGCACATAGATGAAAAAACTATTGATGCACTTATGACAAGTATCACTGTTTATTACATGTTATTTTCAAAATGCTGTCATCCTAGATCTGTAGCTGCCTTCATGATAACTATGTGTATCTTGTTGGAAATACTATAAAAAATTGTCTGACTGTATTTTGCATGATCAACTCCTCCTGGAGATGATGACAACTTGATAGTGGCCTCCGTCAAGCTGGCTCAATTACAACCTTTGAGATTGTCAGGTAAATAACTGAGGTATTCATATTTGCTAATGCAAACAATATTTAACACATAAACAGTCAAAATGATACAGAAATTTAGGAATGACATTACATTTGTTTCAGGGTGCGCATCGCTCTTGTAGTTGAGAGCTGCTTGTTGTTGTTTATCTATTATTTGCATATCAAGGCAAAAAACATTTGCAAGTTTTGAATTTATTGGATAAATTTTCTAGTTATATGGACTCAATTTTTTTTGGGGGGGGGCGTGCAGTAGATGCTAAAAGTGCAATTAAATAAAAATACCAAGTTAAAAAGTTGAAAAACAAAACCATATTAATACCTGAAACAACACTATTTAAAATCCCATGCTCCTTTACTATGAGCTAGTATCAATTTGATCTGATTTGGGCAAATGATTGTGCAAGTTTAACACAAACAGGTAAAATCTTCAATCTAATGGATTTAAAATACTGATTTTCACAAAAGACTTTTATTATTGCACAAAATACATTTTAAAATAGCAGATGTTTTATTAATATACAACATTACTTGAAAGTTAAGTTGCAGTAGAATTTTTAACTCGAATAAGATAATAAAAAACAGACTCCCTACAATTTAAACCCAGTAGGCTTTTAAATTAGAAAATTATAAACATAATAAGAAATTTTAAATAATTTTATTATAGGTATTAACAAATATTTTTTTATTTAATTAGATATATACTATATAAATATAAGCTATCTAATTTATTGTGAGTCTTCAGATATATCAATGCTCTTATAACTTCTTCTGAAATCGAATTCTTATCTTCATTGTTACACTAAAGCATATCATCACTGATTAGATTATATAACATTTACTTCTAAATCACAATCTGAGTTTAATATTTAAAAGAAGATAAATATAATTTTCAGAAGTATTAATTTAGGTAACAGTAAAATGCAATGCAGTAAATCACTTATTGAGCAAATATAATTTCCAATATGAATTGTTCCCTTGCAAATAAGTTTCCATTACTTCATTCACATATATGTAAAGTGAATTATAAATTCAACTTAAAAAATTTATTTCTTCATTACTGAATTATTTGCTATTCAATGTTTGAAATATTAAGAAAAGGGTTTTTTTCCCCCTATAAATAAATCTGAGTTAAAAAGATTAAGATTATACATAAGATTATATAGTCAGTATTTTAAAATGTTATTGACATATTGTTTAAGGAAGGATTAATTTGAAGAAGAATAACAATGTTTTATAAAACTTTTAATTACTACTTTATAATACTTATTTTAACTGCTTAAGGCAAAATTTATAATATCTGTATTTTAGTGATCGATTATTCAAATTTTATTTTAGCAATAACAACAGAAAAATATTTTCACCAAATCTAAGCGATCCCACAGTAAAGGCCACACTTACAATGCTACAAAATTTATGTCAACTAGATGAACTCCTCACACCACTCCCTCCACATGCAAGTCTCAATATGAAGCTCCTGTATTATGATGATAGTAAGCAAACTTTTTTACAACTATATAACTGAAAGTATAAACTTATGAAAAATATTTCAACAAAATTAATATTCTAAATTTTAAGAGCATTAACACAGCTTTTTTTAGAAAAGCACTATTATTTTTTATAATATACTAGCATATATAGTTATCCTATTATCTACTAGCTTATATGTATTTTTACTACCTTCCTACTGACTCCTACCCAGGGGCCAACATGAGACAGTCAGCAGTTTAATATCAGAAACAATCAATTTATCAAAATGACAAAGTAAATGTAAATTTACTATAGGTAGTTCTGATGCTAAATGTTGACTATAATATCCACTGCCAACATGAGACAGTCGGCAGTTTAACATAAAAAACAATCAATTTATCAAAATGACAAACTAAATGTAATTTTACTATTGGTAGTTCTTATGCTAAATGTTGACTATAATACACACTGGTTAAATATTTTAATATTTTGAATACAGCATTAAATGTATATTAAATTTTACTACATAAAAATCCATTAGTTAATCCAGTGTTAAATAATTAGAAATTATGTACATATTACTGTAAATACTAAAATATTTAAATGATACTAAAATATTTAAAATAATTTTTTTCATATATAGATACATCATTTAACCTATTTTAATAACATTTTTCTCATTTTACTAAGTCACACCACCTGATTATGAGCCTGAAGGATTTGAGCCTAGTTCTACTACTAAATTCCAGTTTCCAGAAAAGGCAGTAAACATATTACTTGGACAAATTGCTACAGATTTTCATAGGTACTTCATTTAATTATTTACAAATGTATAATGATCAAGCATATAACAAGTGCTTTCAAAAATCAAAAACTTTTCAGCCATCAAATTATGAAATACTAATCAGTTTTTAATGATTTTTTAGTTACAAGTTTGTTTTAAAAACTACCAATGCTATAAACTACTCATTAACTCAGCCTACCTCTGAAGATCCTGTTATGATTGGATCTCAAGATAGAGTAAGTTTCTTAGGCGAATAGAATTTTTTCCTGTAATACATGAATAATATAACTGCAAAATACATTTTTTGTCTATTATGCCTTTATAACAAAAAAATGCATATAATTTTATATATGAACATATTAGGGATATACATAAATAATCAATTATTCCAAAATAAAGTATATTAACTCCTTCAAAGGACAATTCTATTATTTAATCAATAATGTAGTTATAACTAATAAAGATTGCTTGATTGCTTTTATAAACTCATTTCTTTTTGGTGAATAATAGTTTAATAAGGGTTTACAGCCATTAGATTAATTATCCTTTTTAACAAGTAGATGCTCTAGAAAATATAACAAATGGTAACGTAGAAGTGCCAAGAAAATATGGGTTTAATAGAAAATGTCCCATTTCCATTATTTTCTTTCAACAATTTTACTTATTTAGGTTTTTATGTTATTTTTTTAAGAATAAAATATATTCTAATCACTAATGCTGATGTATCTATCAGCAGTTTTAATAATAGGCTGGCCCTAGACTTAAATTGTTAGAATTTTTTTATGTTTTGAAATATGTTTAAATAAATCATTCCACTACTATTTCAAAAAATGTATAAAAAGTCTGTCAAATTAATGGTTGTGGGATTTTCGTTAAAAAGTACTATCAATTCTCTTTGAAAGTGGTATATAGGACCCTTTAGTAGAGAATGCATTACTTTTGAATCACATTAATAGTGAGCTACATATTCTACATGGATTCTCCTTACAGGAAATGATGAAATTTTTCTAAAATCCGAAGTCTGTTCATGAAATTTTCTCATTCCATAGAAATGCTTTGGAATAATTTATCACATCGATGTGGTGATTTCAGATAAGTTTTGTATCCTTTTCTCAGATCATTTATGTCTCATTATCAAATTTCAGTTAGCAGTCCCTTTTCAGGCCTGTCTGACAGGTCAAAAATGTCCACAATAAAATTCTGAAACCAATTCAGACATTTCTTTCCAGTGCTACTGAAACAACATACTATGAAGATTGAGCTACTTAGAAGGAGTTAAGTCAATCAGTTCATTTATGTCCATAAAAATAACTCATTAAAAAAAGTTAGAAGAAGATATGCTTAATTTCTTGAAAGATTAACACAAAACTAATCCTAAGCATCACTTAAATGATTATTTGATAATTTATAGGTATTCCTAATATAACTACTATAGATATAAATACACTGTTAATTATCCATCATTTAGAAAGTATAAGTTAATGATTAGCTTTATTTATAATTATCACAGGCAGAAACAGCTAGAGATACTACAGAAGATCATCAGTCATCGAAAGAAATTATATCAGGTATAAAAATTAGAAATTGATTTCTCATGCATACTTTTTTTTCATTATTTCATTTTTTTTAATAACCCAAAACTATGAAAATACTTGATTTAAAACAGATTTGTATTTAGAGATATATTTAAAAATATGCTTTGATTAATTTTACATATAAATGCAAAGCATACATCCCCCATTCATTTCACATACTAAGGGCGAAAGCAATTTAAAAAATGGAAACCAATGGAATGCAAATTTTGAATAAAATGAATGCATGAATTTTCTGCATATTGTGTGAATGTGTGCTAGTTTCCCTAAGAAAATTCTGTATAAAGAAAGATTTTGCCTTAAAGATAAAACGTCCATTAGATTGTAATTAAGGGTGGGAGGGGAAACTGCCAATGTAAAAATTAAAATCAGGCAAACAGACAACTTTAACTGGCATAGAATGAAAAAAATTAGTTTTTGAGGACATATCCAACAAAGGTCTCTCTTCTTCAGGAGCAAAAAATTTTACACATACTTTAACAATAAATAAGGATTCTGAAATTAAATTATTTAACTCAAAAACAGACAAATATTATTTATTTTCCACACTGGCAGGAGATAAATCTTGATGTCCTACAAATTAATTTAAAAAAAAAATTACAAACAGAAAAGAATATGTCATATACCACAAACATCTGATACACACGAATTTATATTTTCATTCTTGAGAAATTAATAACTTGCATGTTCTATATGAATTGTTTCTGAACTTCTGAGAGCTGTGCTTTCACTTTTTTTTTAAAATGTTACTTAGCAGGTTTTCATTTACGTACCATAAGCTTCCAGTATAACCATCAGTTAATACTTTTTAACTTTGAAATTAATATTTTAATCTTACCTCTCTACTCATAGCCTATTTTATTTTTTAAAAAAGCTCAATGAATAGCTTATATATTATTCATTAAAACTGAATGATTTCAGGATATAATGGGATCTTTGATACTCTGCAGCTACACACAGCTACTGCATTATAATATCAGGATAGATACAAATGTCAGAAATTGCTCCAAGCATTATACACGTTCTGAGCATTTTAAAAAAACTCTAGAAAATAGGTTTAATTTCAAATATACAAATCAGCACTGGTCTGTTGTTATCAGGACGGGGTCCAGAAATGTATGTATGTATGCATGTATAAATGTAAATACAAATGTATGTGTGTGTATACATATACATATATATGCACATATATACAAACACATGTTCATAGACTTCTGAATCCGGTCCTGATAACAGAACAGTACCTACAAATCATATATGTGTGAACTGTGAAAATTATTATTAAATGAACAAGTTCACTTTGCAATTTCAAACCACAACACAATGCTAAAAAATATGCATTATATCAAATAATATCAAAGTTTGAAATATTATATTATTATTTAATAGGTAAATGATAAAATAATTAAATACTCTTTCTCTCTCTGCAATACACACATATATATATACATATATATATATATGCTTTTTATTAAATAAGCGTTTTATAACTGTGACTTTTACAAAATGGAAATTAAATGTTTAGTCAACAAGACATTGATAATTATGAAGCTTTTAACATTACAGATTCTTGGAAATCAGATAAAGATGGAAAAATACAGAAAAGTCAAAAGTCTAAGAGATGCCCATGTACATGCACTGAAGTAAAAATAATTAATAATTTTATTATCATTTAACAATGTATTTATTTACACGTCACTGTAAAAAATGAATTGTATTTCAACTGTAAATATAAAACAAAACTTAAATCCTTAACAGAAATAAAGTACTTTTAATTTATTTCAGAGACATGATGATGATTTCATTGCATGCATAGTTTGCCAAAGCAAACAGCATAAAATTTGTTATGGCATTTTGAAAAATGAAGATATTCCTGAAAATTTCTATTGCAACGATTGCTTTTATAATCATTCAGATGGCATGCCTGAAACCAATTTAGTATACAGCTTCAAAGGAAACGAATTAGAAGTTAGTATGCATGTATTTTGTTATGTAATCATATTAAAAATGTATAATAGAATTTCATAAAACTCATGCTCACAATATTTTTCTTTTACACAAATTTTAAATGATTTGTATAATGCAACAAGAATTATTTTTTCAAAGGAAAGGACCATTTTTTTTTCGGAGCAAGCTTTTTCTTTTGGCTTCCAATCCCTCCTCCATTACAATTATATACTAATTTTAATAGGAGTAAAATGAAAGTAGGAGAACATAGCAGTTCTTTTTTTAATGTACAAAAGCTTTTTATTCCATTGACAAGCAAAATGCATTAATTTGATAAAAGGACTAGCAATTTTTCATTACTCTAAAAGCATATTTCCTTGCTGTACTGGCTGAAATCTGTATTTTGACAGTCTTGGCTCTGGAGGCACAACGTACACAAACTGAGTTCCCAGTTGTTACCCTCACTTGTGGATGAGTAGAATGGCAGACTTGCTCAATTATATCAATACCCTTCAAGATAACACTGAGGTGGCCTTCCCTTACCCTGAACAACATGTAGAACTAGAAAGGCTAAAGTACTTGAAAACTAATTTTTCTTTAGTCCTAATTTGTCCTTTAAAGGATACACTTCTCCTGCCTAATATGAAGAAGCCCATAGTGTTTTGAATTAAATGAAGCGGGATGGTGAGAATGTGATTTTATTTTTATAAAGCATACGTATCTCTCTGGAAACAATAAAATATGTAAGACACAACAGTTTGTACTGTGGAGAAACAGCAGCTCTTGGTAGAAAATTATTTTAAAGTAAGCTATTAACTTGAGATTTTTTATGAAAAGTAACAGCTCCATTGTTTCCACAAACTTACATGAGGATCAATAAAGAGAGAGAAAATCTAGTTTTAACCTTTAGAATGTTGGTAACCAGTTTGGTTAAAATACTGAAAAACTGTCTATCATCAAGATGTCTGAAATTCCATTTGCGATTCACAACAATTTCTTTGCCTTCCCCCATTCATTAATGAACAAAGAGGTGTGAAAATTTCAAATTATACCATTTCCAGTGCCTAAGAAAGGAGTTTCCTTTAGCTCCTAAGTCATCATCTAAGTAAGTCATCTTTAACCTAAAGATAAAAACATAGGACAGCTTTTGGCTATGAATAGCTATGTGGGTACAAATCACAGCTTGAATGTAACACCTGAAATATTACAATAATGAAATAATATAAGCCAAAAATAACAAAAATATATGCATACTTTAAAATTTTAAGATTTTTAAAGTAAAAATACAATGTAAATTTAGATCTCATTTCATTTCATGTAATATACATTTTTTTTATTCTTGATTAACCATGTACGCTTTTGTTTAGTTTCACTAACCAGCTATTTTATGTTAATGTGCTTCTTCGTCCTTCTCATATCCCATTTTCTGTCAGAATCTACATTTCTAGCTCACATGTATTCAAATGAGGTAGAAAAGAAATAGTATTTTCAAAGGAAGATTTTAGAGGGTAGAATTAGAGTGTGTTCTGCCTGTTGAAGGGCACATTGCATATCTGAATCTTTTGAGAGGTGTATTCTGTAGTGTTATTCTCGCCATTAGGCTTGTCATGCCAACTTGCATGTTTCTTGTGTTAGTCATTGGGCTAACTTACATTTACTTAGTTAATTTCTTTACCTTTAATTTAAGCCATAAATGCTGGCTATTCTGTAAGCTCAAGCAGTGCCTTACGTTAACTTTGATTTAAAGAAAAGAATCCTTTATACCCTTTCTCAGTGTCTGTGGTACTTTACAAGTACTATTCACTTAAGAGCTTTAAAAGTTTTATACATTTGATACTATCAAAGAAAATAAAACTTTATAACTAATAACAATTTAAATCCTTGCATAAAAATCTCTTTCTAGGAATTTTGTGCAATGCGAAGAGCTCTTGTAATTTGTTCCCAACTGAAAACTCTTACTACAGCTAACTTGGCAAAGCTACTAGGATGTACTACAGCATTAACAAATGCACTGATCAATCGTCTTGAGAAAGAAAAATTTTTAACAAAACGGTAAGAATTATGACATCAAATTAAAGCATAAAACTGTAAGTTTAAAGGTAAGATTAAACAGTCAGTTTTAAGAAAATAGCAACAAAACATTCTTTTAAAAGCCATATTTACAGCTTATTGGTTTGTAATGCAAAATTTTATTCACATGAATGCTAATTAATATTCTTACTAATAAATAATATTATTAATATAACTTATTTTCATTTTACTTAGAACAACTAAAAAGAGTGGATATAATGTCGAAAAAGAATATATATTGAATGTTGGCATCCCAGAATATTTTCCACTAAGGAAAAAACAAGGATGTGCAAATCCTCAGAATAGACTTTCAAGGAAAAAGGTAATTTGTTTACATGAAATTTATTTTGAAAACAATAAATATAACTTTTTAGCAAATTAAAAAACAAATAAAAATTCATGCATATTCAAAAGTTAATATCTTGTTGCAACAAAAGTTTTCAACCAAAAAACGTTCTTAATAAAGTTGGGGGGGGGAACATGAAAGCAGTACCTTTAGTGTAAGTAGTAATAACTACCCAAATCTATGATTTTTTGCCAATGTTTTGGTAGTTTCCAAAGTTTTCAAAGCCTTAGGCCAAAAACAGACCAACCTCATTTCGGATGTTCTGTTGCAGTATGGAAGATAGCCCCAGCAAGATGTAGCTTCAGGTGTGAAATAAGATAGAAGCTCGAATGAGTGATGTTGAGTCTACATCGTAGGGGTGGCAAAAGATCCCATTTGAATCCATACAGAGTCCAACTGGCGATGCAGACACATGTGATCTTGCATTATCTTGATGAAAAATTATTTTTTTGGGCTGGAATTCAGTGCGGCATCTTTCCTGTAGGGCAGCATCAACATGGTCTAGCATTTTATGTTTGTCCAGATATTCTGTGTGGATAATACCATGGCAATCCCACCAGATACAAAGCATGAACATTTTATTAGTAAAATTGTACTTTGCAACGCTGCCAATGGGCTCACCGGGTGCAGAACAAAACCCTTTTCAGTCTGTGTTGTTGAATTCATCAGTGACAATCCGGTCCAGAATTTGACCTTGCATTGATATCCAAGCAGATTAGTGCAGGCCCAAACAACATCTGTCCTTATCTGCTTGAGTCAGCTCATGCAGTAACCATCAATTGAACTTATACGTTAAGTTTATGCGATACATAGCATGATTAATGGACATAGCACTAGTGTCTAATTTGTTAAGTGGTTGCATACTGATCTTCCACAAGTTCTCGCACGCGAGCCTCATCAACATCAATAGGTTGGGCACAGCGCTCTGCTTCTTGAAAGTTATAGTCCTTGTTTTTGAACTTTTGGTACCAAATCTTCACAGTGTCATATGGTACAACATTAGTACTTAAAGCTATATACATGATTTGGTGACATTGTGTTGCTGACTTTTTGCAAAAGAACTGGAAGTAAACGATGTGTCTAATGTGGTAGAGTGATAATTCTATTTCAGACACCTTGTATTTAATGATAACGATATTTTTTTACAAATTTTACAACACAATGTTTAAAAGCAAGACTCTTTCTTACAGTTGCCAAAAATCGTTTGACAAATATTAAGCATGCCAACATGAACTGTTTGTGCAGAAAATATATTTGCAGTGCTAGGAAACTTCTGCTAAAACCCGATATTTTAAATAAACATAAAAAAGTGTATGCACATACATATACACACTCGTAAACTGACAAATCATTACAAAATTCAATAGGTATTACAATACTATACATTTTCATACATGGATACTTATATAACATATAAGTAACATTGCTTGGAGATGGCCTTCCATTAAACTGATTTTCAATTCATTAAACTATGGTGACTCTTGATTGTTAGCAACATTCTGACACAAAGTTAAAATTAAAATAATTTGTTGATTAGTTATCTTTTGACAATATTGTTATATATAAAAGCATAAGCGATACATTTGGAAAACCTGTCGTAAGAATTTATCATATAGTTTCATACGATCTATTACTGTGATATATATAATAGATAAGTAACAGATAGTAACAATAATATCAGATAGTAAGTATAATACATAAATAGCAGAATAACTTATTACTTCCTTCATCACAACTAAGTATTCACATTTATTAATTTCTTAAAAAGCATTTTAAGTAATACACACAGAGAACAGAATAATAGGCAAACATCTTGATAATTGTAAAGAATAATGAGATATGTGATCCATCAGGAAATTTAATAGCACTATAGAAAATCTTATGATGATTCTAAATAAGCCTTATTGCTACATGACTAAACCAGTCTTTCTGCAAGTATGCCACTTAAATATACAAGAAGTTATCTCTATATGAATTATTTAAGTTAAATGCTATCATAATAAAAAATTCTGATAATTGAAGGAAAAATATCAAAATCTCATTTCTCTTAAATGAGAGATATTAGAAGAATATTCTAAATTTCCCCATCAAATAACACAAAACTGAAAACCTGAATTTTTTCAACCAAGCAATTGCATACAGGACTTTGATCAACTTGCAGTATCAAGTTCTAAGACACCAACATAATTAACAATTTGAATTTCAGATAGCCAAGAAAATAACAACTTAGCTAGCCTTAAATTATAGGTAAGCTTTCTATGCTTAGCTAGCTTTAAATTCTAGCATTTACTGTAATTAAAGTGATGAGAAATTTACTGGGAAAAATAAGAGAGAGAGAGCAGAATTAATGCAAAATAAGTGTGTTATAAATATAAAATATGAAGTGGCAGTATAATCAAGTGGCTTACTGGTTTAGCAGAGATGTTTAAAATGTATTACAGGTCTATAAAACAACAGTTTATTTTGGAAGGTTTATAAAAAATGTTTTCATAAGATGAATGTAGAAGAACCTAAGTAGTTTTGTTACGTATCTCACTTGAATACTACAAATGAATAAATTATAAATATAATAATGCAAATATGAAATAAGCACAAAAATGGATTACGCATTTCTTCTGGCTGTTTTTTTTTTCGCCATGAAAGAAGTATGACAACCTTGCCCTATACAACTTCTTCCTTTGGAGGTAAGTGAAAGATCAGGTGGTTCTGCCATTCCCCATGAACTTAACAAATGGTTTTCAGCTGGTTTCAAAAGAATTACCATTCATACTTTTTAGAATATGCTTTCCAAGTATTTTCATGCCACCTTGATATAATATGCATAATTAAAGGAAATTGCATCAAATATTAAGTAAATAAAATTTAATATAGTTTTCTTTTAGATCTATGCATTACTTATCATTCTGTGATGTTAATTTTTAAAACTGAATGATTCTTTCAAAATTACCCTACATATATTTCATGTTAATATCAATATTAACATGAATAATCTATATATTAATTTATATTAGAAATCAGTAATAAATTTAACTAGTGAAAAATCTATCTTGAAAACAGGCCAGAAAAGATGAAAATGCAAAAAGAAGTCACGAAGAAGAAGATGATGATGATATGTGTATATCAAACGACAAAAAAAGAAATAAAAGCATTGTAGAGGAAGTAATTATATCATTCCAATAAGAAGCACTTTAATTTCTGCTTTTTAAAACTTATATTATTGATTCATTTTTTTATCAATACATACATGGGCCACTGAAAGAATGAACAGTTTGAAAAATCATGGCCATTTTCATTCTCTTTTATATTTTTTTTTTTGTTGTTTTGTTTTGCATGTTATAAAGCATCCTTTGGAGATTAAAATGGCAATGCATGATGTTCAGTAACAAGTAAAACTTATTGAATTTTTTAATTCCAGTGAAAGATCAATTATTTAAACTTGAGAAAACAGCAGCAGCATTTTTAATGTATGCCCCAGCAATAACATCATCAGGACTGTATGGTCCAGTTTGAAAGAACTGAATCAAACTGTGATCTTTTCTTAAGAGGTCCTAAGTACACTGATGCAACAATGGTCTTTCAATGGAATAGAAACACCCAGTAAGATTTACTCATTGCTGGACTTTATATGTACACATTTTAATCTCCAAGGAATGCTCTGTCACCTCTCACCTGAAAAAAAAAATATAGCAAACAAATCATGTACTTTTCAAACTCTTCAATCTTTCATCGCCCTCTTGCTTTATCAGAAATTTTTTTAATGAATGCTGCATACCTTACAAGGTACAAAAAAGAAATGAATTCTAGAATTCTAAAAAAGTGCTTCATTCAGTGTAGTTAGTGTAGTTACTACATTCTCAAGTATTTATCACATCTTTAGTGGTTCATAACATTCCATTTCTTTCCCTTCTTATGAATGCAAAATTATAATTTTTTTTATTAAAACATTATTATTAATAATTATTTTTAAACAGAAAATTTATACATCATTCACTCAAAAATGTAACCATATTAATTAACTAAACTTCGACTTCAAGCCTTTAGTCTTTAAAAACCATTTAGCTTATACTAGATTTCATTCCAAGTATGCTCAAAAATTTATTGCCTCCCCCCCAAAAAAAGAAAGCCACAATAATTTACTCTTTGAAATATGCAGCTTCTAACACAAAAAATACTTACACTTTAATATGCTCTCACAAGAAGAACTAATGAAATGTAACATCTAAAGAACTTAATTGCTAAAACACTAAGCCATATTATCAAAACCATTTAGAACGAACTTCCTTATTCCAGTATTTTCACAACATTTATCAAACAAGAGATATCACATATTGATGCCACATATTTTAAACACAAATGATAAATTTAAGGGACAGCAAAATTTTTACTATCCCAGTAAAATTCTTTTATAACAACAGGTTCTGATCTAGCAATCTTTGAATTCCTACTGTCCATAAAATGTTCTCGATTTAATTTTTTGTATGGTGTTGAGGACTTTTAGATCACAATTTATTGGTTGCTTATTTCACACATATTGCTTGCATTAGATTGCAAATTTACATATTGCTTACATTAGATTACCATGTTTTTGCCAATTTAAAAGGAAAAAAATCCGAAATATGGTCAAAATATTATGATAAGAATAATTTGCAGTTATAGAACAAAAATTGCAGCTTTATAAAAATATTCCCTCATTCCTATCAATATTCTATTAACATGCAGTTACGTTAAATTATCTGTTACACATATATTAATGTTTAATCTACCATACAAAGAATTCTATTCATTCATAGTATATATGTTGTATGAAGTTTGAAATCCGGTATTCTATAGAATGCCTAGGTATTTATTGTATATAATGCTTAAAACTAGCCGGAATGCCAAATGACAAACTGGCAAAGTATGAAAATACATTTCTGATTCATCTCGAAGAACCAAACTACTTATCAGAAGTTAATAAATGATTTAAAAAGGCCAGAATGACTACTACGAAGAACCACAGAACTACCAGCCGCTGAATCGCTAGGATGTGATATTGTGGAAAACAAAATTACATTCATTTATTCTGTTAAAGAAAGCGTCAGTAGTATACAGTATTACATCACGAACGCCGAGTTATTTCCCATACTTCATGAAAACTCATTTGAGTACTGCACATGGACAACATGACAGGATGTTGAAAGAACTTTCAACCAAATACAAAAATGTTACATGTAATGATATTGAACTGTACAACCAGCTTTGTGAGCCCTGTTGGAAGAAATAAAAAGTATTAAAAAGGCCATTGTTGTGAAACTTATGATTGTTTCTGAATTCATTTCTATTGTCAGATAGATCTTACTGATTCCCAGAATCAGTCAGATAGAAAGTACAAATTTATTATGTTGTATCAAGATCATCTCACTATCTTCTTTTTACATATTTTGAATAACAGTTTTTTAATGCCACTCTTTCATTAATTTTTTCGAGGGATGAACACCTTTTAAATAATAGTCTTATCATAAATATTTTTTCATACTTTGCCTATAGAGCATTTGCCATTCTATAGATTGCCTATGTATTATGTACAATGCCCAGGGAAAATATGCAAATAATTTTCATATTTCGTACTTTGCCGAAAATCGTCCAACATTATACACAGTGCTTAGGCATTCTATAGAATACTGCCGTTTCATACTTTGCCAGTAACATATAAGTTCAGAGAGATCCCAAGAATTCTATGTTCCTGCGTCAAATTCTAATCCATACATTTGGAATATAATTAATTGAAAAAGTGCATCAAATGTATGACCCTTGAGGGACAGCATTTTGTGTTTAGATATCAGTGAAAAGATAATTTTCATCCTATTGGATTGTAGTAAAACCTCATTAATTTCTAGTATTTCTATCTAGATACTTCAAAAAGTGGTGAATTTTTCTAGTCCGTCAACCAGGAAAACTTTTACTAATTTGCAGTCCTTATGATTTCATTGTTTATTGATTTTATTTCAATAATCAACTCCTTAAAATAAATTTATCACAGAAAATATGCAAAGAAAAGTTATTAAACAAATTACTTTGAAACATACAAAACTTTTCTTTGCATATAAATAAATAGTTTCTATTTCATTTCTTTAAAGGTTGAGGTGTTAAGCATTCATAGCTCACCAGAAATTCTTCAAAGCCAAAATTCACAAAAAAGAAGTTCATCTCAGGTAAAAAAAAAAAAAAAAAAAAAAAAAACTATATAAATGTCTAATTTTTAATATCTTTTAGTGTTTCAGCAGTTAAATGTTGATAATAAATTCTAATTATTTTTTCTATATCTTACTAGGTATTTAGCAGTCAAGAAGTCTTTCAATCTACAAATAAAAAAAAGCGTGGATACTTCTAATAATTGGGACATTGACATTAAATCTTTAAGCAAAAAAATAGAAAGAAATCTCATTACCATTTAATACAAAACAGATTTGGCTTACAAATATTTCAATGTATGGATGAATTAAATATTCATGAAATTATAACCTGGATTGATCTTTACTATTAAACAAGTTCTATGTGGTATGCTACTTTGTTTCCATATTTATTATTCAGAAAGAGTACATAAATAAGAATGCTGACACTTAACACAATTTCTTTTTTTAAGTACACATTGGAGAATTATGGAGGAAATCTCCCAGTATAAACTCTGAGTGTGTTTTAATATTTTACTTGCTTTCTTATAACTAAAAGAATTTATTTTTGACTTTGAGATCTGTAAAAAACTACAGCAAGATTATCATGATAGAGGGATGTGTTGACTACAATTAAATCTTCTAAAGCCAAACAAATGGATTTTTTTTTTAGCTGCTAATGGATGTTGTTTTCAGTTGTTAAAAAAAAAAAAAAAAAAAATTAATAACCAATTCAACTTTAAATTCATTACCAAATAAATAAACAGGTAATCTGAGAGATTAAATTTCTACATGAATTAATTTACTGCTATAAAAACTTAACCTCGAAATTTCTGAATTTTTTTATCTATCATTTCTTCTTTCTTGGTATATGCATATTCTTAAGATAATCAAACATAAATTATTTTCTGCATTTCTCTTAAATGTCTCTTCTTTATTTAAATAAATATATAACATTTTTTATTTAATCTTACCAAATCTTAACATCTTCAATCATCAGTCTTCAATCTTAAGAAATTTTATTTTTATTTAACAATTTTTATTTTTATTCATTAACAAACATAAATCTCTCCACCTGTCCGAAACAGTTGGAAAAACAGCTGACTAGACCAAGCTACTTGTTTCCAGTTATTAAATATCCAACATCTAACCTGCTTAGCCCAGGTAAGCATAGTTGTCATGCTTTCAGAGGTGTTCTCATTCAATGTCAGCTCATAAAGCCCATATAATACAGGGATATAATATATATCCTATTGCACAAAATGATTTTAGATAGTAAATGCTAGTTATGTTCATCCAGTGTTCTTTCATGGCCAAATATTTATGTTCATTCAGATGTTTTTTTCATGGACAAATGTTTGTCCTAAATTCAGAATTTTATGAGAATTTGGGTAGTCATGGTACACTTCAAGGGCCATACAAGAAAATCCATATTTCGCCTCTACTGCTGAAATGGTATGACCCATCTAATGAGCTTCAACTATTAGATGACATTAACAATACTGCAAAGCGTAAAAATTGGCTATTCTGAGAGTAAAAATACCTCTATAAGGGCTTTCAAAAATGTCTGCTACTTCATATATGCACTAGTGGACTCAATCAATGACACATATAGGCAGCATTAAAGTGCATTCTGCATCTGTTCCATGTGTACCAATTACTTTTTTTTGTCAACTCAATGCATTTTAATTTTTTAAACACTGAGCAGCTGATATTACCATCATGAAAGATTCCACAATTTTTACGATTATTTATACTCAGGGAAAAGTCAAATATTCATGGGATAAGAAAGAAGTGGGATGACTGCAGAATTAGCTTTTTTAACAATTTGTTGTTTAAATCTAAACACCAGTCAGTATATATCTAATTGCAGGCACTTAAAATATGTGTGTCATATTTTATACTCTATTTTTTATTAATTTTATTATTTAAATTTTAAAACATAACATAGTTTTATTACAAAGCAAATTTTGTCCAATTTGTGTGTAAGCTGGGACTATTTGTAAGTAAGTGTTTAATAGTCATGACTTATCTAGTCCAGTAATTATAATAGTAAATAAATAAATATGATGAGAAGTAACAAGAAAATAATTCAGTATTTAATGCTTGCATTATATTAGCAAAATGTACATCATCTAAGCATTTGAAGAGTAACATCAATATTTCTCCAATGTGGAGCAGCTAATGCAGGATCTAGAAGAAAAATAATAATAAAATCAATTGATGAAGAACAACATGAATTATATATGACGTAAAATAAGACAATCAATTATCTTTCATTAACAGCAATATTTATTCTAACTTTGTCTAAACTAATAAGACTTATTTTTAGGTAAATGAGATTAATTAAATTTCATTAAAGTTACTCTGAGGTAATGAAAAATATAACAAACAAACTTTAGCAGCCAGAATTATGCAAACATGAACTTTCATATAAAATTTTCCAATCCTTGATTATATATACGTGCTTATCCTACAATTAAATCTCTAATAAACTCATCGGAAGCAAATGTAAAATGTGACAAGTACTATAAAAATACATGTATCTTAATTTTATATTTGGTGAAAATCTCATATGTTTGCCTTAATCCTTTTTGGATTACTAAAGTGTTCAGCGAGTGTTTTCTCAATATCATCAGTATATTTAAAATTACATTTTGCTGTGATTTATACCTAATAAAATATTTTTGAACACAGAAATGATCTTTCTTTAATTTCATTCTTATGATTACTTTAAACCAGCAAATATATACTATATACACTATCCACCAATAAGTATTTGGATACTTATGATAAAAAAAAAAAAAAAAAAAAAAAAAAAAACCATTTATTCACATTCAATAGTTTGTCGAGCCTCCATGAGCGTCAATTACAGCTTCAATACTCCAGGGCATGCTTTCTACAAGTCGTTGTATGATGACTATTGGTATTTTCTCCACTCAGCTTGGAGAAGACTTGTATGTTCCTTCACTGATGTTGGGCAGATTTTGCACTCCTTAATTCGGTGATCCAACTGGTCCCAGAGGCTCTCGATAACGTCTGGGTAGGCCAATCCATTCAATTAACCCATTTGTCACCATAACCAATCCATGCTGAAATTAACATGGTCCAACCCGTAAAACTGCCCCAATGTAAGAAGCACATTGTCATCCAAAATACTGCAGTAGGCATGGGTTTCGAGCTTGCCATGAATTTGGACCAAGGGCTACAGTCCATACCAGGAGAAACAACCCCAGATCATAATTCCACCTCTGCTGACCTCTATTGCGGGCACAATGCATTCTGGTTGGAAGCGTTTTCCAGGCAAATATTACACACAGACCCTGCCATCCGAGCATTTTTGTATTGTTCTGGAATATTTCTGAAATGAGTTAGGCAATTGTCATTAAATAGCATCACTGCATGACTAATTGCAACCTTTTCAGGATATTTCTTTTCAACAGAGTCCAAAACCTTTTTCTCACATTGCCAACACATCCTTTATCTCACTTGAAGAGATAGCTTCCTCCACTTCTGCCTCCTCTGAAGTCTCCTGCAGAAATTCTATTTGTTGCAGCATCTGTAGTTCCATCAATTTTTCCACCATCAATTTATCCGACTGTGCAGTAACAAATTCTTTGATATTTCCCTCATCCACTTCAAGGCCCAAGGACATTCCAAGATACACAGTAGCAGCATTTGAAATCCATGTCTAAATCCTTCAAAGTCTCTCTCAGTCACAATGTCAAGCCATGATTTTTTTTGATGATGCAGAGGTCAAGCTCCTTCCTGCTAGGCCATGCCAACAATTTTGAGATGTATGCCAATGATATAGTGGCTAAATAACTGTCTGTGGCAATAAAAATACATAATTAAATAATGCAAGAGAAATGCTTCTGCAGCAAGGTGAATTGAAATGGTGGATGAGTCTGAACAGTGTTGACATCACAGACAATTTGCCATGGACCTTACCTTATAAGAGACAGACTAGGGAAAGTGCACATCACCCATATGTCCGCAAGATGGAGTAGGAATGATCTGGTTTACTTTAACACTGAAACCTATGGTGTATGTATTAAATAACTTTTTTAATTATTAAATGTGATACATAGTATGAGTGATGAGATTACGTGATGTCATAATTTTTTCAAATTAGATTTAATGCACTTTTTACTGCATTTTGCACACTTTTTTCACATGCAATTCTTGTATAAACACCTTTACTTTGATAAAATGATAAAAATGCTACCATAAAATTGATGAACTTACTTTTGTGTACAAATAAAGTAAAATTAAATAAGATTGATGATTTGAAACAACATGATGTTTTGAAACAAATAAGGTAAAATTAAACAAGTTCAGATAATTTTTTAAAATTTTATGAGTATTTTCAGGCAGAGGTTTTTAAAATTATTATAACATTACATCATTTATCTGATTATATGATTATTAATTACATTAGAAGATGATCATAAGATGATTATTTATTTTAATAATTCAAAAAATTCAGAGCAAAAACTTTTCTGATTGTAATGGGGGCAAGAGATAAAATAAAATAAAATCTGAAAGCTCTCAGATTTTATATTAAGCCCAAAGGGGTGTTTTTTTAACGTTTTGTGTTTTACCTTTATTTATTAAATATTATGTTCTTCACACATAAACCATATAAAATTCAATTCAACAGCAATATCACAAAATTTTTAAAAAGCCTGAAAGCACTGAGTTTGTTAATAAAAAATTTGTTAAAGTTTTACAAAATATGAAATGGATAATAAAATAAATTCAAAATTCAGGCATTCAGGTGCCCATATTCAGGAGGAGGATTACATTATTCAAAATTTGATGGCTCTAGATACCGCCATTTTTTTTTCACACTGCGAGAAACATACATGCATTCATGCAAATTTCTTTAAATATAATACATGGCGTCAACATTTAGTGTCAACAATTTGCAAAGTGAAATGGACATTTATAATGAAACAATGCAAAATGCTGTTTAGCCTTTCTGGGCTACCGCCTCTTTGGGCTAATAAAATAAACTCACAGTAAATAATAATAATAAAAATCTTACGCCGAACTAGAAATAAATTTAAAGAAAAATCACTATAAAGTACTAGCACAATTAGTTATCACAGTTAGTTAAATACAATTTTTAACATTAGAATAAATGTGTAAAAATTATTAAAGTGTTAAAAGTGTTTATCACTATGATGTATTAAGAAATATAATTGAAATAAGACTCCCTTATTGAATATATTATTCACCTATAATTTTAAAAATGCAGCAGAACAATTAAAAATTTAAAAAAAAAAAACTTTCAAAAATTCATTTTTAGAAATTTTAGTATTTTTTCCTTATTTACACCAATAAAAAGCATAAAAACTGTTAAGAGAAAATTGTTTGTTTGAATTTTTCTATTAGTTCAGATTTAAAATATTGTTTTCTAAAAGAAATAGTTACATATTTCCTTACAGCATAGGAAAAGCTAAAAAATATCCAGGCCTGAAAGCATGTAACAGCTTTATAACTATTTGGAATGTTAATTAGACTTGATAAACATGCTAAATTTTTAAAAATCAATCTCTGTTTAAAAAATAAAAATATCTAAAAATTCTTATTTGTGAAATGAGGCACTATCAACAGCTTTTTCTTGACAATTATGCGCTGCAATAGCCAACCATTATTAAGTTTCTGCAAGTATTCCCTATTTCTCCGGATGTAGTGAAGGGGACAGCCGAGAATGCATTAGATGAGGGAAAACCCATTTGGGTTAGTCTATTTCTTATAAGGTCCATCCAGTCTGTGCATGCAAGACTTGCAAATCTGGCTAGTGGTTCAGATTTGCTGTCTTGTGTGGGCCAACTGCTGTGACGTCACCTACGCCAGTTTGTATCTCAAATTTTGACTTGTAACTCAGGCAAAAAACTGGATCTACTGACTGCTCCTACCTCAAAAAACTCGTGTTGGGCACTCATATCTCAAGGTACCACTGTAAATATTTTAAGTTCAATTTAATATATATACATATATATATTATATATATATATAATGAATGATGTAAAATTTATTTAGTTCGAAAACAAGTTTTTCTAATACTTGCGCAATAGCTGCAAAGTAAGATAATAATAATTTATTTACTAAAGAAACACTGATTATATTATCTTCTAATATAAATTTAGTAGAACTATCAAAAAAGAGGGAACCCATTTTTAGGAAGTTTAATTCCAAAAATTGTGTTTTAAAGTAACTTGAATGTAAATATGAAAAAACATTTTGCAAGTTTGTCATCTAGTGGAATGACATTTAATGAATTCAGTTTGAGAGATATGAGCAAGACTTAAAAGTAAGGAGGCTGCTAACCTTCAATACAGTAAAGTTTTTGTAGAAAAACTTTTAAACTTAAAAATAAAAAGCGGAGATTGTGCAACTACCAATGGGTTTCCTCTTTTTTGATACTTCTACTAAATTTATATTAGGAGATAATATAATCAATGTTTCTTTAGTAAATAAATTATTATTATCTTACTTTGCATCTATTGCGGAAGTATTAGAAAAACTTGTTTTCAAACTAAGTAAATTTTAGATCATTCAACATTTGATATACTATATAGCAGCTATTAGCACTATTTATCTTTTTTAATGCATTACCCCCATATATTACCTCTGCTTTTTATTTTTATTTTTAAGTTTAAAAGTTTTTCTACAAAAACTTTACTGCATTGAAGGTTAGTAGCCTCCTTACTTTTAAGTCTTGCTCGTACCTCTCAAATTGAATTCATTAAATGTCATTCCACTAGATGACAAACTTGCAAAATGTTTTTTCGTAATTTACATTTAAGTTACTTTAAAACACAATTTTCGGAATCAAACTTCCTACAAATGGGTTCCCTCTTTTTTGATACTTCTACTAAATTTATATTAGGAGATAATACAATCAATGTTTCTTTCGTAAATAAATTTTATATATATATATATATAATTTGGCAGCGCTAAATAAGAGGGATTTAATTCACTCATCACCACAATAAAATCATATATATATCATATTTCATAGTACCTGTTATGTTTGAAACAGAACTTTTTTGCTCTTGATTTATTGATGCAGCTATAGAATTGGCAGTTGAATCTGGACCAAACCTCTGAAAAGTACAAAGTATGAATGAAGAACTTAGTCAAATAAATTACTTGTGTAACTATTAAGTATAACCAACATGCTAACAGAGCTTTAATAGATTTCAAAATATTTTTCAATTTTATAATTAAAAAAGAAGTAGAATAATTGAAAGTTCGTTTCTTTTTCAGAGAATTATTAAAATGATTTGACATAACAAAATTAGAATTTCTGAAAAAAAAAAAAAAAAAAAGTTTAAAAGAATATTAGTCTCACCATATCAGAAGAAGAATTAGAATTTTCAGGATGGTACCAAATATTAGGAATTTCTGATTCAATTTCTTTAATCAAAGCACACATGTGTGTTTGCAAAGACTTCGCTTTATCTTCATAAGAAAACTGAATTAAAGTTTTAAGAGTATCTGAAAAACTATCTGTAATAAAAGGTGGAAAATATATCAATACAATGTATCTTAAATTACTTAAAATAAAATATGAACATGAAAGGAAATTGTGCTGATTCATATAATAAATTATGAACAATTAAAGCTAAAATAACATTTTAAATGTTTGACCAGACAAACATAATTACTCAACTTTAATGTTGCATAACTCTACGCATTCTTTTCCTAGCATTTCCTATCCTTTACATCAAAAATTAGTAAAATTATTTTATTTAAAAGCATACATAAGTATCTAATCTAATCTTATTAGCATTAACGCCTTCATAATAGTTTTACATATAATTTTAAAAGATTAAATAAATTTTAAAAGATTAATATAAATCAACAAAAATGCATAAATCTATAACAATACTATATAAAATACAGCAGCTGAAAAGTAATTTGTAAAGTAATCATGCAATTTAATTTTATATGGCCAAGTTAAAGGTTATAAAAAGCAAAAATTATACAAAATTTAAACGGATATGAAAAAGGGTGAAAAATAAAAATAAAAAAAAAAAAAAAAAAAAAAAAAAATTTCTGAAGGAAAAAATTCCTTTATAACCTTTCATAGTATCCACTTTTCTTAAAATTTCTGATAAGGCAGCTATATGTGCTAAGTCTTCATTGGGGCTGCCTTCTTTTAAGCGATACTTTTTCAATTCATGTTTTCTTCGGCTTTTTGAACTTTTCTTTGTCAATATGGACCTAAAATGAAAAATCAGATAATCTTAAAAGAATTATACTAGCAATAATTATGATCCATTAATTCCTGAAGTGTAACCCCTCAAAAAAAAGTCATAACATTTTTTGCTATAATACAGTCATTGAAAAAGGTAAATCTGATTTTAAATCCTATATTTTGCTCTATTTTTACACAATCTTCTTAGTTAAACATGACGTAGACTTTGAAAGTAACATTGATAAAGCAGAGCGAATAAACGTTGGCATGTGCAGAAGCTTTGCTCAGCGGTAATAATGCCACTGCATTTATTAATCTGCCAATTTACAAAAAGACTATTACCTCTGCTTTTTATTTTTAAAAAAATAGAAATAAAAAAAATTAAAATTAGAAAATAAAAAGGCAAATGCAGGTTGTGGCACATTGAATTTAAATCTATTATAATAGTTGAAAACAAATTTTGGTAAACGTTTGGGACACAGCCCCCTGCTGCATAATGATCACCTGTTGCTATTGCTACAATCACACCAGACATGACATAACTTATATGGAATACAGTCAAAACTTGTTAATTCGGACACCCATAATCCGGACCTGAAAGCTACAAACTTTCTGCGCATGCGTCGCATTCACGCATGCGCATAGGCATTTACGAGTGCGCGTAAGCCCTTTACGGCTGCGAATATGTGTGTGCGCATGCGTGTTTAATGTGCAACGGACGGTATAAGCTAAGCTAAAATTATCTAATTCAGTTGTATCAGTAATTATCTAATTAATGTTGCAGATTGCATTGTTCCTTAGTCTTCGAATTGGATCTGGCTTATTATTTTTTGCAGACTGTTAGAGCAAATTTTATAAAAGTAAGCTTGAACTTTCGATTATGTCAAATAGAATTTCTGATATATATTTACTAATATGTAAAGTATCTACAAAGCGAAAGTATGTTTCGAAATTCGAAATCTGTTTATCAATTTCACGCCGCGGCGCGCAATGAATTGGAAGTTGATCTGTCAGCACTATCCTTATCTTCAGGGCAGATGATTTTATTTTATTTGGCTTATAATTCCTTACTAGTATTTCATCACGATGTACTCCGTCTTTGATATGATTAAAATCAAGTTCCTCGTCATTATAATTCGCTTTTGATAGTGAAGAAAGTGACCCAGAGGTTATTGAAAACGAAAAAATTTCGATTGACAAATTAGTCGGTATTCTCAACACAGCAATTATAGGACTTCAACAATGGAACTTTGTAACTAAACAAGAAATTATGTGTGTTTAATAGAATTAAAGAGAAAGTATTATCACATGAAATGAAGCAACTTAAACAACTTACATTGAAAGAAATGTTTAATAAAGTAAACAAATAAATATTAAGCTTTTTCTTTTTGTAAATTTTGATATCCTTTAGATCATATTTGTTCTTTATTTCATAAATTACAGTTTCATATTTTTAATTTTGTAATTTCTGCATGCTATGTTACCAGATTTAAACTGATGATCTATAATCCGGAAAAATCGATAATCTGGAATCGCCGAATCCGGATTAACGACTTTTGACTGTAGCACGTTGATATTTGCATAGCAATTACCAAAGCTCAACTAGAAATTTACGAATCATATATTTAAAAAAAAAAAAAAAAATTGAATTTTAATGTTTATTTTGCAATAAAATTCTAGGCTGCTTCAATTTTTTTTTCAAATAAAATCAGATTAAAGTTAGATTATTTTAAAATCAGATAATGTATCAACTACTGTTCAATGGATAAAAACATTCAAGTCAAAAATTATCATTACGTGCATGAATTCACATATCTCTCAGGAAGTGTGAATTATAATTTTATAAATTTATGTGGAATGATATGACATTATACAAAGGGAAAAAATTAGCATATGATACAAAGGAAAAATATTGGCATACTGCATACGATATAAAATTTTAACATGAAACAACTAAAAGGCTAATACAGTCAAAAGTCTTTAATCCGGACTCGTCGGGACTTCGACGATTCCGGATGATAGATCATCAGTTTAAATCTGGTAAGATGGCATGCAGAAATTATAAAATTAAAAATATGAAACCGTAATTTATGAAATAAAGAGCAATTATGATCTAAAAGGTATAAAAATTTACAAAACAAAACAAAACAAAAAAAAAAAAAAAAAAAAACCTTAATATTTATTTGTTTACTTTATTAAACATTTCTTTCAACATGCGCATGTGTAAAGCATACATTATGCATAGTCAAAATTAGAAAATTGCAACCAGAAAACTATTTGATGTGTGTTCGTGATATTTATAATGACGAGGAATTTGATTTAAATCATATCAAAAACGGAATTCATCGAGATGAAATACTACAATTAGTAAGGAATTATAAGCTGAATAAAATAAAAACATCTGTCCTGAAGATAAGGATAGTGCTGACAGATCAACTTCCAGTTCATTGCGCGCCGCGATGTCCCCCCCTCGCAGAGCAGCGTGAAATTGATAATTTGGAATGGTTAGAGAAACAAAGGATATGCCTTTATCCATTTTTTGCAGCAATTCCACTTTTTCTTTGATGGACATCGAAACATGCTTTCGCTTTGTAGATCCTTTGGCAGCTCCAGCATCGGAAATTCTCTTTGGCATAATCGAAAGTTCAAGCTTACTTTTATAAAATTGCTCAAACTGCAAAAAATAATAAGCCGGATCCAATTCGATGATTAAGGAACAACACAATCTGCAACATTAACTGAAATAGATAATTAGATAATTTTAGCTTAGCTTAACCATCCATTATACATTAAATGCGCATGCGTAAATGTATTATGCGCATGTGTGAACACATTATGCGTTGACGCATGCGCAGAAAGTTTGTAGCTTTGAGGTCCGAATTATAGATTATTCCGGATTACGGGTGTCCAGATTAACGACTTTTGACTGTAATATACAACAGGTAGAATTCAGGGAGAAAAAAAAAGCTGTTTGTTTTGAAATCGTTGAGTTTCTTAATAAAAATTTGTTAAAGTTTAAAAAATATGAAAGAAATAATAAAAAAAAATTAAATTCCAGATTAGGGCTTTTAGGTGTCCATATTCAGGTAGAGGATTATGTTATTTAAAATTTGATGGCTCTAGGTAAAGTTTTTTTTTCCACAATCCAAAAAATATACATACATTCATGCAGATTTTTCATTATTTAATTTCTTTAAATATAATACAGGGCAATAATATTTGATGGCAACAATTTGATACAGTCATTTATAGTGATTCGAAACAAAATGATGTTTTGAGAAAAATAGCCCTTGTGGGCTAACACCCCTTTAGGTTAAAAAAAAGAGGGGAATAAGGCTCATAAATTTCATATGGAATCAAGTCTCTATGAGTTTAACACTGAATCTTATCTCTTTGTATACACATATCACATGTTTGCCTGCTGGCAATAATGTTGTTAACCACAGTTTAGGGAATTAAGTTCCATTACTCCAGCAATCTTCAGAGTCTTCAGAGCATTTACATCTCTAGAAGGAGAATGTCTTTGTGCAGCTGCTGTTCCAAGGTAGTCCCATAAGTTCTCTATTGGGTTAAGATCAGGAGATTTTACTGGTCATGATATTCGCTCAATGTCTTCAGTTTGAAAGAATTCGTCAACAGTAATGCATGTTGGTCATGGATGAGTATTACTGCCCATAAATAAAAGGTCAGATTCATATTCACCTGTAAAAGTATTATATTAGATTCTGCCCATAAATAAAAGGTCAGATTCAGATGCACTTCTGAAAGTATTACATAAGATTCTAAGATCTCATCCTGATATTTCTAGAAGTTCACAGCTTAGACGTTGAAAACATGTAGGGGCATATGCCCATCGATCATTATTTCTCCTCCTACCATTACACTTGCATTATCAAAACATTCACATTTTATAATGTTCAAAGGAACACTTCACATTCCAGACTCCCTCTAAAAACATTTAGAGTTAGATGTTAAACTGAACTTAGATTCATCAGTAAAGAGATCATGAGACCATTGGTGTTCACTTCAGTTCTGATTTTTTTTTTCCATCAACTAAAGCAATCCTTCTTTTGTTGTGAAGACAGTGAAACACATACACCATGGCTTTCTGGCATAAAGGTCTTTTTCACTAATCCTTATCAATACAGTTTGCCATGATACAACAGTTCCAATGACACTGCAAAATCTGAACTTAAACAGCAGTAGGCTTCTTTTTACGATGGGCAGTTATTGCCAGATATCAAATATAAGAAGCAGTTGTTGTTCGTTTTTGTCTTTGTCTGGGCCTTCTTACAAGAGATTCAGAGTTATGAAAGTCTTTCCATAGCACAAAGAATGTCTGTCTTAATCACACATTAATCACACATTTCACACATCACATGCTTCCACAATTGTCTGCCCTGCTTTTAAATGGGCAATAATTTGCAATGGTATAGATTCTTCCAGATAATATTTCCGAGGTATAATACACTGTTTTGAGCAGGGCTATGGAATCGGAATCATGGCGTCGGGCAGATTTTTGGGTAAAAGGAGTTGGAGCTGGAGTCGCTAAAAACAGCTCGCCTTCAACTCCCGACTCAAGTTTTTGTTGGACAGTTTGAATTTGAAATGAAATTAAAATGAATTGAAAAAAATTAATGACAAGCTTTTTATTTATGGACTATATACATTAATAAATAGTTATTTTCTATTTTATTGACATATTAATAAATAAATATAAGGGAGGAGGATGGATGTGATATTTGCCATTAGTGATTAAACTGATTCATTTAGTTACAAATCTCACTGGTAAATTTAGGTAAGCAGCAATAGCAGCAAGAACTGTCAAAATTGATGCCATTCTTAGGAAGCGGGTAGGAAAAGGAGCAATTATTGATCAAGCACTGAGATAAGGAAGTACATATTTGATGATAAAGAGGTTTTTAGAATTAAGAACTTTTTAGAAGATGTAGATAACCCTAATGTTTCACTAACAGAAAGACTGTGGAATGATCGTGCAGAATTGAAACTCTTTTTTTTTTTTTTTTTTTTTTTTTGTTTTTTTTTTTTTTTTTTTTTTTTTTTTTTTTTTTTTTTTTTTTTTTTTTTTTTTTTTTTTTTTTTTTTTTTCCACACCATATATAGCCACAAAAAAGCTACAATCTGAAGAATTGACATGAGGCGAGAATGGAAGAGTGGTATGTTTGTTATTTCTGAAATGGAGGGTTTATTGCAAAAGGAATCATTTCTTCAATGAAGAAAACAGAAACTATTTAGAGAATGAGATCTTGCTGTGTTCAATATATGTAGATCCGAAACACCAAATTTTCTTGGATGACGAGCAAATTAAAAAGGCAAAGAAAGCCATCTATGAACTTTCATTAAGAATAAAATTATTCTCAGAACAATTAGAGAATTCGAATCAGGACAGTCAAACTGCAGACATTGCAACTGAGTCTCTATCATCCTCTTCCAGTGATGAATTAGATTTTGAGAAATATTTTTGGATAATATTGAAAAAGACTAAGGCAACACGAATGAAAATAAAGAACCAAGAGCCTTTAGATACAAAAATGAAAAAATACAAACAAGATTTCTACACAGCCTTTGAAGAAATAGAGAAATATGATTGCGCTTGCAAGACACCTCTTTTACAACTTACAAAAATCTATCCTGAAAAGTTAAAAGAAGTAGCCCTAACAGTAACAGCTCTTCCTGAAGTTAGTATGGAAAGACTCTTCTCAGCTCTGAAGTTAATCAAATCGGATCTATGGCCCTCCAACAAAGAAGGTCTTGCTGAAGCTATACTGTTTCTTAGAAATAACTAACGCCAGTTTTTCCATTTCATAATAAATGCTAATTAATATAAATAATTTGCTATGTCATCATTTTTTTCTGTAGCATCTATTACTTCTTTTATATTAAAAAAATGAGCTGTAACCCATGTGTATATATATGTTTGCATATAAATTTAAACAAATTTAAATTTCTAACAAACACGTATAAAAGTAAAAAAGCAAATTTAATGGAAAAAAAAAAAAAAGCCAAAATAATTTTTTAAAAAATGTGCAAACATATAAAAGATTTAATTCTTGAACTAATCTACAATATCATTTAAATTCAGAAGCATAAGCAAATCAAGTACAAAACCAATCCATGAAATAAATATATATGAGAGAGTCAGAGTCTTTAAAATTCCAGAAGTCGGAGTCGGTCATTTTTAACAAACTATATTCTCAAGAGAGAACACTCCATTAACTAAGAATGAATAGAATAAATTCTGCTGTTCCTCTACACAATTTTTTCTTTCGCTTAATTTCTGTTCCTAGACAGATGTTAAAAATTTAAATAATAATTAAAATACAAAATATTAAAACAAAAATTTATACAATCATTAAGAATATCATTTTGAATCAATGACTATTCATAATATTAAAATTTAGGCATTGATTTTAAAAGAATTCCTAAATGATTTCAAAGAATTTACTACTTTGCACACAAATCAGTTAAAAATAAAAAGGATCTTAGTGCTTAACAGACAGAAGAAGTATTTTAATAAAATTTTTATTCATGTTAGATTGGTTCTGTTAGGCAAGCAAAATAAATAAAATTTCATTAAGAAAAATGGTTAATACCCTGTGATTGATTTTGATTCAGCATAAGAAGAAGCATCATCAATAATGCTACTTGTTTCAGAAAACAGATCATCTTCACGATTCTTTGCAAAATCTAGAAATAAAATTATATGTCTAAGACCTGCACTTATGAACAACAATTTTTATGAACATATAACGCACAAAAATAAACTTGCATAATATTTTTACTTCATGCCCATTATTTGACACATGTACAGCCTTTATGTATAGTTGAATATACAGTCAAAAGTCGTTAATTCGGACACCCATAATCTGGAATGATCTATAATCCGGACCTCAAAGCTACAAACTTTCTGCACATGCATCGTGTTGACGCATGTGCGTAAGACCTTTACGGCTGCGAATATGCGTGTGTGCATGTGCAAAATACGTTTACGAATGCGCGTTTAATGTATAACGGACGGTATAAGCTAAAATTATCTAATTCAGTTAATGTTGCAGATTGCATTGTTCCTTAATCTTCGAATTGGATCCAGCTTATTATATTTTGCAGACTGTAAGAGCAATTTTATAAAAGTAAGCTTGAACTTTCGATTATGTCAAATAGAATTTCTGATATATATTTACTAATATGTAAAGGATCTACAAAGCGAAAGTATGTTTCGAAGTCCATTAAACAAAAAGTGGAATTGCTGCAAAAAATGGATAAAGGCATATCCTTTGTTTTTCTAACCATTCCGAAATCTGTTTATCAATTTCACGCTGCTCTGCGGGGGGGACGTCGCAATGCACAATGAACTGGAAGTTGATTTGTCAGCACTGTCCTTATCTTCAGAGCAGATGTTTTTATTTTATTTGGTTTATAATTCCTTACTAAATGTAGTATTTCATCTCGATGTACTCCGTCTTTGTATGATTTAAATAAAATTCCTCGTCATTATAATTCGCTTTCGATAACGAAGAAAGTAAAGTAAACAAATAAATATTAAGCTTTTTTTTTGTAAATTTTCATACGCTTTAGATCATAATTGTTCTTTATTTCATAAATTATGGTTTCACATTTTTAATTTTATAATTTCTACATGCTATCTTACCAGATTTAAACTGATGATCTATAATCCGGAAAAATCGATAATACGGAATCGCCAAAGTCCCGACGAGTCCGGATTCCGACGAGTCCGACTTTTGACTGTACTAATTATAATACTAATAAAAATTTATTTCTCCCATTATTATACCCATCAATATTGTTGCAGTCTTCTAGCACATCTCTGAAACTGGAATTCATGAGATCTATTGAATGGATCTCCTTTATCCTTTGATGTGCATGATATTATTTTAATAATTTTTTAACTAAAAACTCTAGAAATTGAATATTATGATCCTAGAGACAAATAATACATGAATTTATAAAAAAAAATCTACTCTTGTCCATTGTCCTGTGGGGTAGTGGTCGCACTGTGAAAGGCAGAGCGCGTCTAGGACTTAGAAACTTACTGAGGGAGTAGGGGGAAAAAACTTACATTTTTCTGTGCACATTTCCAAAAAATGATGAAATTTGCGAATTTTTGAGAAAAAAAAAAAAAAAAGTATGTAACAATTGCATTAAATGAAAATTTTTTACATTATTTTACAAAGTAAATCAGCAGAACAAATTAAAAAATAAACATTTACGTAATTTTCCTATAGCAGTGGAAATACAAAAACCTAGATAATAAAAATGTTTCGATAAATGGATTAAAAGAACTCAGTAAAGAAAGGATAAAAAAATCTTGGTATTTTTTTTTTTAAAAAAAAACTTTTTTTTTTTTTTTTTTTTTTTTTTTTTTTTTTTTTTTTTTTTTTTTTTTTGTGACACTGTTCAAAGCATGTTTTGTCTTTTTGGTACATGCACAGACCCACACTGCACATTTCGCACATGTATCTTGTTCTATGAGGTTTCTCCCTTGTGCTGCAAAATGTACACTGCCTGGCTCTGTATTTTACTGGTATATGTCCAGCCCAGCGTTATTTAGTCTCTTTTTGTCTGTCACATGAAATTTTTGGTCTTTTATGTTAATGGGTGAGGGGGGCTTGGTCTGGCTTTGGTACGATTCTTTCGTTCTCCATTCATATTTATTCATATTTTGTCCCAAAATATTTAAAAAATATTTTTAATTTAAACAAAACTTTTACGTGATTTCTATTTTTAATTATATCAAAGTATATTTACATTATATTTAAACCACACAAAATAATTTATAAAATCACAATACTAGCTTAGGAAGCAAGTGTGCTGAGGTTAGAGAAAAATCTCTGAAAAAGAAAGACCTTTTCACTGCGAAAGTGCAGTGTTGCCAGAAATTTTTCAACTAAAGTCGCAAATGATGTCAGAGATCACATGATTTTTGTGACGTCATAGTCACGCATGCTCACATGACATCTGATGTCATCACAAAGTTACTGTCCATTGGTTTTGTAAGTTACTGTATTCGATTTTGTTTCTGTTCTGCATGGTCGATTTATTTCAGATTCTGATTACTTATGAAAGGCTTGTTCTTTCACTGTTAAATTTATTTGTGTCATTATTTAAAAAAATGGTGTTGTTTTGATTTTTAGTACAATTTCATTTCATAATTCTTAGCAATGTTATGAATCATGAGAATGAATTTCTTTTCTTTCTTTGTCTGGGTACTTAATAAATGGCGTGCAAGCTACAAGTTCTTTTGTTCGATTCGTTCTCACCATAGAACTGGGGGGGGATGACTTTAAAACAAAACACACGGGAAACGAGAGGGGAAGGTAGAATGTCCAGAAGCAGTTTTTTTTCTTTCTTTTCCACTTTTTCCTTTTCTCCTACCCGCTTTTCGTTATACCGGCGTCAGGCTCTGCAGGCTTGAAAAGTAAACAAGATTGCCAGAAGCCAATGTTTTTTATTTATTTTTAATTGATACACTATTTTAACATCAAAGCATTTTACAATATATTAAAAAAATCTTTGAAATCACAAAAAGTAGCATAAGGAAATGATGGATGTCACAAAAATTTCGCAAAATCGCAAATACTAAAATTTTACTAGCACAAGTTTGTCAAAAGTAACAAATTTGCGAAAAATTGCATGACCTGGCAACACTGGGCAGGTGCATGTATTGTTTAGTTATGAAATGGTTTTTCAGTTTTAATAATCTCAACCTTGCTGCCAACCTTGAAATCTTAAATAATGGGAGATTTATGTGAGAAAACCTGGAGGGTTTTATGTTATGCAACGACACCATTTGAAAGGAATTCCAAACTGACTTTTAATGCACTTAATATGAACTATTTGTAAATCAATTCTGGTGTAAAATATACTAATATTAATTGAGTATTCTAAATTATATATTCTTTGGCCCATTTCATTTTTTAAATTTCTTATACTACTATATTAAGAAAATCCTGAGTGGTGAAAAGTTTTAATTTATCAAAGTACTTTTAAATGAAATGAAAATAAAATTAATTATGAGTATGCATAGTATTTGTGTGATAAACTTAGTAATCTATCATAAATAACAAAATTAATCATAAATAACCAAATTAACAATGTTAAATACAAATAATAACTGATTAAAAATTACTTGAATGTTCATATAAAAATTTACAAATGTCTATACAAGACCAAATGAAATTTGATAAGAAAAATGATAAAATATAAAGAGAAAAAAAATACAATTCAGATGATATAAAATTTAATAAGAAGAATTTTTCAGAAAATCATTAGGGTTGGAGGAATGGAATTGGTCTAATTTAAGTTTCATTAACTCAGCAAATTTAATTTATTGCTGGTAAGTATTTTCCTTTGTAAAGGATAAAAACTAAAATTTGGGAGATTCAGTGATTTATAGGGGAGTTGTGGTGAAAAACCAGAAGTCTCCTGGTAAAACTGGGAGAGCTGGAAGCTATGAATTATATTTTATAGTTTTTTTTTTTTTTTTCTATAAACTTTTTTTAATTTGCTGAAACAATTATGGAGACATTTTTTTATATGTGAAAATTTATAACTTTATGATTCTTTTCTGAATGTTGGCAGCTTATTTGCGAACAATCAAAAGCAAGACAATTATTCAAATTATGCTTCACAGTAAGAATATCATTTATTTTTGCAGCTTTCCTCGCTGCTTCATCCCCCCCCCAAAAATTAGGATCAGAAATTTTTTAAACATATTTCAGTGATAAGCATTTAAGGAAAAACTAATTTCAAGTGCCATCAAATAACTAAATCATAATGCAGTTAACTTAGGAATATGCAAATAATGATATATATTAATTACTGATCAAACATGCCAGATTTTAATTTCTAAAACTATCTAATTGTTTCCTGAAAAATAGTGTCATTAATTTATATTTTGCTGCAAGGAATTTTTATACATAGAAAAATACTATAATTGGTATATAAAAATATTCTTTTTACATTTAATTTTGCATACTGACCAGGTAGTTCCGACAGCTGTCGTTTTTGGTTCCTTAGAAACTTTAATCTTTCATAATGCTTGTGAAAGTCATTAGATAATTGATCTAAATGAGCAGTCAAATAAGAATAATGCTCAAGCAATGCTGGTTTTATGTGAGTTTCTGCAATATCTTTACGTCTGTATTTTGACATCTAGGAGGTAAAATTCTTAATTAATGATGATTGTATAAAACATTATTTTTCATTGAACAATTTAACAATACTTCAGTTTCTCTAAAGATTTTATTAGTTAAGAGTTATTTAATATTTTTTCAATTATCATTTTTAAAGTATAAATATTAAAATATTTAAAAATAAAACAAGCATATTTCAAAATATTAAGCTTAGTTATGAGTACAGTAGAAGACTAGAAATTCACAATGCTTAGAACTAAACGTTGTGCAGATTTTAGGATTTTGTGGATTTCAGCACCAAAAGTGCAAAATAACATTAAGGACATATACAATAAAGGACACATACAAACATTAAGCACATATACAATAAAGAGATTTGAAAATAAGGGACATTAATAAAGTGTAAAACATCTCAATTTTTTTAATACATTATAGAGTCTGTCTCTCTTGTTCCACATAAACCAGAATAGACCCTATAATGACCTGGCGAATTCTCGCACAAGCATGAATAAAAACTACTGACTCAGACGAAGGGTAAAGATAACCCTTTATTAATTCAAACTAGTTAACAGAAAGGCACAGACTTTGTGCGTTACAAAGACACCGTCAGCTTGCGGTGGAAACTAAAATGTAGAATACAGAGGCTGTTCGCACAATTTTTAGATGATTTTGGTAAGCGGTAATAAAAATTCGTTTACTGCAAAAGAAGTAATTGCAATTGTACTGTGTTTTTAAAAGTCAAAATTATCGTCTGTGACTTGAAAGTTTAGTTTTTATTCAAAATGGCGAATTTAACAGGGCAGTGGTTCGAAGGCTACATTTACGTTCTTTACGAAGAGAAATATGCATACTCCATTATCCAAAAACGATATGAGAGTCATGGTTTTGTGATATCTAAAGTGTCGATAGGTAATATCATCAACAAGAAAGCAAAAAAAACGTCAAATTGGAGCCTCATGTGGGACAAAAATTCCAAACAAGTATCCAAGGAAAAAACGGACATCTTCGACTATTGCAAAGGTACATTGTTTAATGTTAAACGAAAATCCCCCTAGTCAAAGGACAGTTGCAAAATCATTAAAATGCTCGATGTCCACTGTAAACAAAATGATAAACGTTGATTTAAATCTTAAGAAAGCGAAAAAACGCAATGTACATCGTCTGTCACTGTTTATAATATCCAAAGCATATATGCTCAAGCAGGACACACTGCTCATACGCAGGATACACGCTGCTATATGAGAAACACTTATCCAAAGAAAAATGGAAAACAATTGTCACAATAGATGAAGCATGGGTGTATTTAAATGATTGTAAGAAAAAAAGAGCCATTTATTATCATAAAAGGGGAGAAAAAAATTTAAGTACATGGTTCAAAGAATCGAAAGAAAGTTTTTCTAAGGGATTTATGATTGCTGCTGGTTTTTCTTATAATGGCAAGTTAAAAATAAAGAGAGTGCAAAAAAATGTCAAGATTAACTCCAAATACTATCAGGAACATATTTTATCACCAATTTTTCTGAATGAAAATACCATCGCTTTACCCACAGTGCCATCAATCTGTGAGACTCCATCAGGACAAAGCTAGCAATCACACATCAAAATCCACTGTAAATTTTCTAAAAGAAATGGAACAAAAAACTGGTATCAAGGCCATACACTTCACTGATATCCCTACTAAATCTCCCAATGTGTCACCTATGGATTTTTGTACTTTCGGACTTTTAGAAACTGCATTATCCAAACGTTGTCCCAAAACCCTAACAGAACTCTGGAAAGCTGTTTGGGAGGAATGGGATAGAAAACCTCTTCTGCCACTTCAAAAGGCATTATTATCCTGGAAATTGCGGTGTGAAAGATAGTTCAGAATAAGGGATGTCAAATAGAACATTTAAAACACAAGAATTTTATGTAATTTAGTTTTGTGAATACAATATACATCATCTAAAAAATGTGTAAACAGCCTCTGTATAATATAAGTCAAACCTGAAATAAATAGTGCAAGATTGCACCTAAGTTATGCCTAAGAGGTGGACTCACAGGAATCTAACTGGTGCGATACTAATTTGAGAAGGCCAAGAGGCTTACTAGCGTGACCACAAATTAAAAACGAAACCTGCGCTTGAGTAGCGAAACATGCTCTAAACTGAGATATTCCCATGTTTAAATAAGCACTTTACTTAACTTTAAATTTACATCCTGGCGAGAAAATGTGAGGGGAAGTTGAAAAGTCTAGAACAGGTTCAAACTTAAAATAAACTGTTATGCAAAATAAGGAAAACTCTACATTGTTTCAAATATTTTTTTGATAGAGGTTTCTTTTAAAACTTTACGGTGCTCCAGAGTAAGATTTTTTAAGTAAATTATATACAGTCATAATATCTTGCTTTGTAACACAGCCCTGTTGTTCTAAAAAATTTTAGGCATTTTTCATAATGGTCCAAATCTTCATTACAAGATATTTTCTCCCTCATACCAAATTCTTTATCTGTGTTGGTATCAGAATAATTTTCTTGCTGTGTCAAGTTCAAAACTGAGCCAAACTTCATCATTGGCCATCTGATATGCCAGTGTCGGCTCATCTGGACTCATCACCCATTCACCAACATCTTCTTCTTGTAAAGCCTTCTCATTTGTTCTTTCTTTCAAATACAGAAGCAATTCTCTTGCTTTAACCTTTGCTGCATTGACTTTAAAACCATGAAATTCACTGTCATTCTCAGTTTCATTCCACAGAGAAGATTGCCAATCATTACGCCAACCACTTACTAATGTTGTTTGGGAAACAGAATTCCAAGATTCTTCTAACAAATACGAAATAGGATTCAAAAGTTTCTGGACTGAGGCTATAACGTAAAAAATATTATGAATTAAATTGCAGAACCACATCCTCCTTCGAAATAAAACCCTTGTGCAACAACACACTTTTGCCAGCACCTGTAAAGTTCATCGAAGCATGTCTGGAATCGATTTTTGGCCATGTCCTTTAATTCAGTCTGCGATGGACATTTAACTTTATCTGAAGATTGAAATCAATGACCCTGCAAGTGTCTTTCCAGGTCAGGAAATAGGCTGAAATCGCAAGATGTAGGATAAGGTGAGTAAGGAGGATGAGGCAAAAAGTTGCTTTCGTTTTCGCAAGAAAGTCATTGACGAGTAGGTATCGGTGAGCAGGAGCGATGTCATGCAACAGCACCCATGACTGTTTAGCCCACATTTCTGGTCTCTTCTTCTGGATCGACTCATGCAAACAACGCAGGATTTCGACGTAGAGTTCTTTGTTCACAGTGCATCCTTCAGAGATAAATTCCAGATGCACAATGCCCTGGATAACGAAGAATACCTCTAGCATGACCTTTCCTTTAGAGCAATCTTCACAGAATTTCTGCTTCTGTGGAGATTGTGGTGATTCCACATTGCCAATGCTCTCTTGGTTTGTGAGTTGTACAAAAAACACCCTTTCTCACCTCCAGTAACAATCCTGTCAAGTAGGGAAGGATCTTTGTCAAAAGCCAAGATTAAGTCTCTCACCATTTCCATTTGAATTTGGTTTATGTTTAAAATGCGAGAAACAATGTGTTGACACACCCTATGCATGCTAAGATCCTTAATCAGTATCCAATGACATGTGGCCTCTGATATCCCAACTGATACTGCTATTTGGCATGTTGTTTGCTGCCTGTTCACACATACCGCCGCAGACACCTTTTTGATGTTTTCATTGGTGCACAAAGTCACAGGACGGCCACAGCGTTCGTCATCTTTGGCACTTTCCCTACCTTCTCTGAAACAATGATGCCACTCAAAAGCTTGCGTTCTCAATAACGTTTCACTTCCATACACATGCTTCAATATTTCGAAAGTATCCGTAGCACTCTTTCCCAAGTGAACACAAAATTTGATATTAATTCTCTGCTCAACTGATGCCACTTCTTTCTATCGTCGTTACTAAATGCACCTGCCTACAAAACATGCAGTCGCCCCGAGTTTTCGACCACGTGATTGGGGAGAAACCACTTTTAGAAAAGGGGGAGAGTGTAGTAAAACAAAAATGTTCTCGTTGTCACACTACTGCAAAAAATTTTTACATTATAGACTCAGTCCGAGAACTTTTGAATCTTCCAACATAAATGCAGTCTTTGATGGTGAATTTTTTTTTTTTTTTTTTATATATATATATATATAATTACAAAGTGGATTAATTTTTTTTTAGAAATTCCGATTAGTGGCATTTAATACCTAATCCATTGGTTGGATCAATGATGAGCAAGGGGGAAAAAGAAGAAGGAGCCCTGACATTTTCATATGCTGAAGCGCTTGCATTTGGATGTGCTAGCAATAACAACAGTTGTCTAACAATAATAAAATCTTTTAATCTGATGGTAAGCCCACACTGTAACAATGTCTTTTAACCTCTTTATTGAAATGTTCCATGAACCAATTGGTCATAAATTGTTTCACAAACTAGGAATTTTTATTATTCCTGTAAATCACAGCTAAGGATTTTACTCCTTTCAGAGCTCTAGAACTGGTGCATTTAACCACTATCCTTGGTTTACATTTGTAAGTTCCAACTGCATTGTTGCATATTAAAATAGTAACTGTTTCTTTAGCTTTTTTCACCCTTAATGGTGTACTTGTTAGTCACAAACATCTTGCTTGGCAAACATTGCCAAAAAAGTCCAATCTGGTCATGTTATGGGCTAAGATTTTCTGCCAACAGCACAGAAAATTCATCAACAAATTCCTCTGCACTGTCTTTATCTGCTGAAAGTCTTTCCTCAGAAAGTCTTTTAGATAAGGTATACCATATGTTTGCTTAAATTTGTTCGGCCAACCGCAGCTGAATCTCTGTTTCTTCAATTTTTAAATGTGTGAATCTGTTTTTCGTCCTAAAACTGTTACTACATCACTCCACTGCTGCTGGAGCCATTCATACAGCATAGCGTCGAGGTCTGCCAATTTTGCCTTGTGCAAAGATATCCGGTTTTGGTTTCTGGGGATAGAATCATTGTTGTGAGAAAATTTCAACAATTTTCTTAATTTTTCCATACATCATATATGGCCTGTGTTGCAATTACATACCAATCTCCTATAAACAAGCACCTTCCTCCATCTTTTGCAAAATTTCCACTTTTCAAATTACTGTCAATACAAAGTGTTTACGTTTTTTAAGACTGCCAACAGTAAAATCATGAACATGTTTCAACATGTTTCTTATTATTTGCCAATGTATTAAGAAGTATTGGAATTAAAAATACTTTTTTCTACAAAAAATCTAAATAAAACAACAAAACAGCAGCACTAAATCTCATGAAATAACAAAGCTCAGGAAATACAACCACTTGAGCCATGAACTTGAAACAGAAGCTGAGTGAAATCGTCTGCATCTGTAGCTCGATGCAGACTGGCGGGGGGGGGGGGTTACTAAGATGTCAATGACTTGGTAATCATTTTTAATAATGTTTTTCCAAAATTTAACACACTTTTAAAATTTTATAATTAATATTTCAATATAACTAATACACAAAAAAAATTAGTTAAAACCAAAAACATGCAAATTTAATAAACAAATAGAGGACAATTCAAAATTATTCACAAAACAAAAGACATGATTACAATGACAAATAATAAAGGCGAAAAACAACACGACAAAGTACATTTAAAATGTTAGTCATAAATTTCTGAATCTTTTGCATGTGTTTATCATGACTAAAAGTATAATATTTTTTATCTGAAATTAATTTATACACCCCCCAAAAAAAGATTATATATTACAATAAAAATCAAAGGAACTGAAATATAACTGTTTAAACCAGAAATCACAAAATCATACATTTTAATCGGAATATATTAACTTTCTGTAATGTATATACACTTAAAATAAATCAATCCTAGTTTGGATTAATTTAAATATCCAGCTATTTTTGCTAAATTTTAACTTCCTTTGCCAGTCTTATATTTCAGGCTTTAACACCCAGGTGTCAAAAATATTCTCCTCCCATTTCTAGCAATTCTATAAAGCATTTTATCAATTGCTTTCTGCAAAATACTTATTTCCCATTATTTGATTTTTAATTCAATATTAATTGATATTAATAGATTGTAAAACTTAAGGTTCAGAGTCAGCAATATTCCATTTCAGAGAAAATTTTTATTTTATATACAATTATAAAATTCTAACATCCAAACATGCAATAAACAAAAGTATGTCTGGAATCACAAATTTATCAATCTTTAAGTTATTCACACAGAAAATAAATTTTTTTAATTAAAAAAATTGTACTTTTTAAAAATATTCCCTTTATAAACACAAGTATTTTAAATAAACTAGAAAAATATATTAACTTACAACAAATAAAGCAGAATTCCATTCACATCCTTCAATTAAAGTAACAATACTTTCTTCAGTGTCCTGGTAAAAAAATTAAACAGAAATTAAAAGATGTTCCTAATTTTTGTCACAATTTCTACAGATATAGTAAAAAGAATACGGAAAGGTTCCTTCCCTCTTTTTCAAAAAAAAAAAAAATATTATATATATATATATATATATATATATATATATATATCTATATATATATGGAAAAATAAGGCAAAATTTACCTTAACATAATGCTCCAATAAATATGCCGCATCCAAATATCTGTGGCTGCTTTTTAATCTTTCTAAAAATTAAAATTAAATATTTTTGATAATCATTCCAAATTCGAAAAGCACAAAATAAAATTACATTTTTATATGCATATTTGAATTATAAATGATAATTATATTTCAAAACATCTAGCCTATAATATATGCAGTCTTTCATATCAACACCTTGATTATTTGGTTATTAAGCATCATGAAAATGTCTTTTGATTTTATTTAACAAGCAAAACACATTCAATAAGAAGTGCTATTCAAAAATTTATGACAATGGGAGAAAACACTTACCAATCATTTACAACATTTTTATTTACCCTCCCAAATAATGCAATACATATTACCTAAGACTGCCTTGTCAAATCCATCTAAGGCAACTTCATTTTAACTTAACTTTGGTTTTTATGTGTTTTGCAATTTTATTAAATATGAAAAGATGATACAGAAGAATAGAAAATGAGCTTGCTTATTGTTTTACAAACTTAATAAAAAAAAGGAATCCACAAAATATTTCAGCAAACATTTGATGAAAATATTTTAGGGTAGATAGTAATCTAGACATGGTTTATTTCTTTCAAAAAATGGCTGAATGTCAACTGTAGATGATGACTTGCCTAAATAGCATTCAATATTCATAATGTCTGCGGAGTTATTGAATTATAGTGCATGTTAGCAAATTATACTCAATGAATTAAACATAAAAAAGATTATAAACAAACATGTGTCATGAATGTATTTATTATGTGGCAGTTTTGGGCATCTAGTAACATGATAGTCGGTTTTACACTTCTTACTCTCCAGATTTAGCTTCCTATAGCATGTAAATGAAAACGAAACAATAGAGCAACAATTAGCTCCAAAACCTAGGAAGAATCACTGATGTTATTAATTGCAGTAATAAAAGATGGCTTTATAAAGGCATTCCAAACATGGACACAATGTTGGGAATGCTCCCAGTACAGCTGAAATTAAGATCTGGCATGTTATCAGAAATAAAATAAGCAGCACATTTTATTACATTAAAATAAAACAGAGGCAATACATTCTTTATTCTTCAGTTGAATTGCAAATACAGAATAAATTATTTTGAAAATGCACACTGGTTGGATTCCATCATAGACACTAACAGAAATTAAGGTAATCTTAGCTCCTCTTAAGACACAGACACAAAAATAATTTAATATTCAAATAAATAAAACAGAATATCCTGTATTTATAAAGTTAAAATAGCAAAAATAAAAGTTAAGTGCAGGTAAAAAAATTCAATACGAGGAAATAAAATAAAATAAAATAAAATAAAACTACATGTTCTTTGATATGCAAGTTTTTTGTCAAACATTATTTGATAAGCAAGTTTTTTGTCAAATGCAAGAAAACAGAATACCTTACAATTTAAATGAAAACTGTAAAATGAAAAAGTGCTTAATACTTTTTTTTCTAAAATAAATAAATTGCACATCTATATGTAAGAAATTCTTTAAAAGGCATTAGTATATTCTACATAAATATTTTAGTATATTTAGAATTTAAATTTATGTTACCATTGATAATATTTACCTGTAAATAATAATAAACTAAAATAAATATAAAACAGAACATTTTGATTCTTTCAATACACAAATGAAAATAAGACAAATTAAAAATAAATAAATAATGAACCATTTTCTTACCAGACATTTCTTGGCATAAAGCAATTATTTTATTATCAGGATAATTAAGGTCAACAGCACATTGTAGCACTGACTGCCAATTTAAGCTTTCCTTATATGCCATAAGAGCTCTCTCATTCTCACCACAGCTAATAAAAGCAAGCCCAGCTTCATCAAAGTATCTCTTTTCCATTAAATACTTTCCATATTCTTTCCATACAAGCTATATGAAAAGATGAATTGTAAAAATTTAGAACTGAAGCACAGCAATATTAACTAAGAGATGACAAATTTATCAAAACATAGTAAATTCATTAAAGTTTGCAGATTTTTACTTATTGCAAGCTACAAGGTCATGAATGTTTCTTTAAATAATCAATCCAGATGAGCAGGAAGAAATTGATGATTTATTGTAATTAACAACAGTATACAGTAAAATACATGGCTGCAAATAACTCAAGCAGAACACACATATTAAGCAAACCTCCTTAATACATGAGAAATATCATAACTTACAGATAGTACACACATATGGCAAACTCAATTCAGCTAACTCACTTTGAACCACAGTTTTTCTGAAATCACTCAGAACTGACAAACTAACTGAATATTAGCTATCAGAACCGTATTTATATGGTACTGCCAGGCCTTCTGGAAGTTTTGTTAAAAATCCTTCTTAGAGTTTCCAAAATTTTTCCTGAAACTTTCAGAAAGTCACCAAGTTGACATGAATTAGCCAAATATAGTCAGTCATCCTAGTGATGAAAAAATTGTTGCATAGGCCAATCAGGAGGGTTTCTGCCTGTATCCTGGGTTCTTACTCAGCTATTTTCCCAATATTGATATTTCAGAATCACAAAATCTACAATTCTAAATAAGAAACAACCACTTCTAAAAATATATGGTTGCTAATGTAATCATATCAAAATACACCCTAAAATGTAATAAATAACTAAATAAAAGAATAAACAAAAACCACAGTTCAATCAAACAGATTTAAATATTGACAGAAATTTACAACATGCTGGTAAGAACACTTAAAACATTCATTGATCATATTAAAACTTAAAGCTTATGTTTACAGCATTGGAAAAGCTACTAAGAAAAGCATATAAAATTCTAGTAACCTATTTTAAAAGCAATTAAATTCACATTTCAGAAAAAGTTTAGTTGCCCTCTAAGTTAATCAAAACTCATATGTATAACTACAATAGTATCTTCTGATGCAAAGTATTAATAATTTTAGTAAGATACTTTTGAAGATATTCATACTTCTTTGGCTGAAAAAAGATGAATTTCAGACAGTAAATGCTACTGTTCCCTAGGATGCATCAAAGTAGAACAATCAATCAATGATATTGCCGTTTTCTTTGACATTGACTAGTTGATAACTTCTTGAATACGGAAAAAATTCCAAAGAAGTTGAAACCATTGTCTGGAGATCTGTGCCTGATCAGACAAGGGTTACCACCACTTCTGAAGATACTATAGCAGCCAAGTGGAATCCATGAGCCATCTAGACAAATGTTATATCCATGGTTGCAGCATCACATGGAAAGACGATATCTGCCAGTACTGTGGGCTGAAGGTTTCATATAAGCGGACTGTATGCTCAAGTACAAAGAGTTCGAGTTCTGCTAACTGTCCAATCCACAGAAGTAAGATTAAAGTAGAGTACATAAGATCTCAGATTATCTCAGACTAGTGCAATGTCTTCATCACGGACAAGTCCAGATTTTCCAACGAATCAGATGACAAGTGTGTAAGAGTCTGGAATGAAAGAGGTATATGGAGTCAGGCCCAGAACAACAACAAATATCATGCAATCAGAGGTGGCAGCATCATGGTGTGAGCTGAAATTTCAATGGGATGCAGCATGCATCTTTACAGATGGTCTATGTTGGCAGCAAAGTATTGAGAAAAAGTCCTACACCACACTGCGAGATTCATGTTGCAGCAATTGGTCTTGATTTCTTCCTTATGGATGATAATCCGTTTCCCATTGAGCCAATGACATCGAGTACCTGCAGAGTGAGGGCATTTCTCATATGAAGTAGTCACAGAATTCCCTTGAACTTAGTACTATTAAAAATTTTTAGGATGCTATCAGGCATGTTACCTCTGCATACAGTCTCAGACCTTCCAGACAGTCTCAGACAATTGAAAACAGTCCTTGCAAACATCTGCAATGATAGATCACCTTATTGAAAGCATTGGCAATCGCAGTGAAATTTATGTGGAAGTTTGGGGTAGTCACATACCTTATTAATGTAATTTTGTTTCTTTGTTTTTAGCTTTAAATACCAAACTATTAATGACACAAATGTCATCACATAATTTACGAAAATCAAATGCTGTTTTAATTTTTGCACATAATGCTTGTTTTCTTTCATGCATGAACACATTTGATACTTTCACATGTAATCTGGTGTTAAGCTTTGCTTTTCCATTTTTCTTGTTTTAGCTTCACATATGCTTAACCCTTGGAAGCCAATGTATGTTTCGAGGCTTACCATAGATATTCAAAACAGCAGATTAATAACTATTGCAATATAAAAAAAATTTTCATGCAATATATATAATTACAGTTAAGCTTAATTAATATAATTTGCAAATAATGCATTACTAACATTAATTAGAGAAAATACAGTACATTTATAAACTACACTACTAGCTTATAAAGTTATGTAAAATATATCATACTCTCTCTCCTGAAACCAAGGGATTCTGACATTTTAACTAATTCATCAAAATACATATGCACTGCATTCGATTTCACTTTGAAATAAAAAGTTTACTTTTTAAAAGCTGTCATTAATAGCGATTGATTTTACTTCATGTCAAATTGCATCTAACCAATTGCCTCCTTTCTGTGGTAGTTCTTTAACATTTCAAAAATTAGAATTCAGTAATCTCTGGCAGTTTGTTAAATTGGCTTAACACATTTTAAAACCGTAATTTAAATTTTAAATTGAAAACTGAACTTCATTGTTATACAATGCAGATTTTCATGTAATAAGAGTAATCAATAGAAGGCATACAATTAAATAAAGATGTAGCAAGGAATACAAACTGTATTACATATTGCCATAAAAAAATATTTTTCACATAAATGTTTTTCTTGCTCAAGTGTGGCTCCCAATATGATTTCGAAAGAAAATGTTGCAAACTGTGTGTTTTGGCATAAAACTGTTAAGGCAATCAATAAAACGAAAAGCTTTCTTGAGAAGCAAGAGCCTAAACCCACTTCTCTAGCACAAAATTTGATGGAGTTGCTATGCATAATGGATATGCAGAGCAATTCTTACTTCGAACAATATATTATTTCTTGTCTTTTTTTTTATTTCCACCACACCATAACTGAGATAGATGAGTGAGAAATAGTTTCAAATGACGCTAGAAATAAGTACCTTCAATTTTCCTAATAACACTAAATAAAAGATGTAATAAATCTCATTGAATGTTAACTTCAAAATACAAATCAAGGGAACAAAGAAAAAATATCTCAAAAGAGAGAGAGAGAGAGAGACAGAGGGGAAAAGAAGAAAGAAAGTAATCTGAACACATAAATAATTAAACACCTAATTATAATATACTAAGAAGCAACATTTTAGTGCAAATATTTTTCGAAGTATATTAAATATTAACTCAGTCTTCCTTACATTAATTTGCCACTGAAATTCAAGAAATGAGTTATTAATAAACAAAAGAAAACATTTGTAACCATGACCCTTCTTACATTTTAGGGACTTACAGAAAAAAAAATAAGTTGGTAAACAAGAACTTTAAGAACAGAAGAGCTATGATAATATGTTACTAATGAGAGCAAAGCATGTACTGATGGTAGAGTTAGAAACAAATTAAATGTGTTAAATTATTAAATGTGTTAAATTATTAAATGTGTTAAATAATGAGTTAAAAAGAAGAAATAGGTTATGGATACATAGACTAAATTAAATATTCTCACACCACAAAGATTCCTAACCAATATATTTGTGGGTATCAAGTGGGAGTCTGAACTTAGAATTTGAGAGATTTCTCGTAAAGTAAAAATACACATAAAATTCTGCAATGATCACTTCCATTCCCTGCATTTTGTACCTCAAACTGAAATGAGTGTACCAATGCGTGGCAAAGCAGTACTGACTTATTTGAGCTGTTATAATTTGGCTGAATTATGATCTATTTTTAGTTCTTTATACTTTGAAAATTAATGATTCCCTCTGCCACCAGTTTTAGAACAAGCAAATATGAAAACCTACTTTAAATATATGCACTTAAATCTGCAACTACACATGAATAAAAGTTTAGAAAAAGGGTTAATGCTTTGTTGTAATAAGAAAATTGAGGCATATTACCATACGATGTGGATGAGCAGAGGGAAATAGATGCAATGCATCAGTATAAAGTCTCTGGTTCTTCATCAAAGCTAAGAATTCTGCAAATTTATTTTCTAAATAAAGAAATACATCCATACATCAATATTAAGATTTCTCCTGAATACAAAACTAAGCATCAGAAAATTTATAATTTTCAGTAAGCAAGAAGATAAAATAATTTCACTTAAAAATACTAGAAGAAAATACTTTAAAAGGGTGGAGGAGAAACTATACACTTCAATGCTTAATGAGAAGGAATTACAGTGGAGATATTTTTAAAGGGTATTTTTCATATTAACACTTAAAAAAATTACATGATTATCTCAAACAAAAAGCATATTTATGAAATAATATATATATATATATGTATATGTAAAATAAAAAAAAAAATACGATGGCTTTGCTCTTTGCGAACCAGCAACCTTTAATTAGTTTTCTGCAATTCAGGATCGTCTCCTAACCCAGTACCTGCTAGAACATTTCACGCCTATTACATAACCTCCTCATATAAATGCTGCGTCATAAGTTTTCTACATTTTTCTAGAAGCTACTCTGTTACATAACCTTTCATATAAATGCTGCATCATAAGTTCTCCTAGACAGATGCCTTCTCGCCTTCGTCCTGGTAACGCTTCCGCTATGCTCCTCTTTCTTTGTTAGAACGTTATGATGTATTAAAGTTTAAAGTCAGTCGTATCTAATAGTTCAATTACTGAATAAGTTATTTGATTAACTTCATCTGGAAAAAGTCATCTGCTATAAATTAAAATAAAGATATGCTTGCTGTTAAAAGTGAAAAGTCCTGAGTCGTCATTTTTCTCCGTGTTTCAATCACCCCAGCTTCATTAACCATCTGCCAGAACGTGTAATGGAATAGCCTCACCATTCGCCCACGATGTGTTGGAATAACTGAAAACATTACATATATATATAATGTTGTAAGATCTTGAATTCATTTAGTGCGAAAACAAATTACTACTACTTGCGCAATTGCTGCAAAGTAAGTTAATAATAATTTATTTCCTAAACAATATTGATTAATTGATTATATTATCTCCTAAGTTTAATTAAAGTAGAATTATTTTAAAAGAGTGAATCCATACTGGTAAGTTATATTTTGAAAGATGTTTTGAAGTAACTTGAAAGTAAAATGTTAATAATGTTTTAATGGGGACTGGAATGGAAGAACAAAATTTCAATTGTAAAAGGAAAAATTACTTCAAAACATCTTTCAAAATATAACTTACCAGTATGGATTCACTCTTTAAAATAATTCCACTTTAATTAAACTTAGGAGATAATATAATCAATTAATCAATATTGTTTAGGAAATAAATATATATATGTATATATATATATAATAAATAAATAAACCCAATCTACATATTAATTCATCAATCTCACTGAATTTCACAAAATAAATTAATGATTGCCTAAAATGCAAATATTGCATATTACAAGAAGAATTTTAATATAATATCACATGTAATATAATATTAATTTTTCACATTTTCAAACTTAATAAATATAAACTGAACTAGAATAGTAATATAAAATTAATATCAAGAAAATTTAACAACTAATTAAACAATTAATAAATACAAATTTATCATTAAATACATAAAGATGACAGAAATAATAGAAAAATACTTATAAATTAAAATATAACTCTACAAATATTTTAGCAGACTATAAACATAAACATGAATTTCTATTCTCGTAACTAAGATAATATGTAGCAATTACATCAGAATCTAATGTCACATACAAATTAATTCAGGGTTGCCACTCAAATAGAAGAATGAAATTCCCTGACTTTCCCAGGTGTGTTTCAAGAAAATACCAGGCTATCTGTGTAGTGAATGTTGGCTGTATTAAGGGCAAATTAATTATGGTACCACTTGAAAACACAAAAATTTGCCAGTTACATATGACTTTGTATAATATATACATATATCTCCAAATAGTTGTTTTCTCCTCTGAGGAATGAGATTAGAATCTGTCCATCAAGACTTAAAAACGTCTTTACAGCAGACATTTTGCAGCTAAAGGAAGAAAGAAGTCTATTTAATGATGTTTTAAAAAAGAAAGAAGTCTATTTAATGTTTTAAAACAAACTCAAATATTTTATATTTATTTAGCAGCATATATAAGTAAAAAATTGTGCACTAAATTTCGTGATGGTACATCATATTACTGCTACAATTAGTTTTACAAGTATGCTAGAGAAAATTGCCTAAATTTTGAAAGTATTACTAACTCATAATAAATAAATTTAGAAGGAAGAAGTTACATTAAATGGTATGAATAACATTAATATAAAGTTCATTATGTAAGGATTAAAAACTGAATGACAAAAATCGATGGTATTTTGGTGAATATATATAATAAATGGTTAGCCTAAATGACTGATTATTATTTTTTTTATTTTACTGAAAAATGACAAATAAGGCATTTAAGAAAGAAGAAAAAGGTTAAAAAAATTTTGCTTTATATGAGAATGGAGGGAATTTACTTTCGTTCAACATGCACTACACATATGAATTTCTGGATTTTCGAGGTTACTGGAAACCAAAGATGCTGGAAACTTGCTTTGTCTTTCTAAAACACAATCTGATTGGCTCTGAGAAAATCAGCTCCACTCCAGGAAGTTAACGCTCATAAAAAAAGATCAAGCATCAAGGAAACATCTGTTTTTATATATCTAGTCTATGACATTCACGTGATACGTGGCTCGCCACGTAAGAGATTGCTTCCGATTGATTCCGAAAGAGATTGCTTCCGATGTTGGCGGAAAAATCGCTTTCTTGGGGATCACAGTATGAAAATCCCTGACTTTTCCAGACTTTAACTAAAATATTTAAATTCTCTGATTTTTCCCTGACTTTTTTGGCCAATTTTCAAATTCCCTGACAAACTGTTCCCAGTTTTTCAGGTTTTCCAGGTATTGTGGCAACCCTGTTAATTTCATCTTAAATTGGGAATATTTTCAGTTTCATCTTTTTGTTTCATCTTTTATGTAATCTCATTTATTCTTACCCCCCCAAAAAAAAGCGGGGGAAGAAAATATCATCAGAGAATGCAATCTAAAAATGCAAGTAACTGAATTCATTTAATATATATCATTTAATTTAATAATATCATTTCAAATAGAATATATCATTTAATTTAATATTTTATATTTAAATATAAAATTAAATTTATATCATTAAATTTATTTATAAATAATTTATTTAAATATATATCATTTCAAATAGAAACTTGCTAATATTTATAAGGATTTATATAACTTTCAACACCTGCAAAATGACATGAAAATTCAAAATAATGAATTTAGAGCAATTTATAATGCTCAATACTCTTTTCTTACAGCCTCATTGATAAGCCAATGAAACATGCAAAAATATTAATTACCATTAACATAGTTTATTGTTTAACAATGATAATTCAATAAAAAGAATTGAAAGTTATTAGAAATAAATCTGGTGTTAATCATAACAGCTGTTGAAATCTCAATGAAAATTCCTTTAACAGTTTCCTAAGATAAGTTATATACTAGATTAGAATTGATAAACTTAGGTTTTTAATTACTGAAAAACACATCAAAGGTTATCTTTTTAAGCAAAGATCCATTACAGAATATGAAAAAATGGATCATAGATTGTCTTTTTCATGAAATAATGTATTTCAAAAAAATAAATTATTCCATGAAAAAATACAACATTCAGAACATTCCAACATAATGAATATGTTCATCATGAGTCAAATCCCTAACAAAACAATCAGCCTTCACTAGGTTTTAATCACTTAGCCATCAATGAGCCTTCATATAACAGACTGGAAGAATTTATAATTTGTAATGTTTAACAGTTTCACCATCCTCTCCTGTCTGAGAAATTTTCTCCCCAGCGGCCCTCAGTTTTTTGCCGCATATAGTGTTGTTTTCTCTGTACAACTTTCACTTTCCATCCACTCGCAGTGGATGAATGTAAATGAATATTAAGTAAAATTATAAGGAAATAAAACATGATTATTATTTTGAAAAATATATACCAATTGTACTTACATTTGTCTTGAATAGATAACTCCATTTCTTATATATATATATATATATATATATATATATATTTTTTTTTTTTTTTTACAGTATGATAAAACTCCAAAACATGGGGTAATACATAGTCCTACATCACATTCTTTACAATAGTATCACATTTCTTTGCACACTTTTTTCCCTAACAATGTTTTTCTGCAACAAATGTAACACCTTCTTCTTGGTTCTTTCTGATTGACAGTATGTGGAATGTGGTCTATAAAGTGACTTTTGGTAAGACATGATACGTCACAGCTGCTCAAACAACACTCTTTCTGTGCATTTGTTGTTGGCTTGTAATAATTATCAATGGTTTTGTCTACAACATCAAGCCTGAAAAACAAGAGATCTAATTTGCCACCTCTTTTCTTGTACAAAACATATGTGTTAAACATGGCCATATATAATAAATGTCGAAATATTTTTAAATAATAATTTCTGATTATTTCTCACAGCAGAATAATTTGACAGCATTTGATCCAGGCGGTCAACTCCTCCCATTTTGCTGCTGTAATCTTTTACAATTATAGGTTTTTCTACAGTTCCTTTGTTTGTTTCAATATCAGTCGTTGAGTTATTATGAACTGTACTCATCAAAAATATATTCTTCTTGTCTTTATAACAAGAACACTTCATAACAAGAACTTTTCCCCTTTGGTAAGCAATCGTTTCATTTTTCTTCAGTTTCACTGGCTGTAAGGCAGGCATGTCTTTTCTGTTCGGTTTTACAGTGCCAATTACATCAGTTTTTTTCTTTAATAATATGTCTGACAGCTCTGGACCTTTTCCTAATAGAGGGTTTGCTAAAGATAATACTACCTTTATCCTTCTAGATGTAAATTCTGGGGAAACATATAGATCTGTATTTTTTCCAGTATAAATGATAAAGTCCCAAACATAACCAGTACTTGATTCCCACAGTTAAAAAAAATCTAGCGCGTTTTAAAGGTAGATACTGGATCCAGCTCAGATGGCCTTTGTACAAAAGTAAGCTTTCATCGACACATATAGCCCTCATAGGAATATAAACACTAGAGAAATGTTTCCTGAGGTATTCTGCAATATTCCAAATTTTGTTTAACTTTGGATTTTGAACATTACTTGAAGTGGCTTCAACGTTTGAAAATGTAAAAATTTCCTAAGAGGAGAAAATCGGAGAAAAATGGTGTCTCAATAAAGTGTTTTTGGACCAGTACCATTTAACTGCTGATTTTTGCACAATGCCTTGAAAAATAAACTTATATCTTTCTCAGCTGCATCCTTCTATTCATGTACATGAGAAATTTCTTTTAGAATGTTGCTGCTAATGAACTGTTGATAGCAAAAATTTGTTTCTTCAATGATAACATTTATCAGTCCTTATCGAAATATATTTTAAAAATATCAAGCGTTGAATGATCATTTTATAGAACATTTAGAGTAATTCCGTGTTTTTCAAGGGAAAAAAAGTATAGGCGGTGCACACGACATATTCAAAATCTGGTTCCATGTTCTTGCATCAGCCAGATTATATTGTTCATCTTCACTTTCCACTGATATAATTAAAAATTCATAAGCTGAGAGTTATTCACTCTCCTTATCTGAATCAGATAAATCACAGTCATAGTCTAAAAGAACATAACTCCTCATTTTTTTCCTTCTTTTTTTGCTGAGTAGACGTTGAAGACTTCTTCCAATGTCATGTATCTTATGCAAAATGGCATGAATATTCATAAAAGCCGGGGAGAAATTCAATTAGAAATAGAATGCTTGATTAGTGCTGCCATCTAAGAGGTGTTAGAACAAACAAAAATAAACACTCAGTCAACTAAACATTTACAAAGCGTTTTAAATGTTAAAATGTTTTAAAATGTAACAGAACGCTTGAAGCGCATTATGGCCACCCTACAGAAGTTTCACTTGAATGCGTTAGACATGTTATGGATGACGAAGAGGTTAATAACTAATAATCCATTGCATTAACAAATTTAATTGTATTAATCAATTTTGAATACTAATTACATATTTAATGAAATACTTATAAACAAAGAAATTAGTTAATGCAAATAAATAATATACATAAATGCTACAATGACTAAAATACAAAATACAATACTTATCAATATTACTCTTACCACATTTGCTTAAATGCTGTAGTGCTTTTTTATATCTCTTCAAATGCATGTCAATTTTATACTTGCGATAATTTTCTTCCATTTTCAATAAATTATTATAAAATTCTAGAAATTCCTTAGGATCCTTGGGGGGGAAAAGCAAGAAAATCACAGTTAGACTAAAAAGAGAATATTAAATGTTTAGGTATAAATGATTTCATAAATGCAATACACAATTTCTTAGTTAATAATAGTAATTTAAAATAAATTTAAAATAATTTTTTTTTTCAAAATTCTACTCTGCACTGGAAACAGTTTTCATTTCAATCTAAATTTATTCATTTATTATTCAGTATTCCATTCTTAATAATCATGGAACTAAATAAGAAGTACAACTATGGGTGAGTAAAATATTTGGATGACTGAAAACAAAATAATGAGCAATATGATTAAAAGAATTATAAATAGTTTTCTTAAGCAAAATATTTTATGAAAACTAATTAAATAAAGCCAAACAAAATTGCTTCAAGGCCAACCAAGATGAAATTCAGAGAACAAATTAAATAAGATAGTTGCAAAAAAACAGCATAATTTGGAATTATAACCTTCAGATTTTATTCAAATATCTTGCTTTAAACCTTTTCACTAAAAAAAAAAATTTCAATATAAAAATAAATAAAGATAATTAAAAGAAGAAGAAAGTATGAAACTTCAGTTGAAATACATTTAATATTTTTAAAGTATGTATGCAAAGAACACACACAAACACATATTGCTTCAATAACTTTATCAAACTTCTCAGAAAATGGTTCATGTACATATAAACAGATTTCATTCACTTAAGTTATCAATACTTTAGAAAAGGAAAAATATTTTTCAAATTTTTAAACTAATATGAAAGATGAAAATTAAAAACAATTTACAAAAACTTTACCTTCTGTGATTTCTGAGATACCATGAGAGCTGTTTCCAAATTGTATGTTCCGAGTGCAATATCAATAAGTTCATTGACATCGACTAGGTAGAGTAGGAAATTTAAAGCATTATCGACTAATTCTTGAGTACTTTCATCTTTGTTTGTATCTAGAAAGTAGAATACAAACAAGGTATAAACAGTTAGTAGTTTTAAGTTACTCATGATAATTAAAAATGGAATTCTAACTCAATTTTAACGGAAATTTTCTTCGTTCAAAAATTGTTTTTAATAGCTAAATTTTTCACACAAATGCATTCAATAGGAAGGATCATACAAATTTCAACTTTCTGTTATTGGATTATATGTTCATTTATTATTGATTTAATTAGTGCACTTACTTATGACAATTTTATGATCATTTATTGCACATATTGAGTAACTTTTAATTTGTGGTTACTTATTGTAGTTAATAGGTTTAATTTTTCGTTATCTTATAGAACATATTATTCTCAGTAAACTGATCCAAAATTGTAAAATTAGCTTAAGAAGAATTAAAAATAAGGCTAGTTACTCCTACAGGGCTTTAATGACATTTGTCAGTTTCTTACTAGGTTGGTGATATTACAGAAATTTCCAGAGAACATACATTTGTGATCTTAGGAAAGATTTTCCTAGAATTAAGAGATGATAAACAAAACTGGTTGCTATTCAGTGATTTTAAAATCTGAAATTTCTAGTATTCATTTTTTGTTTAAAAAAAATTCCAGCATTATTTCTCTGCTCTGCTTGAAATATTTTTAGCTGTTTTATTCATCTGCTACAAGTTACTATTAAAATGTAAGGTTCATCTAGCCTGGTTGTTTATGTCCACCTTAAAAAAATTTTAACACATAACCCTTAACCATATTCTTACATTTTATGTGAATTTTCCATACTTGCAGAAAACAGTGTATGTGATTATTTGATTTGTGGCAAATATTCACTTTTGTTCACCAAACTGAAATCACCATCATGATATCAGGAAGGTACCTATTGAGAAGAATTTAATGCACAACATACTTCAACTGTAAGGGTTTGAAAAGATATTAGAAGAGCACTCATTACTTATAAAAACTAATATGTAATAACTTTGTTATTTGCATACATTTGTATTTCATGTAGACATACGAAATTCAAAATCAACAAATTTCAGCAAGTCAAAATATTTAATATTAACAAGAATTTTTATTTTTTTTAAATCATAGGATATGAAGAAATTGCAAATTTTCTAATTATTGCTTGTCTCCTTTTTTACTCAATTTCCAAGACTATATGATCCTTGTAATTCTACCTCAGTTAAATATGTTCACAGCTTATAAGATACCTAACACTAACAGTTTTATTAATAATAATTATTTCAACATTGTGAAATGTTAAATGCTTTGAAAACTGAATAGAAAAAATTTTGAAGACAAAATGCTACCAAAGAATCTTTCACACAGCATAAAAAGCTAATCAAGTTACAAAATATAATTAAAAAAATGAGACTCAAAACTGTTTAAAAACTAAATTCAGACACAATACATTTTCTGCAGATGATGGGGAAAATACTTTAGATATTCATTAGAAAAAATTACATGGCAATATTTTAGATAAAAAGCACTTTTTAATGGCATATATGAAATTATAAGTACTAAAGAGAATCCCTATCATAATATTATTAGAGCATGTTCTACTTTAAAAAATTTCAGCAGTAAATGCAGACAATAACAAGAGGATATGGAAAGTTAATGAGTAAATTAACTAACAAAATGATTACCCAAAACTCTAACAATCCAGGTAGAGGGAAGAACATTATTAATTATTTAGATAAAAGATTGCAAATGATTTAAAATTTCAGACAGTTACACAAGTGATCAAAATTATAAATTTAGCATATAATTTCTGTTTTGATGGTAATGTATGGCTGTATAGCTATAAAAATTAGCTTGCTTTAATATCTTTTATACTTGGACTTTTAAATACACTAATACTTAAAATTTATGCAACCTTTTAAAAACTGAAGCCTTGAAAGAGCATCTTCTGTTTCACCTTTCTTTGCATATGTTGCCATAAGGGTTAAAAAGAACCTTCAATAAAGAATTACAAGAAATTAAAACCCAAAATTTCAGTCAATTCAAAAAATGATAATTATAATTACAATAAAAGTATTACTTATTGTCCTTTTTCTTTTCTAAATATTTTCGAAACGCATCACAAACAACAATAATTTTGCTATCTGGTGAAGGGGAAATTTCTGCTTTTTGCTTCTTTTTCAATGCCAGTGGATACATAGTAATACAAACATCCTCATTTCTGAAAGCAAATACATTATAAAATACAAGACATGTAAATTGCTTTTTTGTTATTTATGAATTTCTCAGTAAATTTACAGAAATGTAACACACACCGAAAACCATGTATAACTTAACAATGCAATTTCTTATGTATAATTTACTTCATATATGATTTACTTCAAAAAGCAGATATCATTAATTATATAATTTTAAATTAATTTATAATCATTATTACAAAATTCAATGTCAAATGCATTTTTTATTATAGGTAGTAAGAAATTAAAATTTGTTAAATTTCTCTCAGATAAATCAGAAACTAGAAAAATCAGAAACCTAAAAATGTATTTGAAGCCAATAAAGACTGAAAGCTTACAACTGAAGCATAAATCAAGTGGTTCAAAAGTAATAAAACAGAAAAAATTCAATAATTCGAAAAGTGTATAGAGTAGCTTGAAGGAGTTATTGCAGAAATACACAGAAAGGCATTAAAAGTTTTAATAATGGAACAGTTTAGTGAAAGTATAGTTACACTTTTTACTACAGATGGCGCTGCAGCACATGGGGAGAACTGGCATTTCATATGGCCCTATGTGATGATGACTCAGAATTATCCTCAAGAGATATCCTTATAAAATAGAATAGATATAAGAACTGAAAACCAAATTTTAAATTCTAAGTCTTCAATGCTGTCAAAATGGTAGTTTTACAAGTTAAGACAACAGATTCAAATCCTGATAATTCCTGTACCACAGAGTCAAATTAATGGTGCAAATTGGATATGTTGCCCAACTTGGGGAAAGCTATGAAGCAAAAGTACATGTGAATCAAAAGTAATAGAAAAAGTAAAAATTCCATAATTTGAAAAGTACAGGCAGTAACAATATGCAGTTTCCACAGAAATGCACAAAAAGAATATATACATATTTTCTAATAATGAGAAATTGACAGTATAGTTATATTTTTCACTAACAGATGCCGATTTAGTGATCTGTGAGAACTGTCATTCTGTACGGAACAGTAAGATAATCATACAGGATCACCCTCAAGATGTATATAATGCAACATGTACAAAATATGCACAGCACAAATGAGCAAATTCATGCACAAATGAGCACCGCCAGACATGCCCAATGGCCATTGCAATGCAATTGAAATGACCATGTCCTTAACCCCTTAACTGCCACGGAAAACGTACAAGATTCACTCCCCATAGCCACCATTTTTTACACAGGCGCACATAGTTATGCAGTGTATTAGGGGGGAAATAAGTGCAAGTTTTGCTGTCCAAAAACTGTTTACTTTCACAAAATAAAGATCCCCCAAAATAGAGTTTCTATTAATTTATCTTTAGACCAGTAAAGTTAACATCAGGTTTAAGTGTTATACCTTGTAAAATCAGTATACCTAAAAAAAACATATATTTTTCCTGAATTGGTTGAATGCCAAGACTTTGTTTTTGATTTTTCTTTTGCAGGATGCTGGTTCATATACTGGTCTGCAAAATGGTTAGTTTCAGTAACAATATGAAGGACGAGCAGTTTATCAAAAAATAATTCAAAAAAGATATGTGGGTTTGAAACATCAGTTATATCTCTTTTTATTACTGGCAACTACTACAAACAGTAAACAAAAAGGGAAGACACAGAATTAAGAAAAATATGTTTTACTCAAACAGAGACACAAGCAATAACCACACAGTCATTACTTTCACCACCACCACCTACTACAAAAAGCAGCTACTGCAAACAGAAGTTACTACAAAAGCAGTTACTACAAATGAAAACAGATAAAACAGAATAAAAAAAAATATGTTTTACTCAAACAGAAACACAAGCAATGACCCCGCAGTCATTATTTTCACCATTTCAGAAATATCCCCCTCTTCTCTGAAATAGTATCCTCCTTTGCATACTCTGTCAAGGTCATTGTGGAGTTGCATTCCAAAGCTTTGCCTATAAGGAAGGGCATATATATATATACGCCCAAAGCAGTTAAGGGGTTAATTGCTTTTCCTCGCACAAATGGCCACCAAGATCTCCAGATTTTACACCTTGTTACTTATGCTATGGGGCTATTTAATGTCACAAGACATACAGAAGTTGTCCTGCATTATTGCCCACACCGAAAGAAATTATTCACCAACATATGACAAAATTACAGCTAAGTCCTCTTTGAAGCTGTGCAGAATGTCATGCTTTCTCCTACGGCCATTTTCATGAAGGATGGTCATTACACTAGAGATTTGCAATTCTAATTGCGCTGCACATTATGCTGTGCAATTGTATGAACTTCTCACCACAAAAGTTGAAAGTGTTATTGAAAAATGCAACTGTTTTGGCAATAAAATTAAGACATTTCTTTAAAAAAAAAAAAAAAAAAAAAAAAAAAAAAAAAAAAAAATCATATCATTCTATGCATTTCTGTGAAAATCAAATTATGCTGCTCTCTCTACATTTTAATTATTCAATTTTTATTTTTTCTGTTACTTTTGGATTTTCTGGCATTAAAAATTATGGGCATGCATACAAATAGTTTAGTTTGAATCAAATAAAAAAATGAAAATAAAATATAAAATGCAATCAAGTATAATTACAGGTATTCAAATGACTTACTTTAGACTGGCTAAGAAGAGATTGAGATTAATTGGAGAACCTATCTGCTCAATAACTGCTTCAACATTTTCTAAAAATTCCTGAAAGTAGTTTTTAAATAAAATAGAACATATGCATTATTATATACAATGTACTACATACTATTAAAAACAAATTTATTAACCTATTAAACAATACACACATACACACACACACACACATATATATATAAAATATACGTACACTACAATATATAAAACTCAACTAAAAACACTATGAACTAATCTGAGAATGTTTTTAATTTTTTTATGAGTCTAGACCTCCATAAGTTGTCTTGTTCTAAATATCTGATAATTTTGAATCAAAACTCCAGTCTTATATTTTGGAACTGGACAGCTTTCTATGTCTCATAAAATAATAGATAGCTCTTTCATGAATGTTAATACAAAATACTTATAAATTACTGAAAAAGTTATAATATTTAATTAACAATAAAATGTTCCATTACTAATGCTAATAATGAGATTCAAAATAAGATTACAGATTTCTATAAATTCGAAGTAAAAGCATTATTTTGTGAAATGGGAGAAAGGGTTATAACATAAATTAAATCCTATCAATCAACAGAATTTCATTTAAATTCCTTCATTACAACTCAGTTTTTTATATAAACTGCAAGGGAGAAAGATAACATTCTAAAACTAAATCATACTTTCTCCAAAGATGATATTTTTAGTTTAAAAGTATATTGAAACATAACAAAGGTGCCAATGTTAATAAGACTCCTATTTATCTTTTAAGAGAAACCACATCAGAATACTACTTTATACATTGTTTCACTATGTCTGCATATCCCAAAGAAATCTTGATTGAGATTCTTTGAAACAAAGAATGCATATCCCACAGAAATCTTGACTGAGATTCTTTGAAACAAAGAATGCATGTTCCAAAGAAATCTAGCCCAAGATTCTTTTCCTCATTAAGCATTCAGCTGATATACACTTAATCATGAAAACACTAAGATTTAAAATCCTTGGAAGTGCAGAAAATATTAGGTTAAAAGATTTTTATTCACTTATATCTAAAATTAAATATAATTTAATGATGGCCCTATTTGCCCTAAATATATTTAATGATGGTCCACAGGCCTTATTTGCATTTTAACCCCTTAACTGCCACGGAAAACATACAAGATTCATTTCCCACAAAGGCACGCATAATTATGTGATGTATTAGGGGAAAAATAAGTGCAAGTTTTACTTTCTAAAACTGTTTACTTTCACAAAATAAAGAATAAAGGAAAAAAAATGAATGCACAAAATTTAATGTTTTGAGTAAAAATATAATAAAAAGATGTAAGTATAATAAAAATGATGTTTTTATAATAACAAAGATCCCTAAAATGGAGTTTCGATCAATTCATTTTTAGACCAGTAAAGTGTAATATCAAGTTTCAGTGTTATACCTTTGTGAAATCAGTATGCCTAAAAAAACATATTATTTCTTCTGAACTGATTGAATGCCACGATTTTGTTCCTGATTTTTCGTTTGCAATGTGTTAGTTCATATACTCGTCTACAAAATGGTTAGTTTCAATAACAATATGAAGCACGAGCAGTTTATAAAAAAATAATTCAAAAAAGATAAATGGGTTTGAAACATCAGTTATATCTTTCTTTATTCCTGGAAGCTACTACAGTAGCTTCCAGGAAAGTACACAAAAACAGAGGACACAGAATAAAAAAAAATACGTTTTACTCGAACAACACCAGCCAATACCACGCAGTCATTACTTTCACCACTTTAGACACACTCCTCTCTCCAATTTCTCCATCAACTTCTCTGCAATATTATCCTCCTTCATATACTTTGTCAAGGTTATTATGGTGTTGCATTCCAAAGCTTTGCGAATAATTTTACGGGTAGCAGCGCAAAGCAAATGATAGTAGTTTGGAAGGGCACATATATATATATATATATATATATATACTCAGAGCAGTTAACGCATGGGCTGAGCAAGGCGTATATATACGTCAAAATACTGACAAAATTACAGTTTTTTTACATAAAAATTATACTATAAAAATTTTTTATTCTTTAAAATAAGCATTTTTATATTCAATATTCCTTTACAAAAGCACAATAGTTTTAAAATTTTGTTATTAGTAACCTCTATTTCTATCACTATTTTACTGGGAAGTAATTCAATGAAATTGTTTAGCATCAAGAAGCAATGACAAATGTTTATAGAAATCCCAGAGAACATCTTCTATCCTAAAGTACAAACTTTTTAGGGATATCAAAAGTTTATCTATCTGTCCTTTCAGTCTGAGGTTACTGATCAGATGAGAGATACATTACCTAGCATCAACTACCTGTTTCACTTTTCACAGTCCTTCTTCCACTTTTCATAGTCCTAACAACAGCAACTGGTAAACATCCAATGAATAGTGCCACTTCAGAAACACCTATTCCTAGCCTTTCAGTCAGCATAATATTGCTTTTATCAAAGCTGCTTAACTCATCAAGCTTCCCCATTACATGCACACATTTTCCACAAAATGAAGCCTCAGTATTACCAACAGGTATTAAACAACCATGTTTTGTGAATGGCCTGATATAGACATATAATAAAATTTCAAAGAGAAAATAAGAATATACCTTAGGATTATAATCAAAAAGAAGATTCAAATCAATCCTATGCACCTTTGCCAAATCAAATGCTTCTTTGTACTGTAACCTATAATAGAAATGGAAATGTTAAACCACAGATAAAGAATTTGAATGCTATTTTAAAAAGAAAATATGTTAAACATGATTAAAAAAAGTTAAATGGTTAAGTTTGATTTAAAATTACTGAATTTTTTCAATTTAAAAAATAACATTATTTAATAGATCTTTATCATTTGCAAAACACACAAATTTTTTACAGCACAGCAGTATTAAACATATGCTTTTTTTTAAAAAAAAAAAAGTGTACAGAATCTCTTTTCCCCCTCCAAACAAAGAAGCCAACAGAATAAAGAGGAAAAATTTAAGTAATTCAATTTGCATAAGCTAAAGATTTCTGCAACATGTCATAAATTTGGCATTTGAGTCATTTCACTGATTGATGAGTGAGAATCTTTGCATATAAAATGTACTTTGATATGCTGATCTCATGATTGAGTTTCCCAGTCTAATATGGTCTAAAGTTGTATACCTAAACAGCGAATTTTACATAAAGATTCAGACATATTTAGCAATAATTTACAAACAACGGCATGTATATATACATTATTTGATGTGAACATAACTACATAGGGAAATACTTACTTATTGAGATATTTACAAATGTGAGATAACATAAGTGGTCTCGGATGAATGGTTTCAAGATTCCCTCTAGGCATCTGTAATATGACTTTGGTGCTACCATTAGGAGAGGTGATAATCGTTGACTTCTCTATTCTTTGACTCAAGATATCAGTTAATACACTGAGTTTATTCTTCAAAAGAGCTACAGAAAAAAATATGCATTTAGCAACATTCAACAACTGCAAAATACTTTAAATTTTCATTTTACATCTACACAATCTAATGGAATCCTAATCCCCACCACAAAAAAATAATAAAAATTGATATAAATATAAAGCAATTTTTTTACATCTTCAAACATTTAAAAAAAGGCCTATTATTTATAAATATTAGAAGGGGGAATGAACAGGAAAATTTTATAAGTAAAATTAATGTCACCAAGTCTATTTGATTGTTTAGACTACCTGATCTTGTAGCATTAGAATCCTCTCATAAAATTAAATTTTTCATGCTAATATAAATTCCTATGAATAAAAAAACCAACCAACTAAATAATGAAGTAAATTTTGAGTTGCAAAAAAATTTTTAGATCCATGTTTCAAATAAAAAAATGAAGCAGAGATTTGTTTTAGAAAAGTATTTTCAGACAGTTTGTATAAAAATATGCATTGTATTAGATATTTTGCATAAAAATACATCTTTTTTATAATCAGAAAATATTTGTAGCAATAAAGTATATTTAGAGTAAATGTGTGCATGTGAATGTGCGTGTGTGCGTGCACGTAAACATACAATGCAATTCAAATTTCAAAGTTTTTGTGTTCCAAATGCTGTTTAAGAATTAAGTATTTTATGACTATCCACACCCCTACAAAAAGTTGGCAATTCATTGTCGATTTTGTGAATTAGCAAAAAATGTTTTGCTATCTGTATGGCATATTATTCTATTCATAAGTAATAATAAAAAGGAGCATTTTATGAGAAACAAGAAATTTTAAAAGAAAAAAAGTATATGACTGGTTTTTACATTTCTACAAATGGTGGACATTTTTCAGTGAACTGATGGTTAAATACAAAGTATATAAATTAACATATACTTAAATATGTGTGTGGACGATATATGCATTGGTTGGCTACTGTCACATGTATATATGCCACAAAAAGCAATTCTGCTGAACCCAGAAAATAGGGATGCAGATAATAAGAAAGTACCAAGAATTAAATAAAAACAATTCTAAAACATACACAACTATAAAATAATTTATGGTTAAAACTGTCTCAATTTAATACTTAATATGACCCAGTTCTCAAATTCAGATTGTGATTCAATAAGCACAGTAGTAACGTTTTTTTGAAAAAATAATAAAGATAAAATTCAGAATCTTGATATTCAAAGAAAGGTCAAGATTTTCATTTAAAGGATTTAACATACTTATATTGAACATACATAAATTTTCTTTAGTGCTGTGAGTGTTGACCTACAAAATTTAGAAAAGGATTCTTCAGCATCATGATTGCTTGTTGATATTAACAGATGATGGATAACCATTTTATCTTATTTATGACAATGACCTTTACATTAATTCCAAAAGTCTTGCAAATCTTCACCAATTTGAAATTATTTTACAATCATGTTATAGAAACAAAATTTGCATTTGAATGGTATATCATTGCTCACAAAATATTGCATATCATTGCTCAAAAATCTGATTGGAATCAAATAACTTCTTTTCAACATCTAGAAACTTAAATGATCAAGACTAAACACTCTACATAATTAATTAATTACTAAATTATACAGCATAATTAATTACTAAATTATACAGCATAGAAGAAAATGCAGTAAAATTTCTGCAATGATAGAATATTTTGCCCCAAAATTGTTAAAGGAGCATTCTTTGAAACTGTTCTTAAAGTAATGGTCACGAAATTTTCACCAGAACAAAAGATAAAAAACAGTTTGTTAGTACATTTCTGGTTGATTTCTGAGATAAATACATAATTTAAACATAAAATATGCATGTAATAAACAGGTTTTATAAGTCATCATTCTTTTTCTTCAATGAAAAACCATCAAACTGTGCCAAGGTAATTGCAGTAATATGTAAGTACTTTGGATTCTAGGGTAACTTGAGATTCAAAGATCTCGCTTGTATTTTACAGAAGGATTAGTTTGTAATGTACTTTTTGCACAAGTCTAATAGAAGGTCATAATAAAATTATTTAAATTATCAAAGAAATTTAAAAGACTGAATGAAGAAAATTCTGAAATTCAATGAAAATTTTGATATTCACAAAATTTCGGAACGAAAATGAATCGTAGAAAAAAACTATGTCCCAACAGAATTACCGCATTATCTATGACTCATGGTTCCAGAAATGTTTAACCTTTAAATATTTTTTTAACATCTCATAAAATGTAAGCTGAACATCTAACAGTCCTATTGAACACGATACTAGCTATCAAAACCATGTCAACTAGAATAATGATATTTTATTAATTAATTACAGAGGCATAATCAGAAATACTGAAGAAGTAATAAGCTTTGATATTTATAAACTCACCAGGTAAATCCCAATCTTTTAAGAGGCACTTCAGTGTATTATCAGTTGCAGTAATCAAAAGAAATTCATCATGAATAGTGTAAGATGTGCAATTTGATAAAATAACATGATCATTGCAGAAAAGATTATATCTTTCACTTAAGCCAAGGAAATATTCCTGAAAAATGATTATATAAATGAAGAAACACAATACACACTTACTTAAGCATAAATAATTGACTTTTTTCTAGAAAAATTCACATCAGAATTAATTTAATCAAATAAGATATAATTATTTATTACAATAAAATTCAGTCTAAAAGTTATAACAAGAATATTTTAAAAAGTGTTTTTTCATTGCTGTTCAAGTACTTATATTTAAAGTTATTAACAATGCATATATAGTAAAATATATACTACAGTTAAGAAATAAACATTATCATTTAGTATAAAAAGTACACATTTCTTACATGTAAAAAAGTGATAATTTTTTTAATTCATGCATAAAACTCAAAATAAAAAAAAAAAAATGTAAACTAAATCCAATGCTAACAGTATGAATACAAAAAGGATTTTTCCAGTAATATGATTTCAACAAATTAAAAAACAAATTTTACTTTTATATTTTTGATTTAATATATTGATTTTTTATGTAAGAATATAATTTGCGAACTGACAGAAAAATACAAATCAATATTCAATTTGATATGTGTACATTAAATTTAATTAATAGTTAATAATATTTTTTTAGTTTCTTAATATTTTTGTAATTAAAGTCATTTTGTCAATTCTAGCTAAACAAAGCAGCTAGAATAAAATGACGATTTTTTCAAAAATTCTTTAGAGCATATATTTTTAATATTTTGAAAACATTTACCAAATATTAAGCAGATTTACAAAAAAATCTGATTTTTTTGAACCAGATGTTCAGTATTACTCTCACCATAATTGGCAGAAATAGAAACTTTTCTACACCAGATGACAATTGAAATTTAACTTAAAATGACTGTTTAAACTACTGCTGTTGTTAGTCCTTAATACCATATTTCAGGAATACTATATAAAACGGTGAACTGATATCAAGGGAGAAAATTTTTTTCGACAAGGAATTATGCAAGAAGTACTTCAATTCAGTTTAGTTAAATGTTATTCTTAAAAACTTTGAAATGTAACACCGCAAATATGCATCCCTCTGCAAACACCTTACACAGTATGATAATTAGAATCACATCTATTAATGAAATTTAAATTAGCAAGCAATAAAAATTGATATATTGTTAATTACTACAGTACAAAGTCCAAGATATGGACTAGTCCGGACCTCGGCGATTCCGGATTTTTCCAGATATTAGATCATCAGTTTAAAGCTTGTAAGATGGCATGTAGAAATTAATTATAAAATTAAAAATATAAAATTGTGATTTATGAAATAATGAAGCATTTATGATCTAAAGCGTAGCAAAATTTACAAAAACAAACAAAAAAAGAGCTTAATATTTATTTGTTTACTTTATTAAACATTTCTTTCAGTGTAAGTTGTTTGAGTGTTTTTTTTTGGGGGGGGGTGTATGCTAATATTTTTTCTTTTCTTTTATTCTGCAGATAGACATAATCTCTCATTCAGTTGCAAATTTCCATTGTTCAAGTCCTGTGATTGCTGTGCCGAAAATTCTGACCAAGTTGTCAATCGAAATTTTTTCGTTTGTGATAACCCCTTTATCAGTTTCTTCGTTATTTTCTGGATCTAGAACCATACTGCAGATTTTGCTGTCCATTTATTGAATGATAATTGGCCATTGTCATTGCAATGAAAGACTTTTGTTATATCATCCTCATTTATTGTCTCTTCTCCGCATTTCTTTAAAAAATCCATTCATTGGAAAATTTAACCTTTGGTTTGCAATATCCGAAAACCTTCACATTCGCAACTATTATATTCATCAATCTTCAAAAAGTTCCTTTTCTGTTTTCTTATGCCATATACAGTTGACTTTCTAATGCTGTACTCCTCACATAATTTTGATACAAATATACCTTTATTCATTTTTTACAGCAATCTCACTTTCTGTTTAATGGACATCAAAACATGCTTTCACTTTGTAGATCCTATTGCAGCTCCAGAATTAGAAACTCTTTTCTACATGATTGAAGGTTGAAACTTTAATTTTCATCAAATTGCTGTATTAAAAACTGCCTGCAAAAAATAATTAAGCTGGATAAAATCAGAAAGTTACGGAACAGTGCAATCTGCTATATTGGCTAAAATTCATTGGAATCACAGCCTAACTTAATAACCTCCACTATACATTATTCGCTATATATCATGGGATTGGCGATGAAAGACAAGTTGTTTCACTAAATTTTGTCTTGCTTCTATCGTGCACCAAGACAATTAAGCCTGATTGTTTTAGTTTAGTTATTTATTATACTTACGTCTATTTCTTGTACATGCTTAAGGCTTATCTGAGTCCTGAATAATTAAATCTCCACATATTTTATTTTTAGCATACGCAAAGAAATTTTTTCATCAATATTTTTTAGAGAGTTTAACTTAAATCTGTAATCATTGCCAAGCATAATGTCAACATAAAAAGTTACCATACTCTTTGTACTAATATAACAAATTACTAGTATAAAAAAAATTGTTTGGGCATCCTGCATGAGTCATTAAGTTGGCATGAGTTGATAAACATGTGGTGATGAAACAAAATATAATAAATAATGATTCACCAGGTTAGCATCAGGGATATAAAATATTTAGTAGGTGTAAAATCAATGATGTTTCTATCTAGAATGTTTCAGTTTGAGATGTATGCCAAGCAGATATGCAGCCAAATTATTGATGACAAAAATTTATGCTAAATTATTGTTTCTTCAATAGTGAGGTATTTATTTAGTGCTGAAGGGAAATTAAGAATCGAGACTCTCCACGTGTTTTATCTATTGGGGAAAAAAATCAAATGTGCATGCGTAAAGCATTAAAAAAAATTTTTTTTTAGTCAATATGCTGTTAAATACTTTTTTATAAATTGATAAAATACATTGAATACATTTTATAAGGAAAATCAAACCATTTTTTCCTGTTTTCAACACAAATTTTATGTACAGCAATATTTATTATAATAAACTATAAGAGTATCAGCACAAAAACCATGTAGATATAATTTGAAACTAACATGGCTAACACAGTTATTACACTATAATTCATTCGTTTTACTGAGGGTCCTTACATATTTTTTAAATAATTCTGAACCTATTTAAAATGTAAAGTGTACTTTTAAATGTTTAACCTGATATCCTTTTTCTGGATTATATATATTCTGGATATATGACTTCCATGATAGAAGGATTTCACATAAAATTTCCAGGGGTACTGATTTCCAGTCTTGGCCACAACTTCACACAGTCCATCAGTTGTGTTGGGTTTACTCTTAGAAAGAGCTCTTTTCAAGAAAACAAAGGCACAACTGTTCATAGGCAAAATTCCAGGGACTCATAATAGCCCACAGGTGAAATGTCAGTAATTGCAGAAATACGTTAAAAACATATACAGTAGACTCCCGATTATCCGCGCCTGCCGCACAAAGTTTTTTTTTTTTTTTTTTTTCCAAAGCATAAAGCAAAGAAAATAAAAATGTTCACAAAACTGAGTGAAAAGTTAAATTTGCTAACATCGTGCTTATTTATGGCAAAAATATCCAGGCCTTCTCGGAACCATTCCCTCGGCCTTCTCGGAACCTTCCCCTCTGATGAGTAAGTGATTTCTTACTCACACTTGCAGTGCCCGCTCCACCGCCCTCTCTCGTCTTAATCTTACTGAAACGTCTACTTCCTCCCACTCGCCACTGTTAGTTTAAGCCTGATAATGTTTGCGAACCGGTCCGAGTTAATTTCTTATCTTTTATTGTGTTCAGTGCTTGTGCTTTTTGCTTTTGTGTTTTCCGTTACCGATTTAAAATGTCAGGAAAATGAAAGAAGGTTGCGTTGACGATTGAACAAAAACTAGAATTAATTTTAAAAGTAGCAAATGGCGCTACAAGGCAGCAGATGGAATTGGATTATGGAATCGCGGAAACAACAGTCTGTGACATCCTAAAGCAAAAAGACAAACTGGTGAACTTTGCATCACTGTCGGACAGTGCTTCCGCAATTAAAATGCGAAAAACTATGAAGGGTTCTACCTTTGATGAGCTAGACATGGCATTGGTAGAGTGGTTAGGTCAAGTTCGAAAAGAGGGTACTCCTGTAAATGGCCCTATCAACTGCGGCGAAGGCAAAAACCTTTTTTGAGTTGTTAGGCCTGAAAGGAAATTTTGATGTGTCTTTGGCTAGTGACTCGTTTTAAGCAGCGACATGGAATTGAGAAATTGGACTTCATGGGGAGAAACTTAGTGGTGACCACAAGCAGCCGATGATGCCACCATGAATTGAAGAATTTGTTTTAAAGAAGAGCTATCTTTTGAACAATTTACAATGATGCTGACGAATCGAGACTTTTGTGGAAATGCTTCCCAGCACTTTTAGCATTTGAAAGTGAAGTAAAGCGGCGGGTCATAAAAGCAGCAAGCAAAGGATCACTATCGTTGTCTGCAGTAACGCTACCGTGGACATAGATTGTGTCATTGGAAAGTAAAAAAAAAAAAAAAAAAAAAAAAAAAAAAAGAGAGAGAGAGAGAGATCTTTCAAGGCAACAGGATAGAAAATTTGCCCTTGATTACTTTAAAAAAAAAAAGGGGGGGGATGGATGAACCGAAACATTTTTCAAGAATGGTTCGAAAAATTTGTTCTTCAAGTGTGTAAACTCTAAATCGAAAAACCTGCCTGAAAAAGCTGTCTAATGATCGACAACACACCCTCACCCACAAGCGTGTAAAGTCTTCTGATAGACAAATTTTTGCAAAGTTTTCCCTCCAAACGTTACTGCACGAATCCAACCATGGACCAAGGAGTCATTGCAACAATGAAGAGAACATACGAACCAAGCGCTAATGACCAAATTGAAGAAGGTTATGATCTGAAAGAGTTTTGGGAACACAACACAATCTTGGACAGCATCTACGATATTGCATCTGCATGGGACTCGGTGAAATCATCAACCCTCATAAAATCATGGAGAAAACTCATGCCTAATGTTAAAGCCAACAACAACTTAACAACAGTCCCTTTGAGTTGTGAAGAAGAGATTGAAGATGTAGACACGCCCATGGCACCTTTTGCCGATATGGTAAAAACAGTTCCGGATAGTGAGAACCTCGATGCTGAAAACATTAACGAGTGGTTGGAGTGTGACATCAACGAACCTGGCTTCGAACGCTGACAATGACGAAACGTGAAAGCAAAAGAGACAGCGACCCGATGAAGGACAGCGATTGAAGGCGAAGAGAGACCACTGTGCAGATGCCGAAGACTCATGAATTGGCGGCCCCCAGTAAGTCGTGACAATGGTGTTGCTCCGAGGTCGAATCTCGCGAACGGACTGACTGCATGGTAGTTTTCGTGGTTTTCCCCATGTGTAACGTGTATATGAGCCAGTTCCCCTTAGAAAGTCCTCCATGAAGGCATCCCTCCGTTTAGACAGATAGCTTTAGAGGCTTTGCCATAATCACATACACACGAAGTGGCTTTGCAACAAGTCGACAGACAGCTGAGCTATTTGGAAGAACAAGATGATGCAGAGTTGGCTGAGAATCTTATGATACGAAAAATGCAATCTCAGATCAAGAGAGAATGCTTCCAAAGCAAGAAGCAATGATTGATTTCTTCAAAAAGGTGTAGTTTTACAGTTATGTTCTGTAATGACATAAATACATTACAGTATTAAAACAGTACATATGTATTAATTTTTCTGCGTATCCTTGATGCCTCTCGTAAGTACAAAGCACTTTTCTGTTTTCATTAACAAAATGCATTTTAGATTAGTTTTGAGTGATATACTAAAATATTAAGTGTTAGTTAAACATTTTCTGCTGTTTATTTTACTTTTTATTGTACATAAAACGATTTTTCAAAGTTGGAATGACTGTTTTGTCTTTTGCTATACCCGTTTTTAGCATTTTTCGGATTATCCACGATTTTTGTTATCTGTGGCGGCCACGCCACCCAATACCGCGGATAATTGGAATGTACTGTATATGAAATATCTGTATCAGTCTTCATATGTTTCAAGGAAAGCAGTGGTACGTTTTGAAATATCAACTATTATTTGTCTTATTGAAGTTTCACTCTTTGAAAGCCATTGGGAGATCTTTAATTAATTAAATTAAAGATATCAGGCAAAATTATACAATTAATAATAATCCAGTACATGAATAAAATATAAAATAAAGAATTAAATTTCTTTCCATTAAGTCTTCACTCTACAATATCAGTCACAAATGACAATAGAGAACAGTATTTAATTGTCGAAAAAAGGCCCACAAAATTAAAATATGTTTAACTTTTTTTTTCTTGCTCTCAGTTTTATATTTAAAATATTAGAATTATAAAAATACATAACATTTTTATTTATTTTAATAATTAGATAAAACTTGAACCCAACAAAAGTGAAGGCCAGAGTCGTGTGCACCATTTTCCATTAACTCTGCAATTCAGAAGATCATTTTTGCATAGTAAAAAAATATATCCTATTCATGAACACACCTTATCAAGAATGGAGATGACAGAAATGTTGGTGCAGAGTTGTGGCAAAACTAGATTCTTCCCATCATCACATAACCATGGAGTTAACAAATTTTCTGAATCCAGTGAATTAGAATTTTCATCTAAATGATCAAAATGTCTTAAAAAAGCAATAATAATAAGGGTAAAAATACAAAATAATGTTTGGACACAAATAAAAATTCGACATAATCAGTACAAAAAACAAAAACAAGATGTTTTCATTCATCATTTGAAAAACTATTTTAAAATGCTGTTAAACAATAAAAAAAAATGGAAAATGATCAAAAAAAAAAAAAAAAAAAAAAAAAAAGAATAAAATTACTGATATATACTAGTAAAAAAACTCGGTAAAATGTTATATAACCAGCTTTACCTTTTGCCTTTTTAAGCAAAAACAAAGATGCTACATTTGTATAAAATATATTAGATGAAAAAAAGCTATCAGTCACTAAAAAAATAAGATAAGGAAAATTTAAACGTATTACTCACTATAAGTCAACCGCGTATAAGTCGACCCCCCCCCACTTCACTAACAAATTCGTAGAAAAGAAGAAACCCGGTATAAGTCGATCCCCCACTTTCCGAATCGATCGAGAAACTTCGAAAAAATTTTTTTAATAGTACATTCCTTTAAAATCATCTGAGAAAAAAAGTAATATACGATAAAAATACCTTGGTAAATAAACAAAATCAAAATCCTCCAACGTCTGATTCATGGTCAGATTCGCCAAACATTTCATAGAACTCTTCTGTCGTCATTGGCTCATCATCATACATATTTTCAGTCTCGAACTCTGTATTGTTACAATCACTACTACAGCCTTCTTCGTCATTTTCACTTTCAAAAACAGTATCATCTTCTGTGCCGTCTAATTCATTGCTAATACAACATTTTTTAAATGATTTTATAATCATTCAGAGGGTATTTCGTAGGCATTCGCATTTTTCAGGGATAAAAACATAAAAATTTCCAAAAGTGTCCACAATTTTGGCCAACACTGTAGTTCATCACATAATTTAAGTCATGAAATTACTTCAAGTACGTGACTTATTTGATAAGTCGTCCAATTCGAGTGCGGGAAGAAAACCACTGCATTATACAAAGAAATTTTTGAACTTCCGATTCTTTTAATTTTTTATGGCCCCGCGTATAATTCGACCCCCCCCACTTTGAAGTCTTTTTTTTGCCTAAAATATCTCGACTTATACGCGGGTATATACGGTAATTGGATCTGATGCTAATTTAATATTAGCAAAATCCTGGTACAGTCTTAATTACATATACATATGTGCATAGACATGTGCATTGTAACTGCATCAGTTTTAAAAGACATGGGATTTAGCTAGAAGAAAGATACTTTTGCATTTCTTGTAAATATTTAATAATTTTAACTGTGAAATATGTGGTTATATAAATATTATTATTTAAAATTATGAGTTAAAAAATTTTCATCATTTTAGTGAAAACCTTGGTAGTTATATTCAGCAAAAGTCAATAATACTAGAATTAAAAAAGCAGAAATCTAATCAATTATTCTCTAGAACAGGAGTTCCCCACCCTATGCCCGCAGGCACCATGGCGCTGGACGACGTGCGCCTGCCACTGTGCAATCACAATAAAAATGTTTTAGCTTTCAATATAAAACTCTATGTGAAAGTTTTATCATTTTTAATGAAATAGAAATTGCGTCCCAACACAGATACCAGCACACAGTGAAATGCGACCAATCTCTTTTTTTATGTGCTCTATCCAACTAATCACCTTGAAAAAATAAATGGTGTCCACCATCCAACAGACATTCTAGAATGTGCTCTTAGAGACAAAAAGGATGAGAACCCTTGCTCTAAAAGGTCTTTAATAACATGGAATAATTTCATTACTTCAGATTTATGCTGACAAATACATACTGGAAAGATACCAGATTGCTAGTGCTAGTGTTTTTTGAACTTAAAGTTTTTATTAACCTATAACACCTTTTTTCTATCACATTTAATAATAAGAAGAAATCTACATTTGTAGCTATGCAATGACTTAGTTAAAATTCATTTAATCGTGCTGCCATTTTATCTTATGCATTTTCTCAGAATTACTATTTCATGCACTTATATATGACAAATTACAGATATCTGTTAAACGTCTTTGAAACAAGAGTTCTTTATACTGGATTTCCAGTTGATTGCAGTGTATCTGGTAATGTGAATGTAAACTTCTATGCCAAAGAGGGGTTTCAATCCTTCAGAAATATTTTAAATACTTAGCTTTTTACTTCATAAAGTAATAATAAATATGAAATCCAAGAGGTATATCAAGACCGAATACATGCTATTGTTTACATACAAAAAAATAGTTGGTACTTAATGAGAGGACTTCTGTGATTTTTGCCATTCACAGAAGAGTTGATGTTGCTTGTTTTAGACTTTTGACTGGACAGAATTGTCTGCACACCCTTCTTCTTTTTTTTTTAAATTATCATGAAGATGTATTACCTGAATTGTATTTTGTGTGACTCTTATTATCTCAGGCTGAATACATGGATGTGTTTTTGGTAATTTTGTCAACTCAGTACTCTTCACGGTTATTGAAACCTCAAGGTTTAGCATTGCAAATGAGTAATGGAAAACCCACAAAGTGATGGCTAGCATAATGTACAATTGCATAATGCATAATATAGGATCTAATCTAATGAATCTAATTGCATAATGTAGACTATTAAAATTCACTGGAATTTTGCTGATAAAGATGAAATAAATGTATCTGAGAAGGAATTGTAAATGGAATTTTTTGTTTTTAATTATTGCTTACAAATTTACTAAGTAAATTTGAACTGAAATATTTCTTTTTAAAATTTTTTACTATTCTACATTATGCAATTAGAAAGCTAAAAATTAAAAAACATGGACTTCTGAAATGAAGTACATTATAAGTAATACATGGCATCATTAGAAGATACAGTAATATAAAAGTAAGCAAATTTCATGTCAATGAGCTACAAAATGTAATGATTACTTGCAAGATAAATTAATTAATAATATTTATACAATATTCTAATTTCATTTTTATGTTTATTAAAACTAAAAGGAAATAAATACACATAACGAAATGTAATTCATATCTCACTTTAGAAATTACATGTAATTAAAAAAAATATATATATACCTAAATTAAGTCGCAAAACTTTACCATCAGTCATCTGTACAGCGATGGTGTTACCATCACAACTTGAGCAGATCCCTAACACAGCATTCTCCAATTTTACCAGAATACTATTAAATGAAAATGGAAATCAAACATTTTTATCAATCATCAAACCACTACAATATTAAAATGGATTAAATTTAATGGGAATTCACCTGGGTACTAGTTCTTGAATTTCTGATGAATAAGTCTGCGGTAATTGCAGACACAGAATGCCACAACTGGAATTTTCATTGCTTTTGGGATAACAAACACATAGTAACCTGTTTCCTTTTATCCAAGTCCAGTGACATAATCCAAAAGGATGAGCATCCAAAGAATCAATCTTAATACTATTGCATGAAAAGAAACATTAAAATATAACCAATTACTCTTTAAAAAATAAATTAAAGCCATTAAAAATGAAGCTATTATTTTATAATACAAAAATCAAATTATAATACACGATTTATTAATTTAAATCTGTATATCTTTGTCACCCATTTAATTTGAAGCATTTTAAAGGGTGAGATATGAAAAAATTTCTTACTTATAAATTCCACAGAATGAATAAGGCTGTACTTTAGTTTTAAAACCATTACCACCAGCAGCGACCAATTCAAATTTGCAATCTTTGGAATCAACAACTTCTATTGAACCTAAGGAACAAAATGCAAAACTAAAAAAAGTATATTCTATACCAAGCTTAAATTTAATGTTTTATGTGAAATATCTAACATTATTGTTCTTATTAACCCTAAAACTTGAAATTTAATACTTCAGAAAATAAATACAGCATGTTTCAACAGAGTATGGATATGTTATATCAATAGTTGTTTTATTTGAGTAGAGTTTACATGATATAAAATTTGGCATATGGTCTATGGATAAAGTTTAGCTATAGGCAATATATATGTTATCAGATATGAGTGGTGTCTACACAGTCAACTTAAATGATTAAAATTAAGTATAAAATATATTCAGATCAGGTGTAGATAGTATTGCGTAGACTGATGAATCATATAGAAATTTTGCAGACAGGACACATGACATATCTTTTATTAACTATAACTGTATACATGTATATGAAATAATTAATCTCAGGTATACATGTATATGAAATAATTAATCTCCATAAAAATACAGTTTGGCAATTTCTATGAACTAAATCAAGTTTGTTCAATTCACTTCCTTTAGTTAATTAAGTTATAAAGAGTTCAGGCTTTATTTGTTGAGTAGGCTATGGTATTTTAAATGCCACGATTTTAAAATAACCTTAAATTTTTTTTTTTTCTTAATTGAATTGTCTTATTACTGGCTGAATATTTCATTAGTGGCATCAAAATGTTATACTTGTTCTACCATGTCATAAAACTGAAGTTATAGTGCCAAAGATGTTTCTGGCATAAACACAGTAATCTAACCTACACTACTGGATAATCGCTCAGGACAAATTTCAATTTGCAGAGCAGCATAACATTAAGCAGGGACGGAAGCTAAGAAGGATAAAATAATGCTACATTGTTCGGACATAAGAATGAAGAATATTTATTATCCAGGAAAATGCAGAAGTTTTGAAACATCTAAAAGTAAAAAAGTATTCTTTTGATGTTGTAAACAGAGAAATGGGAAAATGCACATGAATGATAGCACCTTTAAGAAAAATGTCAATAGGGGATATACCCACAGTGGAGTATGATGCAACTATCCATCTTGTTATGAATAATATTATCCAGCTGCTGTTGAGGCAATTGATCACATTACTCTGCCAGTGCGTGGATGATGGTATTTTTTCCATTGGAGGATATTTTTGACCTGATAATTGCCTCTCCAGTGCATCCCAAATATTTTCAATGGGGTTTAGATAAGAAGAACATGTTGGTCATACCAGGCATAGAATATTCTCATTGAGCAAAAAATTCTGAACAGCAAGTGTCCGATGGCATGGTGCATTGTCATCATAAAAAGACACTTATAACTGAAAGCACCACGGAGAAAGAGAACATAAGGCAGTGGAACTTCATGAATGTATTGCTAGCCAATCATAGTCCCAGATGCAAGCATATGGGCATTGAAAATCATGCCAGCACTTACCATGGTACAATATCTCGGATATCAGTATCTTTCCTGGATATTTTCTGGACTATACACGATATCAATCCCATTGGATCAAATGGGATCTACAATGAAATGACAGACTGAATTGAGCCTTATCTGAGAACAGTATGCAAGTTCAATCCTGTTCAATATCAATGCAATTTCATTACAGATGGGTGGTATGGGCTATCTGGACAATGAGACACAATAGGTCTGCAGGTACATAGTCCTTCTCCTCCTTTTTAAGACGTCCACTGGCCTCTGCAAGAAATTCGTTTGCCAGCTCTTGAGCTATGGTGTGCTGGTTTCTTTTTGCCAATAGGGCAATATACCTCGCAGGCACTGTACATCTAACACAACCTCCCCTTGTTACACTGTCTACATGTTCCAGTTGTTTTAAATGTCTTCCACCGCCATGAAACAATGCTGTGGGTGATATTGCACTCTCTGGCAACACCTGTTACTTTTCGCCCTCCTTTGGTCTTTCCACTAATACAGCCATGCATGAGTGATGGTATGTAAGTTGCCTTGTGTAAGTGATGCTATGTGAGCCATGCTAAATGATGTTGGGAAGACAAATAAAAACTTTTCAATTCCAAATTCCTTCAATTTTTATGAATTTTAAAAATATTTACAGATTTATGGGACACCCTGTAAGTTTTACTGTATATTACTGTAAGTTTCTCTGGTACTTAGGCTACAAAAGACCATCAATGCATACTATGAACATTATTATTTAAATAGTTATTTTATGTTCTCTATTTTTACAATAGGAATATAATAAAAATACCATATTCTTTGAGGAATGTAAATATAGCATAATTGAATATAGTCTAATAATATAATCAGAAAACAGCACCTCAGGTACTTACCTTTCTGAAAAAAAGCCAATTTACAGTCTTCCAAATATAATCCAAATGCTGGAGCATTTGGAGAAAAAAACATAGACTGTATAGCAGAGGAAAGAGTGTACATATATGCTGACATGGGTGGCGGTACAAGAAGTTTTGCAAATGGAGTGATGAAAATATCACCTATAAAAGACACTGTACTTCAAACACTATTTTAAAATAGATTAATAGACATAAGTGTAACAATAAATAATATAATATTTGTTTTATGACATTTAGAAGACTGGCCAGAAACATATAATAACATGATCAAAAATACATCAAATTATCAAAGAAGTAACTTGTCACGCAAGAAGGTTGAAACACGAAAGGTTTAAGCATTCTTTTTTCTATTTAATAAATAGATTTTTTTTCTGACCAATTTTCTGACTTGCTTACATCTAATAAGTTACCCTAGTTTATACATGCAGTATACTCTCAATTATCTAGGGTAATGCCAGGGAAGCAGGTCACAGATAACTGGAAAACAAGGATAATCTAAGTTATCAATTTTAATGCATATTGTATGCATTTATTTCTTTAAAAAAATCAGTAATTACTTCGTTTTTGAGAACATTAAAATATCTTTCAGATTTCATTGCGTATCTTTTGAAAAAAGATTATTTTACTCAAATCCCTTTTGTCCACAAAGTCCAATTGTGTTTCAATGTAAGTCATTGCTGTCTTAGAACTGATGTAATGAACTGTCAGGATCTTCTTCACCTGTATTTTTAGTATCACTCTCTGCCTCTTCTGATTTAGTGACATTTGAAACAGTATCCACATCACTCAAATATTGAAAGTCCGATCAAGCAGCTATTAAACCATTCCTCAAATTTCACGATCGACATTTTTGAAAAATTTTATATTTTTTATTTTTTGGCAAATGCCAAAATCTTTTTCAAAAAAAATTACATAAAAACTTCAGTTATTACTTCTTTTTCTTTCTTCTTTTTCTTCTTCTTTTTCTTTCAATTAGTTAAATCTCCAATTTAAACGTTAAGAAAAATCTTTCTTCGCATTCAAACTTGTGCATGTGTGTTTTTTACATACTCTTGCGCATAGCATTAAGTGTGTGTGTGTGGCAGCCACCACGCACAGATAATACCCAAACCAGATAATCTGCAACCGGATAATCAAGAACCCACTGTAAATTAGCCAATATATCCTCTGCTACAAAAATTCACAGGAAAGTAAAGCTATTGTGAAATTGGCAATACTTGAATTTAGCTGTTAAAGAACACTAGCATATTTTTATTAGAAGAGATGCATGACATGATATTATCTGCAACGGTGTAGTTTATATTACACTGCAAAAAAGCAGTTAAAGTGTCTTTTAACCATTCAACAGGATATTGTATTTTATGCAATGATGGGTTTCTTTAATCAGAAATACATACTTGTCACACAAATACTACCTTATTTGTCAAACTTCTTAACCTCTGACCTGGCTTATCAAGATGAATTTATTTATATATCAATATTTTCAAATGGTTGAAAGCTAGGTCTCAGCAACCCATGACCCGCAAGTCAATGACCCATTTCATAATTTCAAATGACTCACTTGAGTTCCAAAAATAAAGTATAACATATAATAACAAGTTATAAAACATAAATATGAAATGAGTATTTGGAAAACACATAAAAATATAAATCAAAATAAATAATAACAATATTTTCGTTCGATTACACCATTTACAGCAACGAACATGCATTTTTTTTAAAAATTAAAAAATGTAACATAATTTCAGAGAAATTGATAGATAAGCAATCGCAATCCATAATAACAATAAAGGGCTTTGCCATCTTGTCCACATTTAGTTCAACTTATAAATGCAAGCAAATATTTTCATACATGAAATTTATTTTGTTTTTTCTTAAACTTGCTTTGAGAAGTTGAGTTGCTTTGAGAGCTTTGAGAAGTTGAATAGACCCACGTGTGGAAATCACACCTTTTGTGAGTTCCACAATCTTTTCACTATACAGCTCTTCCTGGAAAGAAAATTTCCCAAAGCTTTGCACAGCTACAATTATTGCCAGGCAGGTTAAGATTTGTTTTGGAGAAAGCTCCATTTCAAGGCAGTTATTACAAGCTATATATGACCTGGTACCATCTTCATTAATTTTCATTCCTCTAAAACAGCAGGTCTCAGTCAAGTAATGGTCTTTGTAATTTCTCTGTTTGCACCAATTTCACATATCTGATGGACTTTCTAAATAGATTTCTCTTTGAGTTTATATTTGGCAATGGCATTAGCACCTTCAAGAGTGACAGGGATTTAGTTGTTATGATTTCTTGCCTTTTTAACCGGTTCATTGGCTGCCTCATTTTCATAGATTCCAACATGTGCAGGCATCCATTGCAGAGTGCATGTCTTTCCTATCTGGTTTATTGTTTGCAGGTGTTGGTGTACATCCTGGGTGAGTCTTGAATGTCTTTGCAGTATTGCCTCTAGCACAGAGGCAATACTTTTAGAGTCACAGTAAATTACAAGTCCTTTGGCTTTATCATTATCATTTAAGTCAATGTAAATTCTCAGGATCTCCTGGATTGCTCTTAATTCACATGTGAAGTTGGAAGTGATATTACCTGCTCCATGGCTTTGGAGTATAGTTGCCCCATTTGGTCGTGATGCGAATACTGGTTCATCCTGTTGGATAATCTCATCTGATGAACCACCTGTGTAAATTTTTACCAAATTAGCTCTCAAAAAGGACTCAATTGTTCGAGTACCTCTTGGACAACAGCTTCAGTTTCCTTTTATGTACAATGTTCCACCAGATCAAGATTTATTTTGGTGTTCATGGATATGTGAGAGGGCAGGTTAGGCTCTTGATGAACAGTGTAGGTGTTGTGTTTGAGAGCAATATTTTCTCTGATTTCATTGTTATATTTCAGAGTAGATGACTTCTTAAGTGTTGACCTCTTGTTTCAGTTTTCGAAAGTCCTTCTTGAGATGTGCCCCATGTCTCATATTTCCTTCTCAATAAAAGGGTCAGAAGTCCGTGCTCCTCTTCAGCCTTAACGTTACTGGTAGATGAAACAGCTCCAGATATCCAATTTTTTTTTTCGGGGGGGGGCTGCTCTTGCCTGTATCCTGCCAAATTTCCCCAATGTGGTCTCAGAAGCATGTGCCCAAATAGGTGTCGCATATTCAAGGTTTGGTTTTATCAATGCAATGTAAGAAGATTTTAGTGTTTTTAGAATTCAGATGCCTATATTTTTCTTAAGACAACTAACTGTAAACCCCACTTGATTAAACTTATGTCACAAATTTAGCATCAGGGAAGTGTTAAGACAATATAATAATATAGTATAGTTAAGACAACATAGTATATATAATACATTAAGAACTGAAGATGTATACTATACATAAGCAGGTTCAAACACTCAATACTGGAATAAACTTCACTACTCAAGACGTAGAGCAATCCTGTAAAAAGGATAAACTGACTTACCTGGGTAAGTATACAGATGACTATCAGAATGCTAAAGGCAGTGCTTGGTGTAGAAGTATAAAAATAAATATTTCCTACTTCTACTACCTATATTTTTATCACAAAACAGAATTTTTTCTTTCTTTTTTTTTTTTTTTTTTTTGCAAGAGTGACTGATGCAAGTCGTTAAAATCTTTAGAAGTCGCTATTCTCAAAATTGTAAAAATATAGTTTAAGACTTTTGCCAGAGCACTTTTATTAAACATTTTTAAAAACTAAGGACAGTTTCTATGGTTTCTTCACCTTGGCTTGATTGATACTGCTCTCTTTGGACATGTTTATGAAACAATCATTTTCAAAACAGAAGCCACTGATTTGATATAGAAGAGAAAAATAATGTTTAATCAGTCATGTTTGTTTTCATAATATTTATAATTCACATTTTTATGCTTAAAGTTTAAAGCATATTCTAACTATTTTATCAAAATTTACTTCAATATTCACCAAGAAAGACTTCTAAAATGAAAATACCACTGATCCGAAACGTATTCTTAATACACACATTTTGGTTGGTTTTGACCTGCAAATAAAAAAAATCTGCAGATACTTGGTATAAGCTATCAAAAGGAATGTGATAGTCAGTCTATGGCAAAACCAAAGATGGTATCTCCAAATGTTTCTGGAAATATCAGGAGTGCTGTAACAAATGTGTGTTTCTGGACTTAGTTTGAAGGAAAACAGACATGCATACGCATATTGTGAATTATTTAATTATTAATGTATTAAATAATTCACAATATGTGAATAACCAATTTTAGATGCATATAACTCCATATTTATGAGATGTTTATTAATTTGGCATACATCAAATGAAAAATAAGAGACCTTCAAAGTGCTTTTTTCAGAAGTACTCAATCGGTGAGAGTATTCAAGATGATTTATTGTTCGACAGCTGATCCTTAGCACACTGAGTCTTATATCAATCCAGTTTTTCTTTTGGAAATACATTAAAGATGATGTGTTTTTGCTAAATTATACAACAAATTTACATAATCTCAGAACTCATTGTCACAGTCATAGATATAAGAGTAACCTGAAGCTAATGGGAAGAATTTGGTCTTTTTATTGGCAATGCTTGTCTCACTGATGACAGCCACACAAAACATTTGTAAAAAAATATTTTCCATTTTCTTTTACAAAATATTTTTCTGCTGTATGCTGTAGGTTAATAGAAATTTGATTTTTTTTTTTTTTTTTTTTTTTTTTTTCAGGATTTAGATCAGATGAACAGGAAGACGTAACAATTTTACTCTAGCTTGAAATGAATAGCAATTCTTACACAGAAGATAAACAGCAAAAAGGAATACCCAAAGATATGCAGAAATCTTTTTTTAAACATGTAAATTATATTGCAGATCACTAAAAATCACCCATAGAAAGTCAAAGGAAATAATCACTGAGCAAGAAGCTCAACATCAAAACAGTTGCATGATACTGAACTAAGGCTCAAATGTAGACTGTTCTTTATAAATTCCCTTAATAAGGACATTAAGCATTTCTGCAACATATATATATATTGCCACTGTATTTTCTAAAAGCTTTCAGAATGTCGCTAACTTTGCAATAAAAATTTCCAGTGAGATCCAGTACAAGCTTACGTATATCTCTAGAGTTAACTTGAGATTTCTTTATAATTTTACTGTTGTTTGAGATAGAGTTAAAAGCTGTACCAAGTAATACATAAAAAAGATAAATACAATACATGGCCACAAATTCAAGATTAAGCAATATAAACAATAAATAAAATCATCATACTAAATGCTCTATATGAAAAGCAATACATGACACTACAAAAATACCAAATTATAAATAAATACAGATATTTGCAAAAATTTACTATTTTCTACTAATCAGTCTGTGTTTGTAAATTTAAAAAAAAAAATAAAGAAAAAAGGTGTTCTTGAATACGTGGGAGTAAAATGAAGTTCAAATCAGAGTAATGAGACATTTTCAGGTGTCTTGTTGATTTTATATTTCAATTTGCCAACTGTAAACAACTTCAGTCCAGCTATTGTATTTATTCCCCGTAAATCTTCAGTATTTTGCATTGTATATTATTTTAAGCTACACTAACAACTGTAATAAAAATAAAATTTCAGTTCTTATTCAATAGCATTACAAGTTCATCATTCTCCCATGGGTATATGCTTTGATATCTCACATATGCTTTGATATAGTCATTAAGTTAAGAAGTAGTGAATTTAAGTAGTAAATTTACAAGTAGTGAATTTAAAGTACTTACAAGTAGTGAATTTAAAGTAACTTACAAGTAGTGAATTTAAGCTTACAGCTAGTTTAAAATCTTAAGTTAATTGCAAAATTAACAACTAAGGACAAAAAGGGGGAAGTTATACATTCTAAAGACAAATAGTGGATGAGCTGAATTTCATTACAGCTGTTGGACAAAATCCATGCTATATAGAATTTATTCATTCTTTCAACTAAAATTTTAATGTACAATATTTCACCTATGCAAAAATTTTATGGGGAAAGAAAAAAAGCTTGAAATGTTAAAACACATTGCATCAACTTTAATAAAAACTAGAACCTCAGCTGTATTTCTATTTTTGTTGCTTTTACTTTTTTTTTCTTTATTCTTCTTAATGCATTCTTTCAGTATTATTTTTTTTTTAATTTAGAAACTGCATATTAAAAAAAAATTCTTTTAATCATAAAACTTTAGTTTTGTGTCTTTTAAAAATACTTCGTTACACGTTATAAAATTTTTGCAAATATAAATATCTAGAACTAAATAAAGGCTCAAATAAATACAAATTTGCAAAACATAAATACTCTAGAACAGTTTTACCATTATGAATCGAGCCAATAATAGCATCATCACATCCATTCAGATATGGATTTTGAAAAATTGTCCATGCCCATTCTAAAGTATAAAAATCCCCAGATTTCTTATTATAACAGTGCAGTTTTCGTGGTTTACTTACATCCCACTTCACAGCTAAATCTGGCTTAAGTTCAAAGCTCTGTTTTAAGTACCAGTGATAATTGCTACATGTATAAAGCATAACTAAAAAGAGAGAAGGAAATACATTTCAATCAAAAAAAAATTTCAAGCATATTCAAAATTTAATAATTTTCTCACATTTTATATAAATATGTTTTTATAAATAACATTAATGAATATATCTATTTATATAAATAAACTTTAAAAGAAAAAAAAATTCCAGTCCAACTCTTAAGGTTGAAAGGAAAAAAGACCCAAATAACAAATTAAACCAGGTATATAATATTTGAAGACTTCGGCTAATTTGTTTCATATTTTAATTAAAATACACTTTTGAAATACTAATAATTTAGTTTCAAAACATGTGTTATTATTGCATCCATCCCTGAAAAAAGCAGGAAAAGAAATCTCCAGAGGGGGAGGAAAAGTCTTTAGGGATATTAAATTTTATTTTTTCTTTAATAAAATCATGTAATATATCTTCATATATTCAGATTTATATAAGATATTTTGCAAATTCAGACATTACATGAATAACATTTAGAGAAATATAATTTCATCTAGTTAGAGAGTTAAGAGATATTTCAAACAGAAGCATTAAGCTTAAAATCAGAATATTAACCGTAATTTCAAAAACTTTTACTATGTATATTACATTCAAAGCATAGTACCTTTAGAACAAGATGGGGATTCAACTAATTCTTGAGCTACAACTAATAAAATGGTAGAATCTTGATTCCATAATAAACAAGTTACCTAAATATAATGAGAATTCAGAATTAATATTTAAATATTGATTAAACTTTTAACAAAACAGCATGAATATACAGGCTCAGAATATGAACATCACTTTAATACTACTGGAATGAAAAACTATAGAATAGTTATTGCTAGTCAAATCTTCACACTAAACTGCACATTCTTTTCATCTTTTTAATTTGCTTGGCCCTTATAATAAATTTGAAATACAGTGATATTTATGACAGTAAAAATCAAGCAGTAAAGCAGAAACAACTACTAAAGTCGGTGCTTCTCTTGAAGAACAACTTAGAGTACTATTAGAAGCTCCAACCAGCAAACTACCGGAAGGTGACCGCTTTAAAAAATTAAGTCAAGAATTTACTCTGTCAAAAAGTAATGGAATTGACTGTAAATTTAAAGTGTTTACTTGAAGCTATATTTACAGTATAAAACCAACGTCGATTGAATCTGAGAGGGCGTTTTCCGTGGCCAACAATTTTTAGGCCAAAATTAGGTTGAAGCTATCAGATAAATCACTACATGCACTGGTGTTTTTAAAATATTTTTTCATTAATATAAATGCATAAATAAATGTATAAGTAAAGAAAAAGTTTCTTTTAAATTTCTAAAAAATATTTTTTTGTATTATAAGTCCATTATAAGCCTTTTGATAATGTAAGTATGTCAACTTCAAATGCCCGAAAAAACAATCAAGCTCGAGCTTAACCGAGCTTCAAATCATCGAGCTTTACCAAACTCTTACCTAAGGGTGGTGCAAAGGTCCATGCCCCTTTGTTGCACAGACATCATATGTTTACAAACATCCATGCTTTCTCTAGGATTCAAAATCAGGCCTTACATCAGTCAGCGTCACTTATCACTATCCTGATTGGACAGCCCTGATGTTACTTTTTTTTAATTATGCACACTTAGACTCTTTCAAGTATATGGCAGCTTGCAGTCCAATAAATGAAGGAAATTGCCCCTGTAGTTGGTAAAGTCGTAAAGAAGTCTAATGAAAGAACACAGCCCTGATGATATACAATGAAAGTAATGCATTAAAATAATACATACTGGCTATCCTAAGAAAAGAGAATGATTATCAATTGCATAGGCTAAACTATGAGAATGCAATTAACTGACAACCATCCATTTGCCGTCATAAATAGTTAGCATATGCTCATGGTTAATTGTAAAGTTGAAAGTTTATATGGAATCATGTTAATCATTTAACATCTCATGTTGGCTTTTGTCCAACAGCAAATCCTGATCTTAGCAACTTTTTGATCATTTACAAATCAGATTAATTATTTGTACAGCTCAATAAACTCAACTGATACATAGAGAAAGAGAGACAGGTATACATAGATAGATAGATTTAAATTTGTTTATTTAAGCTAAATGAAAGTATGTAATAATGCAAGCTTCCCTCCCCACAGCCAGTTAAACAATTACTCAAATGTATAAACACAAAAATAATGACAATAGTAATGTATCAGCAAAATACTTAACAACACGAAATTATAAAAATGTGCAAATACAACAATAAAAGCAATAAATATGAATGGACATGTCATTGAAAGTAAACTAAGAAAATATTTTACACTTTATTTGCCTGTTTGTAAAATGTAAGTGGTTGTCATAATAAGTCTGCCACTGCCTTCATGTGTTCATTTCTTATCTTGAAATTAAGATAGAGTTGAGATCATTATTCAATTAAGGGAGATTAGCTACACTTTTAGTAAGCTATCCACAGCTGATCCTAATCTTACAACACTTAATGAAACTCACACAGTTAAGAAATTATCAAGAATTTCTAACCAAACATTATCAAAGAATAATTTGATAATGTTGTTTTTTGTTAATGTTTGTCCTCTCTTTTTTGTTATTAGTTGAAGACATTAGATGCAATACAGTAATAAACAATGGCTTTTGTCACAAGGCAAAAGACATATTGGCTATGTCAGAGATACTATAAATACACTTTTGATAATTTATTGAAGCAGCCCAAAGCATTTTATTGTGCGGTAAAAGTTAATAGGAGTTTATCTGAAATGTCTCTAAAATCCTTTCTGGTGTTAATAAAAATATGTCTAGATTTGAAGACAGCCTTCATGAACCTTTTCTGCAATTTATGTCTTTATCAATTAGGTTGTAGCAGTCAGTGCGACAATTAGGCTTTTCTAGTTTGAAGACTTCTCAGAACATAAAAATATAGTAAACTTCTTAAACAGGGAAAAAATTCTAGTTAATGCTAAGAAACAAGGTTAATAAATATAGATTGGTCTACAGCTTACAAAAACAAATCACCTGCATCAAGGTGAAAAAGTAGTTTATCATTTATAAAGAAATTAATAGGAAACTATGATACACTATAAATGTAGCATCATAAATTAAGTTTCTTAACAAAAACTCCAAACATTTAACATGTTATTTATTAACCAAAACACTAATTTAGATGCTGTCACTGCTTTTCAGACATGTAATTTTGATACACAATGTTATTAACTATAACCAATTAAGTTTCCAATAAATAACTTTAGAGCTCATCATGCTCAATGATCATGACTCCTAGTGCAGGTGCTGAAAATATGTACCTACTTGCCGACGATATGCTTTCCCAACATTGATGGATCAGTGCAGATGCTGCGATTATCAAGAGATAATTATTAGGATATATGTTGCCTCGTATAGCTATCACATAAAGGCACACTAATAAATTTTGTTTGAAAAAACAATATTTATTTTATCTAGGATTTTCTGCACCCGTGTCAGCACTCTGACTCTCTAGCATCAGCTCTCTCTTCTTATAAAAAGCAAGGTTCACAAATCTGAGTAAATTTTTTTGCTTTGGATAAATCCCTATATTTGGGTGCATATTTCCATCTTTTAATAGTAATTCTGAATCTATGTGATCTATGAATTTTAAATTTCTGTGGCATCTGTTATGAATTTAGTTTTTCACAATTTTTTTTCAGAATCCACACAATGAACGAGTGAATTATAACAGCTGCAAACAGATATAGATTCTTGAAAAACAGTGCTTATAAAGACTTTTCTGTATTACAAATTAAAACCATAGTTTAAAAAAATCAGGATAAAGAACAGAGGAATTTTCTTTCAATGAATCCAAACTTTCAATTCTAGCACTTTTCGTAGCATTATTAATCCCTCTGCGCATGTGCAAAACATAATGGCAGAATTACTGCAATAAGGGAAATCCTTATTATTGGTGGGTTCTGTAAGCAGTATATTTATTTATCTTTTCTATTGTTTTAAATTGTAAAAGTTACTTTGAAAGTAGTTTGGTTGGTGGACATAAAATTTTTATTTATGAATTTCAACCTGTTTTTTAAATTTAATGAATTATTAATATCTTTAAAAAGTATAACAGTTTTACATTCAAAAATTTTGATTTTGTTATTCTTAAAGTATAAACATGTTTTTATTATTTATTAACAAGGAATTCTTGCAAAATACAAGAAAATTGGCTATACTACTCATGATGTCCTTAAATGGCCCACTGGAACAAAGAGATAATATTACTTTATTGTGTCATCACTCAAAACCTCAATCAGCTTCCTTGATGACAATGATGTGATATTTACTGAGCACGATGAGCTGGAGTATCATCAGATGGGTCATCAGGGCTTTCTTATTTGCTAAAGCAGAAAACATTACCACAATAAGCACTCGAACTGACACCATGACAATAAGTAGCTTGAATTGAAGCATTCAAGCAATGTATATTAGTTTTGTATGTGCTTTGTTTCTTTTGCGCTTTTAAACCTCCACTCATTAAGAATTTTCTACTGTTTAACATGTCTGGCTAAGTATCATTAGAATGTGAGATAATATTTTTAGCTGTGTAAATTTTTTTTGGTTACAGATAGATTTGCTCTGTAACCAAAAAACAAAGTTATCAACATTATGCAATGTTAAATCCTTGCAAATTAATGTACAACTTACTTTAAATGTATTTATTTTAAAAGGCAAAATAAATTGCCCATGCTGAAGCCCATTCTTCTCAAAAAATATTATCTTATGCCTATTTTCATCTTGCTGGCTACATGCAATACAACTTCCTGAAGGCCTAGGAAAATCAGTGCAATTTATAATCTTTTAAAACCAAAGTCATAAAATGATAACTTTATTTCAGAATATGCAGACATATTAAATTGTGATATCACTTCAAATTACAAAAGCATGTATTATCAAATGAAGAAAATAAATAAATAATGGTCTACAACAAAAAACGAAATAAAAAAGGTATTATTAACCTCTTATTTTTATTTATTTTTCCTTTTCATCCTCTATTATTTTTTTATTTATTTAATGAAGAATATATCATATCATTCCTGCACATCGAATAAAGGCTTTTTATTTTTTGAGCTTTTGAGAATAAAGGTTACAATAAAGTCCATCTCAAAAATCATTTTACTGAGATGAGATTTATAAAAAAATAACTTCTCACATTATCAAAAAGATATCTTTTTACAAATATATCATTAATAGCCAAACTTTCTAGATCTATTTTTTTCCATCAGATTCAAAACCTACATACAGGATTCAAACTGATCACCAGCCCCTACTGATGTCTGAGACACAAACTAATCCAGCAACTCACATAAATTTTTGATAAATGATTTATGATAGATTTACGCATCTAAAGTTAATATCCATTCGTTTTATTTTATGGATTAATTTTGCAAGTTTCCAAAATTACATAATGAACGTAATCTAAGTAATTAAATGAACAGAATGTTTTGCTCTTTGAATGATACCACTCATCTTTATTTAACTAAAAAATTGAGAATCTCCCAATTTCATAAAATTTTAATTAATACATAGAGTATTTTATATTGCAATTCAAACAAGGAAAATATTACTTCCAACATAAAGGTTCCTCCAATCCATTTTTAACTTCCCCAGTGTATTGCAAAATTCCATTGCGATTCCATATTCGCAGAAGTCTGCATCCTAAAAAGAAATGTTTGGATCATGAAAGTCGCAATAGTAACCAACACAGTTATTACACAAAAATTTTAACACTTTAAAACTTTCTTTTTTAAATAGGAAACAACTGCAATTAAAGAAAAAAAACTACAGCTTGTTTCTGCACTAACAGTTTTTACATCAAAAACGACCCAAACAGATACATTTTTAGCATAACAATTTGACATTTTCATAGTAACAAGAAAATGATAAAGGTCAGGTAGAAAATATTTTTTTCTAACTACTCTGACTAATCAGATAATTTGTTATCTATCATATAATTTGTTTGGTATATCAAGAAACAGTATTAAAATCATTTTAGATGTAATGCAAAATACTTATGCAGACAAGTACCTCGAGCATTATCAACATTTGAAGTGACATAATATTCTCCATCTTCTCTCCAACTAATTCTTGGTCGATGATCATCATATGGCAATGGTGATTTTGCTTCCTTCAAAAAATAATCCATAGTAAATAAATTTTTACAAAACATATAACACTAATATGACTTCAGATAACCAGACGTTAATACAGTTTATTCTGAATTTATAATTTTTTTAAACCGAAATCAAATTTTGAAGGAGATGCAATTCCATAAATGGAGGTTTAAATTTTGCATACTATCTTCACTTATTTATCAGATTGTTTGAGAAATAATATTGTATAGTTAAGACTAAGTATGAATTCAGAAGCAATAATTTATTATATGCTATAAAAGTTACACGTAAAACACTTTTTAAGTTAACTTGTTATATTTATGCAAATCCTTTCATTTTTAATGCATACCTAAAGATTATGCAAATCCTTTCATTTTTAATGCATACCTAAAGAAATTAATTTAGTATAAGATACCATAACTTTTCTTTTCGGAGAATTTTACTTTATAAATATGAAAATTATGCAAAAATTTACGATTATTTATTTCCATAAATTTCCTAACTTTCCACAGTCAACGGCTGGTTGGTTTAAAATTATAATTACTGATATCTCAAAATGGACTTTCTACCTTGAAGGAATGTTAATCATTGGTAGTTCTAGTGTTAATTACATGTTCTCGATCAGTACAATGGTTAGCAATGTTGGCTGCCATATCAAATTAGGGCAGATTGTATTCTTGAAAAGATTTGAATATTTCTAAGTGAATGGTATCTTTGCAGCCATCGGGACATTTAAAATACATGCCAATCTAAAAAACTTCTTGAGTGGTTTAGTGATAAGGGGAAAGTAGTAGAAAATCTTTGAATCTTTAAAATGGATTCAAAAAGGATAGCTTTGTGACGTCTGTATATATGTAAGTAATTATGTATGTATATCGCATAACTCAAAAACAATTAGCTGTGGAATGTTGAAATTTTACATATGCAACAGCTATAACATCTACTTATGCACCGGCCCTTTTTATTGCAATCAGTAGTACTAAATGCATAACCCTTACCCAGCCTTTATTTTTGCAATTGTTGGTCACAGTCATTACTTCCAATTACAGAAGTGTTTTAAATGACAAAGATATTCATGTTTCGGCAACGTCAAATTTTAAAAAAAAATTAACTTTAACAAACAAACAACAAAAAGAAATCGAACTTTTTAACCCATTTCAGTGGTCTCTCATTTTACAGTTGCTATGAAAAAAAAGTAGAAGAAATTTGACTTACATAGGATAAAAATTGATCAGGGTATGTAATTTCAAAATTTGCAGTTTTTTACGTCAATTTCAACTTGCCTTGAGGGATCAGTTATTTAATTTAGAATAATTTGAAGAAATAAATTTAAATGAAGTGCAGCAAAAAAATTGTATATAATTTAATAAGCCATACAAGGAAGACATGCGGTCTCCCCGAGACTTTTTTTCTTTTAAATTTAAACCTTTAATAAACACTTTTGGGTTACAAGTATTATGAATGGCATAAGAATATTTTACATACTATTTGTTTTGGACGAGCAGCTTCCTTTCCTTCTGAGCCATGAAACTGGGTTTCTTTTGATCCCCATCCAACAGATATGGGCTTGCCTGAAATGTTAAAAGAATCTTGTATGTACCAGCAAATTTAAATAAAAAGTTATAATTGCAACATTATTTATATTTCTGACATTTATAATAATTAGGGTTGTCAGTCAGCCCCCCCTTTTCTTGAATTAGCTTCTGCCCTTATTCTTACTTGAATTTAGGAAAAATGCCAGACGCCCTTTATTTCAAAATTAAGAACAATCTCTTGTAGCTAAATGATAATACTTGGTATTCTAACTTAACATGTGACACAAGGGTGTGGTGAATTCTCACTAACTTTTTGCAGAGTACAACAGATCTGCTGAGGGACACAGGCTGTGATCTTTGCTCGATGACATAATTCTCTTGGCATAGTAGGCCATGAAATACTGCCATATTTTTCACTAGCTTCAATTTCTCTGCCACCAGACATTATGATCAGCAAATGCCAGAAAGTGCTGTGATTGGGTAAAGGGCAAATCAGCCCCAAGTACCTTGCAGCTGGCAGCACTATTTAACAGTCACTTCATCTTCTCTCTCAGCATCCATGAAGAATGCACCTCATGTGCATTCATTTTGTTCATTTTAAAGTATTTAATGTGCCTGGCTATATATAATATTCACCCTTTAGATATGATCTGTTTTTGTTAAATCATTATACACATGTTTTTTGTGTTTATCTCATTTCATTTAAGTGCTGTTATCCCCATTAATAAATTATGCAATCAACAAGGAAAAACAAGGCCACGCAATTACATTTGTATTGCAAATATTAGAGAAAAGATTGTGAATGTTAAGCAGTAACTATTAATCCACAAGATGAAAAATGTAATATTTACTAAAGTGTTTTTAGAATTGGATATATAAGCGTTTTAGCAATAAAGTAACACGAACAATCAGACTGTCGTAAAAATAAAAGCGATGCATTATGATTCAGTTCTTTAATTGATAAATTTATTGTAAAAGCAAATTATGAAAGGAAGATATAACAGTTACTTTAGAAATAGTTCAAATTTATCCTGTAGAAACACAATTATTCCTGTCACTCATTTGATTGCAGTTTGAAATTAAATTAGAAAACTTACTACAATTACAAAATAGCTGCAAAAGTATCTTGCGGTTGAACAAAATGTAAAGCAACTGTTACAAATGTTGCTGTTGCCTAGTAAGATGTTAAGAGTTTCTGCAAATTGATAAATCATGATATACTGCTATATTTTTATCTTCAAATTCATGCTTTGAATTAAAAATAATAATAAAATAAAAATATTCCCAGCGTAAGTGTTCAATGTTTTAATATGGAATTCGATACAGGGAATTATATTATTGACTGTTTTGAGAATGTAAATGAAAACATAGATGGAATGTTCCAATATTCGAAAAATACTATGAATAAATCACAATTTGAACAGATAAAGTGCTAATAATGCAAACTGTAACTTTGAAATAAAACATTCCATATATACTAACATTCTTGCATTAAATGAAGGTGTTATTATAAGGCTAATTGTAATGTTCCCAATGTACACAATATAGCAAAAAGTGCTATGGGAACTTGAAAGTGGAAATGTAAAAAGTATTGCCCTAAAAATCTATGGCCATTTCTTAATGTCAGCAAAGAGACATGAAACACTTAAGGCATTTCACATATTTGTAGAAACAGAATTTTCTGAAATGCTCACACGTGTGATACTACTGTGATCACACATATGTGTCTACTAGATGATTTGCTTTGAAACAATGCATTGAAGGAATTTTAATTTTATGGAAAGCCTACGTTCTTTTTTCTTAGGCACATCAACTAATTGCTCTAAGCAATTACTCAAACTGCTTTTAATTGATGAAAATCTTATAGAAATTACTTTGATTACTGAAATATATTTACTATTTTCACAACATTTAATGTTAATATTCAGCTCAGCTGTTGAAGAACTATAGAAGAATGAAACTACTAGTAAATATGATTTCAATGCTTTGATTAACTTAAATAATAATAATAATAATAATAAGCTTAAAACTTGAGATGATGAGTTTTTTTTTTTTTTTTATTCATTAACATATGAAAAACTTAGATAATGCAGAATTTAAAAAGATAATGATATTTCTTTTAGCAATTACTTATTTTAAAGAATATTTCAATGAAAATTCTACAGTTTTCAAATTGTCAATTCTAAGTCTGTTAAATAATTCACTTAGAACAAATCTGAAATATGTAAAGCTAAAAAAAAAGCAGATTGTTGAAGTAACATTAATTCAAAAAACTTCGACACTATTTAAAGTTATAAACATTTACAAGATCCAAAACACCACACACCAAATGACTCACTTTTAAACAAATCTGATGATAAAAGTATGAATATTTTTAATACAGTTTTCTATGTATTATCAGTTCTTGCAACATCAGCATACTGTGAAAGAATTTCTAGCCTGATGTCAATTAAATGAATAAGTTTTTCTACATTTTGAATTAAAAAAATTTTTAAACTTATTTCTAATGATTATTCTAATAGCACATATTTTGCATTTAATGAGTAGCTGTAACCTAAATTACCATAAAGTAAAACATATATATATATATATTTTAAGCTTTAAGATAATTTTAAAATTGTATTCCTATAATTTGCAACAACAATAATAAAAGAAATTGATATAAAGCTATTCTATAGTGCACTTTATTGTGGTTCATCAGAATTGCCAACAATAATAATAATTGGGTGCAATCTTAAAAATTTATTTTGTTCCAAAACTGCAAAGATAAATTGAATATTCCTATTTTTAATGATTTTAGTTTTCTAATTTTTTATATACTTTCAAGTTTATTGAATCACATTAGTAATTACTTTAATATACGATCCCTCCCTCTTCACATTCTAAAGCTTTTACTCCTTCTAACAAAAGGCTACAATAATTTATTCTTTAAGCTTTACAAAGTTACTTCAATTTCTTTAAGCTATTATAAAGTATTTAAAGATGTATTATCTATTAAATAATAATGCCAATATTCTGAAGGGCTACATATTGCTTCACTTCATAAATTCTGTACTAGAACAAGAGGAGAAAATTTACATTAAGTTTAAATTAAACAGCAGATTTTGAAATAATGAGTATAACTTTCAAAAGCATAAACATTTTAAATAAGCTTTTTAATTTTTAGTAAAATGTGAAAGAAAAAAAAAGTTAAATTGCTAAATTCACATAATAAGTACTTCATTTTCCCATTCAAGGGCGTCTTTAAAATATGATATTTCTTTGAATCTGGGCAGAACTCTTAAGCAGCCAGATACAAGAGATGACACTACCAGCTTTCTCCAACCTGTATAGTAAAGATAGAATTTAAGATTGAGCACCACAGCCATAAGCACTGAACAAACCTTGCTTTGGTCACACAATACCAGTTGACATTCCTACAAACTAGCATATGTATTACTAATGTGGATTCCCATCTGTGATTACTCTTCAACATTGTCAAGCAAGTAACATGTGTTGTTTATTTTTGTTATAAATATATATATATATATTTGTTATATGTGTATATGTCCTAAATTAATGTATTATGTAATTTAAATAAAGTAGTGGATGTTATAAACAAGTATGTCATCCTTATCTTTGCATGCAAGTCTATGTATCTATATCTCTACATACAAAGAATGGTGAGCCTACAATCTCTCTACTATGCTAAAATACTAAAATGGCCATCTGAATTCTGTGACCATACCCTGCTGAAATCTCATACAATTCAGAAGTAAGGTGCATTAAATTTTAGTTATTATCGTTCTAAATTAAAGCTTACCTCTAGAATGCATACATGCAGATATTTTTTCCTCCAATGTTCTATATATTATTGTATCACCAATATTGTATATTTACCTTAAAATTTTACTTTGCACATGTTATAAATCATTTTTGCACTTTATTCATATAATATCTGTAACTTTTCAAATGTCTGCATTAACTTGAGTTATTTCAGTTTCACTAGTACTGCATTACATGAATTTATCAGTAACTTATTATTGCATATTTACTTATTTCATATTTGATTTTGATTCATTATATCTTGTACTGCAAAAGTGTGTTTTCTTGTGTTTGATACTGTTAGTTTATGAATATATATATAGTATGTAAGATAAAATTGTATGAATCAGAATTATAATATAACTATAAACATAAATTCTTCCTCTCTATTCTAAAATCGTAATAACTTATCTGCATTGCGTCATTCAAATTAATCATGCGATCTTATGTAACCGTTAATACCAGATGCCTCTTGACAACCAATCACCGAATTGTAAACCAAAACTTTTCTCTTCGCGTGCTTCCATCTTTCATAACTAAGCACTTCAGCTTTTGCCCTCTACTCTGCTAAGATGTAATTTCGCTGGCTTCTTTCTATCCCAACAATATCAAAAATGTAAATCTTCTGTGGAAAGGCACGACTAGAGTGCCAAGTGATTGTGGCCACAAATATCAATTGGAAATAAAAATGGAATTAAAACTGCCTCGACTGCCAAGTTCTTTAAATACTACGCAATCAAAATTCTTCTTCAATATGGGTCTGATCACGCATCGACACTGCTCCGTCTTTTTTCCTTTGCTTTTATTATGACATATATATATATATATATATATATATATATACACACACCACACACACATTTAAATACTTAACTGTTGCGATTTTTTTTTTTTTTTTTTTTTTTTTTTTACACGGGAATTTACAAGCACAATTCATTGTAGACAACCTTAATGTCTCATGTGTTTCTGTCAAGCCTCCTCCACTTTGGAAACTAAAGCCCAGTTTATGATTCCCCCATCTAGAAGTCCAATTTGAGATCAGCATAAAACTGAATCCATGAAATTCAACCACATGTTATCTGCAATTGAATCTGATATCCTCAATAACATATGTTACATCATTTTACAACACCCATTGACTGGCAGATACTATACCCTAAAAAAAAAATCTAATTGAGTTGTTGCTGGGAAGTTTCTTGGAGAACCCTTATTAAAATCTTTGTGGATATTTT